TCCCGTGGTCAGTCAGACGTGGTGTTTGCTCCCTTCCATGTTTCTGCCGTGCTCTGCCGACTCTCTCTGTCCGTGGGAATGTCTTCTTCATCATCCGGTCCTTTGGTATTTCGACGTCTTGAGATGCGCTTGGGTGGATTCGGTGGGGAAAGGGCTGGAGAGGAACAGAATTGGCGGCGGGGAGATCAAGGGTCTAAGCGCCCTCTCTTCTGATTGGCTCCAAAACCCTGCCCTGCAAGACCAATCACGGCTGCTATCACCCTCGCTGACAAGGATGCCACTGATGCTATCATCCCTCCCGCCTTTGATCTTTCGATACGTCCTGCGTTATTATCCTATTGTTCTGTCCTCGAGTCGAGCACGCTCTCAGAACAATGGGCCAGTCAGATCCCCAAGCCATGAACACTGGCGACCCCGGCTTCCTGGTTGAAGACTGTCGGAGCCGAGCTTCGCTTGCAGCTGTTGCAGAAAAGGTTGGCGTCGGTTTATGGAGTTCCTTTTCTGAGATATAATTTCAGCAGCCCAGCTGACGACTCTGGTTCCATCCGATCCTTTCCACTCAGATCACACAAAGATGCCATGGCATCGACCTCGGAGATTCTCTCAAACACTAGGGACTATCCGAAGCGTCTTTCCCTGATTTTCCACCGTCTAGTCATGATCTAGCGGGCTGGGCCGGTCTGACAACGGTTGGCCGTGACTCCATATCAGAGCAGACCGTCCTTTTGCAGGACCTAATGCGGTGAAGCCTGAACTAATCCATTAATGAGGCTGCTCGAATATCTGGTGCTGGGTGTGTACAGATTCTGAAACCCCCAAACCTCAAACCCAGGCTGAAGCTCTTTGGACCTGGACTTTGTGTCTTATTACACACGGACCCCACCATCAGCAAACGACGTGCAGGTCCGTTCACACTTTACCTGAGATTTCCAGCTTCCAGATTTCTTAGCATTGCGGAAGAGCTCGTGGTTTGGTTTTGTGGGTGGGAGGGGACCTGTCAATGCATCCCCACCGTCTTTACAAATCACCCGATGGTGCCCAGTCACCCAGTCTTGCACTCTTTGCGCCCACAGCGGCCAACGGCCTTGCATAAGAGAGGGCCACGATTCGCCTCAAGGCCTCTGCTTTCGGCATGGAGACCACCATTCGAGGTGATCGACAGAACCCCTATGAGATTGCTCGCTTTGACAGTCGATGGTCTCATCATGGCACCACTGCGTGTTGTGTGTGTGCTATGCCTCTCTTGAAGGAGCTGACAATACTACCCAGGCACCACACCTAACCCTCGACGACATCTGGCTGCCAAATTTCACCTGCAGCCATGCCACACGACCACGCAACCACAAGGGCGATGAAACCCCCAACCAGCGGCCTACATAGGTACGGGGGGGGGGGTTACCCGGAACAGTCGGGTCCTAGGTGGAGAGACGAACCCAATGGAGCTATCAGTTGAGCTTCTGCTGTGCCTTCTGGCCGAAATGCAATGCATCGCGATACCATGTGCAGAATGTAGTGTAGTTTAGACCGTTCTACCCCGCGACCGGAATCTGTGGACTGGCTGCAAGGTAACGATTTGACACGGGCGGTCCATGCCCAGCTATTCCCTTATTCCCTCGGGGAATGACGGCCGTGCTGCCTCCCAGCTCTGTATATCGTCTGTGTCGCTGTGGCTCTCTAGTGTTGGCCGCTCTTAGACCTTCCACGCTCGTGTGTGGCCTATCTAGCGGACCGCCGCGTACCTGACATGGTCGTGTATGCTGTCCCACCCGAAGCTTTAAAGTGCGTGCAGGTCCTTCCAGGAACACAGAGGCGAACAGACGAACCAATGCGTGAGCTAGCTCCCGTTGGTTCACCGTCCTGCTGGAAGCCCCCCCGCGGGGCGACTCGTGCTGCTTGCTGAGACACCACGAGCACGAGAAAAAAGGGCTTGGGTTCGGCGTTGGTTGTTGCGTAACGATGCCACATTCAACATCCAAAACCAGTGGCTTTTTGTCCCCATTGCTTATTATCCGGCTGGGGTGGCCGGCATCCTCCGTTGTCTTGAAATTTGATGTCCAAGTCGGGATGATCAGATAGAGTAGCTATCAGTGCTTTGTAAGAAGAATGATACACACCTACATCCAATTAATTTCCCTTTACATGACTACTGCAGTCTGATCAACTCGGAGGTTTTTGATAGCTGCAAGGAGCTGCTCGTCGATGATAGGTAATCATAGTGGCCGTTTTAAACTTTTTGGCTTAACAAGAAAGAATCGAGATTGATATTCAAAAGTGTCCAGGCGGGAAGGGAAGAGAGAGCTTTGACCACCTCCCCACTTCATCGCGGGGCAGCAGATGGGTTCCACTTAGTTCCAGGTCTTTGCCACAAGGGTCTCTCTTCGACTTGATGCTCCCAGATATCAATCATATTGAGTATTGAATTGGCACACGGATGGGAATTAGACACCCAGCTGCGACTCACAGGCCTTGTCATGACATTGCGTATCGCAATTTTACTCGAATGCACGAAATGGCAAATCCCATCGCGGCATGGCCACTACGACAACCGCAACCACACAACGTCGTGATCGGTTGGTGTCCAGGCTTTGTCATCATGGCTCCCGGACTCGAAACTCTCGAGTTGCTCAACGTGAGTTATGCCTCCCGTCATTGGCTTTTGCATCTGTCTCTTGACTGCCAGATCTCGCAGCATAATTGTGCATTGCCCTACACACCGACAGGTGTATGGGCTACAGATGCCCATGCCCCCCTCACCTCGATCCCGATCCAACAGGAGTTGTCGTTGACCCCTGCCTCGACAATGGGATTGTGACGAGCTCTCATCACGAGTTCGTTTCGATATTAGCAGCCACCACCCACCACGTCTCTGATCAAAATGTTTGCCCGTTTTGATTCAGGCACAGCAGACCAGTTCAAGCTGGCTTCACCGCTCGTCTGTCTCACCTTTCTGGCCCTCTGAGTAGATGCGTAATGGGTGCAGCTCCCCGCGAAACAGTCCCGACGGCGTGAGACAACTCTCGCTCTGGCCTTCGTCTCCGAGACCTGCTTGCTGCTGGTCGCCGCCGACAACGCCGCCGAAACGCCTCCAGCTGCCGGCCTTCGAGAAACCCTAGCGAAAAGCAGTTTGTGGCATACAACGTCTTTTTCATTGGCCGCGTCCTTGCCACACCATGCCGGAGCATCACACCCTCCTTTCTCACTGGCAAAAGCTTCTTAGCCTGCCAAGTCTGGTGACAAGAAGGTCGTCACACTGGCGCGCTTGATCACGGGCTTGCCGCGATTCTCGCTTTTTTTGGGATATCAGCATCTGGAAGGATTTCTCACTAGCCGGGAATAGTTACGACTTTGGTCTCAGGGAACAGTTTCTTACAGCTCATATTTTTCCCTTATGTCGCCGGCCCCGAGACATTGTCCCACAGCAAATGTCTCTTGCTCTTCCATATTTCCTTCTATCAGCGATCGTCGATCGTAGTGTAGAGATTCCATTTGCTTTCAAGAGGCCGTCGACGTCGATACAAGCGTGTCCCTACCAAAAAGCCAAGGATCATGGATCGGGTAAGACATCTCCTAAAATGCTTGTCAACAAGGGCAAGCGAGCGGCGCCGGGTGCTTTTTGCGGGCGGACGGACGGGATGCTCGAGGGCCCTTGCCCGATGATGATCTCCCCCGCCGTCGTCCGCTCTCCCGCCTGTGCCGCCGATGAGATGTAATCCCTGTTCATATAACTCTTTTCAGGCCTGCTAGCCTCGAGAGCTGAACGAAAAGGCAGGACTGGAGGACACCAAGGGATTGCTCTCAAGTAAGGCCAACTTTGTCGCCAAACTTTATCATCACGCCCCAAAAACTGGCTTGCCGATCACCAACTTTTTTTGCCTTGTTTGGCGTGCTGACCTGAGCCGTGACTTGACCAACAAGCGGGCCGTCACCTTTTTTTTGTTTCCGAACCCTGGACTATCAATCACGCGCTAGGGGGGGGTTGGCGAAGGGTTGAGGTCTCGGATCACATGGGACATCACATTTGCTATTTGCAATTCACACATGGGGGGACGGGGATGAAAGTTCCTTGTTTTAAAATCTTACATTTGGCGTTGGTGAGGTGACGAACAGCCTTGTTATTGGGGTTGATTTTTGAGCCTTGTCGTCAGTTTGAGAAGCGTGGCTTATATGGACGCTGGCTGTGGTTGATAGATAGCCTCGCCAGATAGCCTTACATGTTTTCTTTGTCGAGGCGATGGACTTTTAGGCGAGTATTGATGTTGACTACTCGAATCAGCTGCTTCCTACCCTTACATTAATCGCCAATACTTTAGGTGCCTATGGCCGCCGTTCGTGATAGATATGAGATTGAGCAGGGAGCATATAGACGTCAGTTATATATATGCCTTCCAAGCTAACAGGCAATGCGCTATAACACAGCCTTGATCAATCTCTGAAGAGTAAGCTTTCAAGTAAAATCTTCGAGCAATTCCCACTTGTCGTTGACATTCCACAGATGGGGTATATGATGTCCCTACTTAAACAAACGAATAGATGTGCAGCTCTCAAACTTTGACTCGCATATGCCATCCTGATAAGAAGCTCCAGCCTCAGTTGAGTTTGGTATAAACAGAACGGTGCTATTATTTTCTCTTGTTCCTGCCGCGGTAAGGTAGGGAGGTTACCTTGGTCTTGGGCGTCAGAGAGGGACTTAAAACCCCGGTTGCCTATTTTCTTCACATATTTGAACCGAGTATATAGCTTCAGGAATGCCATTCGCTGGCTGCTCCAAAACAGGTGTTTTCTTCATAATTTTGAAGCGCCCACTTTTGAGTCACCTGGTAATTAGCGTGAGGATGCAGAGAAGTAGAGAGAGAAAACGAGCTATGTTGGGATTACTTGAGAGCCAGTTACCCACCAACTTATGTCTCCGTAGCTTGGAGAGAACTGATACACTGTAACTTGGTCCCTTGTGTCTTCACTCCTCAGCAGACAACTCCCGTTCAGAAAAACACACCACCCAATCAATAAAGACAAATCTCCCTCTCCTCCGCCACCGTCTCAAACAGCTCCGCCAAAAGCTTGTTAGATCCCACAACATTTGCCGTGAACACACCCACACGATAGAAACCCGAGGAGCCACCACCGCCCGGCACAGGATGCAACACCAAACCGGTCGGCTTATGCAAGACAGGTTCATCGCCCTCACCAACAGGGCGACGACCGTCAACCTCGGTACCACCAACATCATAGTACCCCAGCAACCCCAAACAACACGACGACCGCAGCAGCATCTCAAGAACACTCTCTTCATACTCCCGCATGACACCAAACCGGTCTCCCACCTCAGGATCAAAAATCGGAGACGCAAAATCGACATTAACCAGACAAACCGCCTGTCTGTCCCCACGTACTAGCAACTGAAAACTCGAGCGCAGGCTGCGATCTAACCTCACAGAACATATCGTCAGCGAAGCCGCCAAAACTGCCACTTCTACGACCCGGGTTCTGAGCAACAGATGCGGATGCCGTTGAATATAACCAAACGGGCTTTCCCCCAAAGGTTTCGTTCTCGCGTTCAGTATACTCGCTGCTGGCTGAAGGTTCCAGTAGTCTGGAGGGCTGGAGCAAAAGATATTCCAAGTTTTCCCTCGCGTCAGCTGGCTCCACGAGGGTATACGCTGCTGCTGTGACAAGCCGCGTAGTCTCTTAAGAAGGCTCTGTAACCGAGCCCGAGGGTGTGCCATAGCAGCACTGTCGATTGTCACACCATGGGAACAACTCCTGATTTGCCAGAGCAGGCTTCGAGTGAGGTCTTGCTGCCAGTAACCAGCAATGTACTCTGGGTTCAACCTGATGGATGATGCTTGACTCGACGAGCTTTTTGCAAGATACCGATGATACACTGCTGCTAAACCCGAAATGGCGGGAAGAACGTCGAGCGGGTTAGTGAAGGAGTCGGTCGACATCTCCCCATACTTCTGTATCAGGTACAGCCACAAGTTAAGTAATTCAACTCGACTGCTTTGGCCATTCGGCCTCTCTACGTGGAACGACGCTTCCCTTGCGAGTTGCTGTTGCATAAATGGACCTCCAACGGTATCTAGTGACAGCCTGTCCCCAGATATAGTGCAATAACCCTGCGGCACATCGGTCGAAGGGGGACAAGCAAACTGCAAATGATCCCTCCAAAAAAGAAGTTTGCGCTGAGACGAAACTCTTTCTTGGAATACCCAACCTCGATTTGGCCAAACATGGCCAAACCAACGAAAATATCCGAAGCCATGCAAGGGGTTCACATGTTTCTCGATCATACTTTCCGTCCCTGCTATGTCAAGCCGTAGGCTGAAGTAGCCAGCGACCTCATTATTTGTCGACCGAAAGGGTATGGAGGCTTGGTACTGATGGGACTCCATCAGCCCATCAACACAGCTCTTTGAGGATGCAGCACATAATGTTATGTGTGCATTCCCGTAGACTTTGTGCATATCACCACATTGTTGTTCCCAGTCAGCTGTATCATCCTGCAGTATACAAAGCGCGTCCACCCAGAGATAGGGCAAGGCAAGCGCCCTGGTGACACGAACTGCATCTCTCACCGTAAGAGGCAATTTCTCAAGCTCAACCTTTTGAAGCCTGTATGCCAAAGTATCTTGCGTCAGTGTATGCTGTTGGCTTGCAATCTCTGGGGGGCCCCAGCAATAACTAAGTGCCGCGTACTGTGGCACTTGGTCCGAGGATGCAAAGACTCTCTCTCTTGAGACCAGTCTTGCTGGCTCAGCTCGCACATCAAGAAGTCGTTTGGGAACAAATCTCGGATCGACGAGTGTATGGTTGTCTTCCTTTGGGAGCATGTCCTTGATCCGGGACAGCGACTGAGGGTCTCCAAATCGCTCTGGCAAGCGAAGATAGGCGGCAACAGGCTGGTTGTCTATCACTTTTTTAGCTGAGAATACTTAATACTCGTGGTCATACGCATAACGAACCTTTGGCTGCTTCTGCCACCCACGTCATAAAGAAAGGTTCCCTGAACAACCCTAGCTCGGAGTGCCCTAACTGCTTGAATATGGTAACCCTCAGCTGAACGGCAAGCCGAGTACAGTTCCCTCGAAACCACGAGTAATATGCTCGGATTATGAGTAGTGAAGGGTCCAAACCATGGCGATCTTGGTCATTCTTTGAATCCGGACCTTCCCTGACACCTCGGAGCAAGTGGGCGTACTGAACCAAAAGCGCATCCCTTAACTTTTTGCAAAAGTCACATTTGAAAGAAGAGTCCCTAAGAGTGGGTAGAGTCGGTAGAGTATCAGACAGGAAGTATGCCGTCGTGGCAAGCACATCGAATTCACCCTTACTGATGTTTGGGCCAACCCTGCACCACCCCATCCGGCCTGGTCGCGATGCGAGTAGTTCATCAAGGTCCAACGCCAGCTTTGGGGAACGTTCCACGAACTCTTCTTTGAAGGTCAATAGGCTGCATCTCGAGCAAATGTGAGAGGGTTCGCGAGGTGGTGATTTGAGCGTTGGTGATCCAGGTCCGGAAGTCGTCATGGTGCATGTGCGCTCTTGAGTTTGCACAGTTGGTTGATGAACAGACTGGTAGATAGAGACAGAGCGATGATTGAATATGGGCAACTTTGTAATATAACCGTGGGCGGGATTTCGAGAAGACTTTTAGGAGAATGTGGTTGAAAGAGAGGGCATCAGATTCCCAACGAGAAGCCAAGCCAATAGCGGCTGAGCCTGCAGCCTCGCTCTGAGGGCAGGCGCTGTCTGCTCAGGTGGTTGCTCCTACCTAGTTTATTGACGTTCCGCCCGCAACTGCCATTAACTTCTGTAAATTCTCTATGAGGCAAGCACGGTAGAAGACCTTAAGCAGGAGCTACTCTCACTTCATCGATGTTACCTTCCAAGTTCGAAAGATACTTACAGGTAGGAGACGTGAATGCAATATCACCAGTCATGCCTAACACCATCGCCAGAGTGCCTTTCAATAGAAGCACTTCAAGTACAAATCGTTCTCCTCGGCCGATCTCATTTGCTGCTGTGGAGGATGGACTCCCTCATAGCACATACTGGTATCTCAATCCGGAGGGAGATAACTCAGATTCACGCATCTCCATCACTCGGATCCGCCCTGGTAGATAACCATTGTTAGCATAATCCGTGCCCCCTTCTCTCTCTCCCCCTCACAAACACAGCATCTCAAAACACACGTAAACTCAAACTCCCATGGTACACGCCTTCCTTCCCCATGCAGCTGGCACCCAGCGACCTGCCTCAAGAACGACTGGCGGTTGACAGTCAACAGACTATCCATGATCTACTACATGATGCCGAATATCTTCAAGACTCTATCCAACTGCAAAAAAAGAAAAAAAAGGTATAGTCCTGATCAAAAACATACAACACCGGGGATTCCCCAGTGGTCACCCACCTGAGTACTAGTCCAGCTGTGCGCAGCTTATCTAGGGGAGAGCGGACGGGATCCCGAGCTTTCTGCGCCATATGGTCGTATGTGATTGTTTGGGCAAGTACTTGACATCAAGTACCATAGTCCAACAGGCTGGCCACAAGTAAAAGCCCAGTGCTATATCTTCCCACAATATCCCCTCCCCTACCAACCCTCACCCCCGCCTCTCCATCAAACCCCCAACCCTCTCCCTCCCACCCAACTCCCAATCATCCCAACACAACCCCAAAACAACCGTATCCCTCCCTTTCTCCCCCTCCTCCGCCCCCCTCGGCACCCCCCTCCCATTCCCAAACTTTGTCTCCCCCCTCAAAACCATATGCCACCTCATCACCCCCTCCCTCCTAAACCCCAACCTCTCAGCCGTCCTAACACTAGCTTCATTCATTGCGCTAGCCCTCCACTGCACCCTCCTCAACCCTATGCCCCCCTCTTCAGGCCCGTCAAGTGCGTAACGCAGCATCAACCCGACAGCATTAGTGGTAACATGTGTCCTCTGATACTGAGGTAAAATAACGATACATCCAATCTCAGTAGATAAATGCACAGGCGAGGTGTCCATGAAGGACATCATACCCGCTAGTTCGCCTTCTTCATCTTCCGGGGAGGGGGGCCGGGTTTTGTCGATGACGGCAAAAGTGAAGTACCCTTGTTGAGGGAAGGAGGTTGTCTCGAGGAATTGGGTGATGAACTCGGACGTGGAGGTGTAGGGACCCAAGGGCATGTGGGCGTAGAGGGAGGGGTGCGTGATGATGTGGGATGTGAAGGTTGGGGCGTGGGTTGAGGCCTGGGATGGGGTCAGTGTAGGTTTGGTGAGCGGGAGTAAAAGAAAAGGGAGAGACCAACAGAGAAAGGGACCAGTTTCACCCTGTCGTTGGAGAGGGTGCGGATGGGGAAGCAGAAGTTGTGGGGTTGAGACATGGCAATGGGGGGAATCGCTGTTGCTGTGGTGTGTTGAAGGTATGGCTATGTAGAGAGGAGATAGTTGTAGAGTTCTGCGTGGCTGATCGTCAGATCATAAGGATGCAGCACCGAGGTGCCAACCCCTAGACAATTCCGGTGAGTGACTCACGGCTTATCTAGGAAGGCGTCATCAGCTCTCCCCAAGACAATCCGGGGGATGGCTATGGGAGAGCGATGCGCAAGGCTGAAAGGAAAAGTCCAACCCTGTAAGCAGAATCAAGGCATTGTTCAGTAATCACGGTGCAAAGTGAAACTCAAAAGTGTAAAGAATGACCAACCAACTTCCGTTGCGTTGTCGTTGTTAAGTGCTAACTACTGAAGCTATCTACTTGAAGAGTAATATGCACCACGAAGGGTGAGAAGCCCAAAAAAAAAACATGAAAAAAAACTAACTAATTGGGGGGTATCATCATATGCGCCTGCCTTATTCCTTCAAAACCAGCAAAGATAAAAACCAAAAACAGACTGATGGGGTATCTCAAAAACCATAAACCTACAAACATACCAGAGACCAATAACAAATGTCTCAGATAATACAAGATCCCCATCTCAAGGTAATAAAAAAAAAACTCCAAGTGATGCTAGATGCCGATGATGATGATGATGCAAGGCGCTGATGATGTCGTGTACTGCGAAGCTCTGTGTAAAAATGCCCCCGACAATAAAAAAAAACAAATCCCAAACTTTTTTGTGTTCCCGAAAATGCCCAAAGTAAATGCTCGCTCGCTTGGTGAACAAAAGAAAAAAATATTATGTTTCGGATGGAAGCATAGGAGCTGATCCAAATCGAAACGCGGAAGAGAATGATGATAGCGAAAACGGGTAGTGGCCGATCGCTAATTAGAAGGATATTGGTTATGAAGAAGAAAAATTGTTGTGTGCCGGAATGCGGATGTCCAAAGTCCCCTCGGCGGGAACCCGTCCGCGCGATGCGATGGTGGTAGACAGAACCACAGGATGTTGTGTGTGTTTTGTGCGACGGGACCAAAGAGGGTTGGTGATTGGTCGGCGGGAAGGAAATGTGTAAGTCCGGGTACACCTCGGGTGTTGGGTGTAGAGGGAAGGACGGGCCTCGGAAGAGACGGGTGGATTTCCCGACTCTGCCACACAAAAAAACCAAGAGCCCAAGACGGGCCGTTTTGTTTTGCCCTCCGACGAAATCCTACTCGGATGGAGTCTGACCGCCGAGGGCCCGCGAAACGAGGGAAAAATCCTGCTGTTGCTGCCTCGGCAGAAGAGTCAAGCTCTTTGACCACGTTGCGTCACAAAATGATGGCGGTGACGATGAGATGTGAGTCAAAATCAGGAAGGGCTGTTATCCAAGGTTAGCGGGCTGTTCCGGCTTGTGTCGGGTAGCGCACTTTGATAAGGGAAAAAAAAAAAGACTTACCGGTTAAAGGAGGTTGCAATGGGACCGTCGACACCCAATACCCCATATCCACCACCCACGCCTCGGCACTGGGTTGGTAAGGCAAAATGCCTTGCAGTGAAAGCGACCTCTCTTCACTCGGAGATGGGAGTCATGGCAGTGAGCTTGCTGGACTTGCTCTTCTTGGTGGCGCTAGCCCTGCGCTTGGCCTGCTGCTTCCTCTTCTCCTTCTCGGCGAGGACGAGGCGCATCACCTCGCGCTGGTAGGCCGCCCTCTCACGTTGCATCTCGAGGAGCTCGGTCTCGGTGGGGTACTGAGTGGGTGGTGACTGGATGGGAGAAGCACTGCCGTTGCTGGAAGAGTCGTCCTCGTACATGTCGCTGGCGCCAAGGAGGTCGTCGTCCGAGATGTATGACGAAACCCGTCCCTCATAAGAATCCTGCTCGCAGAAAGACTCCCGGCGCGGCCATGATGGGAAGGCGCAGGTCGCGTCGAGTCCTCTGGTGGAAAATGGGCTGGCAGCGATATCCATGGGAGAGGCCATGGTGTGGTAGCTGCCATAGGGGCTGTAGGAGTGCGAGTAGGAGCTGCTCGTCGAGCTCGTTGATCCGTATGAACCGTACATTGTGAGACTGTTTGATGTATGTGTCGTCGATGGTGACGTAGTAATAGTAGCTAGGCTGGAGTATATCAAGGTGGAGATGATCTTCGACTGATGTTTCTGTTTGTTGTTGGATAGTGAAGTTATCGTTGGAGCAGATCAGGATCCAGAGGGCCGGAGTGTGAGAATGGGGGGATCATGAGTCTTATATCTACCTCTCGTGGATGAACCAGGCATGGGAGGGCGGAAGCAAGGGTGGGTGTCCCAGGAAACAGGATACGTGGGGCAGATTGGGGACTGAGATTCCGTTTGGAGCGAAACAGGCATCTCGGGCAATGCTTGGATAGGAAAGACAAGTGACAAGTGACAAGGCAAGGGGGTGGTGGCAGGGGGAGGCGGGTTGCGGCGCGCGAAGGTATCTCGGTACGTACCCAAGTACCCTCCGTTTTTGGGCTCCAAAGACGGAGCTTGAGTGGGATGCTGCCGTCGGGATCGTCCCCGTGTGTGGGCACCCCATGATGAACACTAAATTAGCCTGCCTGGGGACCCTCGGTCGGGACAGCCACGGCCTCGAGATCCTGCCCAACCGCGGGCCTCCCCCACGCGCATGGACAAACGCTACACACCCGCGCTGCCGCTACACCTGCACGCAAACTTGCGGTGTCGATTGCATCTTGACCGCTTTGGCTTTTTTGCTCTTCGGCTCCCACCTCCCCTCCGTTTTGTATCTGTCATCATGGTGAATGAATCATCGCCGCCGGCTTACACAGCCCTTTTGTTTGTTTCCAGCTCCGAGTCGAACCCTCTATGACTTACGAGATACCACCTCGGCCGGTTGTATTTGTAAGATCGTGATACTCAGTTTCTCATTACGGGGGGCTCAGCCGACCGGAGCCCAAAAGAAACAAAATCCATCTGTCATCAAACGAGCCGGTTCCAAAATCCAAAGGGCCGGTTATTCGCAAGGGCCTCACCCTGTCCGGACGAGCTCCCCGGGACAGAGCTGCCAGGGTTAGAGAAGTTTTTTCACCTTCTGGCGTCGCGCTCGCGCCTCGGTCCCAGCGGCTTCTCATCTCCTTGCTCCTCGGCTCCGTTCAGGCGGACGGACGGGGGTGGACATTCTTGTCAACGTCAACCACCATTCCGGCCCCATTCGCCGCCTTGGCCACTTCTTGTTACGCCGTAATTTTGGTTGTTGTGTGTAGTCTGGGTTTGAGAGACCACCTAGACCTTTTTTCCCCCCGCAGACCCCCCTGTTGGGCCTCTGTCTCACCGTCAGCGCCCAAGGCTGCCAGATTTCGCACCTCCCACACCTCCTGCATGAAGTGAGGTGCCGGCGATGCACCTCGTGGAAGCCTCACCGCTCCCTGAATCCCCTCTTCCGTTTTCATGTAGCAAACGGCGGCTGCGGCGAGCGGTGCGGGCGGCAGTTGGGCATTTCTCTCAAGATACCCGTCGCTATCCAGAGTATCAGTTGGGAGACGAGAGAAAGCCCTGATATCAAGAAAACACAAACTGCAAGAACAGTTGGCAATGCTGCTGCATGCGCAAACAACGCATTTATTTTTTCTTTGCCAGTGTGGGCTTTTGTTTTCTGTCATTTTTTGCATCGGGCAGTTTGCTTTTCCATCCCTTTTTCATTTCTGTCTCTCCCTTGCAAATGTTTTTGTTTGTGATAGAGGGTTGTCCAGACCACAGTGCAAGTGGCCTATCACGAAACCCCTCATGGCTATCAACCAACCACCATCAACTACTGAAATTTCAGTCAACAAAAACAAAACTATATTTTTCATGCCTAGCTGATTCACCGATCTGATGGGTCAAGGGCAAACTCCACATATCTAGCTGTCTATCAAACACGGGCCAAAAACCTTGATTTTCCATATCTCTCAAAAGCCTCTTAGCTACAAAGCGGACTCTCTCCGTTTCCCCATCTTATCAGTTATCACTTACACGGACGACGACGGGCCTCTCCGTCTGGGGTAAGAGATCGGTCGTGAAAGGGCGGACCCGAAACCCCTCCCCCACACACCACACACACTACACTTTTTGCGATGGAAATGGAAATACCTATACACACACACACACACACACACACACACACACACACCATCTCGAACCCAACGAAATGGAAAATGGCAATCATGGTACAACCCGAGGAGAACAGCCTGCAGTGTGAAAAGGGGGAATGATGATGAAGAACCAACAAGCTGTAGCACGGCATTTCTTGGGAGACAAAAGAACACCCATCACCACCCCCGGCCGCCAACGCGCATTTTCGCAAACTGATAATTCCAGAGCATATATCCGTAAGGTATGGTAGGGCAGAAGCTGACGTTGGCCTTCTCTAGATTACGATTTACACACAACACAAGCAACCCACCGTCGTCGGTGTTGCTATCTGTCAGCAGCAGCGGCACTTTGTCCAAAATAGCTGCTGCCTCGTTTAACCACCATGCGATGCTTCGCTGTTCCTGACCATCAATTATTTTGCCTGACCGTTGGTTGACCTGCCTTACCGCCCCGGTTCTTGCTTGCGCACAAGTTGGCAACGTCATGCGCTTCACACTTCTTCGCCTTGTTGGTCTTGTTTTAGCTCCCGACGGTTGTTGGGCTTCCGTTGCTATCGGTCGGATAACAAACACCACCTAGACTACACCGAATGAATGACGAACAAAACACGGAATCAAACGCACTCGCCCTGTTTTTTGTCCGTTGCAAGAAAACTCACCGATCAAGTCGCCGACCACCGGCCCGTTTACGTCGTTCGGACTTGCTCCCAAATCCAGTTTTCCAAATCCCCTAGGTAATATTGTTGGTGACGACGGTTGGTGACACCCCAAAACTTGTGTAGCAATGCATTTCCCAAGTTTACGGTGTTGACTGCGCCTCCCTTCTCCTGCAAAGTACAAAGATGAATGCGTATAGCTATAGGGCTGCCTACGAGGGAGAGAGAGAGGGTTTGTTACACCAAGTTGGATGGCCACCATGGAATTTCGCGGGCGGGCGGTTACGGATAATGTGCATCACTCCCCCGCGCCCCCGCCTGCGCCGCTGACCTTCTCCATACGCCGTATTTGGGGGTTGCTCTCTGTCGAGTCAGAGTCGTGATTCTGTATACATGACCTATAGGGCAGGGAGGTGTGATTGCGGCGGTGAGGTTCTTTTAGAAATACCGATTGTCCGAATGCTTCACACCATTACCGTCGCTCGGGAGGTTGTGCGAGGACCGAAAGGGCTGGATGGGGATTACCTATGGCCGAGAAAGGAGAGTATTGCTTACTCTTGGTCCGGGGGATGAGAGGCGCGGGGGACTGTGATAGTGGATGACGACTTCTTTGTTGGAGTGTTTGTGTTACGCATGTAGGGGGTGGTCGGTATTTGCGATTTGGCGGCGATGAGATGGCAGACAACATGCGAAGTAATAAATATGCCGCGATACCGACACCGCAACTTGTCGTGAGAATCGGTGGTGATGGTGTTGTTGTTGTTGTTGCTTGCTGCTTGGTGCTTTCCGATACCAGGCCGATGAACGGTGCTTCGCTGTCCGTTTGGGAGGGGTCGGAACGGAATCGAGGGGTTGAGATGTGTGTGGTATCGATGATAGGATACGATTAGATAGGTAGGTTGACGCGGATGGCTGTCCTCCCGGCCGGTACACTCGGATCGCGTACTTTCAACTACACTTGTATGCGTGCTGTATGCGCTGTTGACGCTTGACTTTGACATGCAGCAGCCTTTCACCGTCAGTTTGGTTTTTGCTGGTTCGAAATTCTGACGTATGTATGTATGACAAGATGAACTCCGGCCCGGTTGAGCTTGCCCTGTTCCATCAACAGCCAGCGAAAACCGGATTGTTTCAAAGGGTCCAAGAAACGTTACCTTGCTTGTTGGTGGTGAAAGTGTCATGCAGACCGCTTTTCGCTTTGGCTTTCCCCAGATTCTGGCGGCCGTTGCTGATTTGCTCAGGATCTTCATGTCAACTCCCGGACCGCTCCAGCCTGCGGATCAGAGGCCCACATGCTCTCCGGAAGGCGGGTCCCACCTGCAAAATGTGGAGAAACAAGGCTGCTCAGCGCTGCTTGGTTCTTTCCAAACCTTCTGCTGGACCTCTCTCCAACAAGAGTATCACCAAAAAGAAGGGTTGTGGTTGTCTGAGTAATTCCCATCATGATAAGCATACACATAACACACGTGTAAGTAAGCAAGTAAGTAAGTAAAGCAAGCAGATACCCTAGATTCCTCTATCGTCCCAGCCAGTAAAGAAGACTGCTTCGGCGCGTTTTCGGCTTCATCTCATCAAAGATACCGTCGAACGTTCCATCACGATCCGGTAGAGCTAGGAAATGCGACACGAAATTGGAAAAAAAAAAGAAGAAAAAAAGGGGAGATCAGAGCGCGAGGCCAGGGCGAGCAATGCTCGGACCCAGAAACCACTCCCGCGTGTTTCGTGGTCGACGCGGTTCACGTCTTCCGTTTTCCCCAGTTTTTCATCTCGAAGCCACGAGTTGACGCCATGAGCTAAGCGAGAGCGAAAGCTGCGATAGACGATAAAAACCAAACTGGTGGTAAATTGGTGGCGCTGGAGGCCAAGAAAGCCCGAAAAAGAAACAGCAGAGCAGCTATCTCAATTTACCATTTGCTCACATTGCCAGAATATTTTCGTATTCATCTCAATTGATTTTCTTCTTTTTTGCTGCCACTCATGCGTACCACCTCACCGCAAATTGTGAGGGCCTAGACAGCGCATAGCGGGAGATACCCTAATCTAGGATCCTTCGTGTCTGCACAGAGTTGCATACCCGTCAACCGCGTACCGGACCGGCTTCGTCATCCGGGCTCTCCCTATATGATGGAAAAAAGTTTGTTGGTGATGTTATCACTTCTCAGATACGCTAGCCGGTTGCTCACATTCCGGTTTTTGCTTCCGTTGGCCGGGAGGACTTCCCGTTGGCCGCCAGCAATCAGCCAGGTCTGGGATCACCAACACTACCGCGCGCCGGCAGGGCATCCGGGAATCAAGGCGGTCAAAGCGCGTTCAGCTCCTTCACCTCCGTGCCATGTTCGTCCAGTCTCCTCTCCCACCACCGTATCCGCCCTTCCGACCGACCGTTCAGCCAGGAACTCAGCCGTCCCAGCAATCACCCCACCCCCTATCCTATCCCTTGCCCTTGACCCTGACCCTGACCTGGTCCAACCAGAGAAACGGAATCCATGGTCAAGAAAACGGTGAACGGTCTCGGTGGACAAGGTGAACCGTGCAATGCCCACCCCATGTCCGACCATGCGGCCGGAAGCTGTCCCGGAAGCTTGCTCCGCTTGTCGGGTCTCTCAGTTGCCCTGTTTGGGACCTGTCAGGGCCTAACGGAGAATGGGATCAACACAAGATTGCAGGCAATTCATCCCGACCGACACCGAGACCGGCATTACCGGTAGCTTTTTTTTCTTGCTTTTGGGCATTGATGTCGTCGACATGTCACGCGGACACCGGCGACGACAACTCGCAATTTGAGTGTCGAGAAAGAGATAATTACTGCGAGGGGGTCATCACCACCACGAAGCGTGGGGAGGTCCCCTGAGAATTGCTTCTTGTCGCACGCATTCTCGAGGCACAGAGAAAACGGAATCCTATCCCTTGCTCCCCTCCCTATCGCCGCGGTGTGTCCAGCTTATCGGAAGGGGAAGCGCCCAGCCCGCACACACCGAGGATCTGGGAGAGTGGACCTTGTCCGGGGAATTGAGGGTCGCTCGCGCGGGGGATTCGGGAACGCATGGGATTACAATTCCCTCATCCCTCCCATCCTCCAAATTTTCTCGCATCCCACTCCTTCCTTCCTTCTTTCTCACCTCGGTCGGGGAAGGTCGCCATTTCGCGCGACGTCGCGGGCAGGGGGGGCGGCGGCCTTCGGCGTGGGGGTGGGGGGTAGCTAGAGTTGATAATCGGCTGGCCCAAGGGAACGGGAAAGAGAAGCAGGAAAAGGAAAGCGAAATGTTCCAAAACACCATCCCAGTCCACCAGTCCTGATAATCGATAACCCCCACATGCATCATTCTGCGTGCTTTCGCATCTGCCTCAGGATGCCCAAAACGATGCTGCTGCCCGCTCCCACGCCTCTTGGCTTGTGAAAAGGGCCAGGAGCACCAAAACCACCGCGACCTTCCCGGTCCGGAAGCTCGGTAAGCATCGCAGCGTCGTCGCATGGGAGCGACTACTCTGGGTACGGAAAGTGTCAAAAAACTTCTCGAAGGCTGCATGGAAGGGTGGAGGTAATATCGGCCACCCGGGGACGGCTGTTTACACTCTTTCGGATGAATTTGGGCCCTAGGAGTTCTCCACGATGCCTTGCACCTTGCAAAATCTACAACCGACGGTAAAAGGGCGCATCACATGCTTACTCCGGCGCCTCCGTCATCCTCAGACCTCAGTCAACAAGTACCACCACCACGAGGATCAAAACGGCCGTCTCGCGTCGAGACACCCACTTCCCCAGAGTTTCACAGAACGGAGCCTAGGCTACTGGCAAAGGGACCTTTGGCCTATCCTCTCTAATCTGAGGCTGTGCGAGCATGTGTAAGACGGGACGGGGCGGTAATGTCGGTCGTGTGTCTTGCGGCTTGGATGCGGAGGTAGGTTGAAGAATGACTCAACCAACGTTCATATGTCAGCCAGGCGAATTCCTCATCACCAGACCCGGGAGCCTATACGACCTCGGGATCTGGACAGGAGCATCTGATACGATGATGCCAACCACCAGTGTTTTCTCTTCGACATGGTGAAAGTCAAACAAAAACAGGGAAACCCGCCCATGACGCAGCTTTTGCCATTTGTTCTCCCCTTTCCCAAATGTTAAACCGAGCTTGTGTGGTCCAAGAAGTGTTGGCCCCGACGAGTTGTCAACCACACAGAACACAGATGCTCAATCTGGAAGTTTTGACTGGATGAGGCGAAATGCCCAACTCAGCGCTCCTCGCTCCTGTCCCACCGTTGAACTGGCCCGCGATACCTATGGGGTCACAGCCTAAAATGGCTGTTGCTCCATTTCAGGCCCGACAAACCCACCCAGCCTAGATTCCCAAAAAGACACATTTTCCTCCAATGGATGGTGTAAGTGCAATTCTGGGCCCTCTCATTGGTGGTGGTGCGAGCGAGTTGGTACGGATTAGAAATGCAACGTTTCCCACCTACCCAAATCTGCAGGTTGCATCTTTTGCATTGCATATACAGCAAAAGCGAGGTACCTGCTGACCGTTGAATCGGGGCCTTTTCTCTTCGCCGGTGTCGATCCGCAGATCCGGCGATCGGTCGGTGGTGTTGGGGTTGTTAACCCCGACGGTTGATAGTCGGGCTGGTGCGGAGAGTTGTGGGGCAGTTATCGGTGCGGGGCCGACATGCGGGGCCGATGTGGACTCCGGTTTATTACACAAAGGACACATGGCGCTGGGATACGGCTGGGTCAGTTGACTCCGGGCTTGTCGGGGATGGTATTCCGAGTTGGTTCCGAGTGAGGTTGGAGTGTATCGGCGATATGTCCCACGAGGCAAACTGGCAACTGCGATTCAACTGGCAGCATTCCTCTCATCCAGGAGCAACATCGACTTTATCCCATACGTGGAACCATCTCAGCACTTCCAGAAGTAAAGCATACAGTCACTACCGGAACCATACAACATTGCTCCAGGAAACATCCCAAGTTTCATCTCACATCACCAACCCTCCTCAATCCCCTCCAAACCACGTCCATTCAGGCAGACCAACTCCACATCTCCCTCTCTTGTACCCTCTACTTCTCCCCCCTCACATCGGAGAGATAACTAACCTTAGCTACAGCAGTCTAGCCAAAAATTCCAAGGGCGCCAATGCAAGAGATCAGATCAAACCGCGATCTCCATATGCCTGAACTCTCCTCACCTCCAATACCACCCTATCAACCCCAATAAGAGCCCAGATCCGGGGATAAGCAAAGCTGTCACGTACAGCATCTCATACACTACCACCGTGATTCTCCTGCCTTGAGGAGGGGTAGATGTAGAACAACTGCTATCTCACATTCAGGGGAGAACGTTGCTTTGGTGGTCGTTGCACATTGTGATATGATACACTTATCATCCTGGGACAAGCATTCTCCCTAAACCAAACAAATCAGATATATCACACCTCCCAAGCTATATAACTTCCCGCGATGCCAAATTGTGATGGCGGCTATACGAGACACATAACTAAAGTGGGGCCAGGGAGGGTGGGCTTGCATGAGCGTTCAGTCATGTTATTTCATTCCTTTCCTATCATCCCTTATCCTCCAGTGTTCGCTTATTATAGTAAGTTGACTCACATTTTGTGACAAGCAAACATTATTTTCGCCGCCCGCTGGAAAATAAACAAGTAGGCATAACACGAGCTTTTTAACATTTGAGGGGGGGGAAGAAAGTGTGAGTTGTGACGGCGACAGCTTACAGGCCACAAGACAGCCAATCAGAGCTGGGGATCACTTACACGTTTTTGCTTGGCGGTGATTCGTTCGTTTTTTTGCAGGCTGCCCTTTCTTGCGATGACCCCCGCGCACACACGAAAACCTTTTGCAAATGAAAAATAGTTTACATGAGAGATATGTTTATGCCTTACCGAGCACCCCCCTTCTGGATCATGTGGAAATTCCCTCTTGTTCAGGAGCTTCTAGGCATCGGGATGTGTCGGTTTAAATGTACCGTTCCAAAGTGAGGGGTCAAAGGAGGGGGTGGGGGGGTGATAGAGAGAGAGGGAAGAAATCCCGCCGAGCACAACCCAACAACAACTGAGGGAGCAAAAGTTACACCCGCGCCACCCTCACACAAAATACCGCCGACTCGAAAAGCCGGCAAGGTAAGGCGAAGGGCCGAAGTGCGGAGGGGGGTTGTCTCTCAGGGTGTCTGGACCTAAAGAGGGGAAAACGAAACATCAAAATCTAGATTATTGTCGTGCTTAGATCTAGGCGCGGCGGTTACGGGCGCGCGCGGGGTAGGGTAGGTTAGTGTAAAAGCACAAGCGGTGTGTTGTAAGTTCAACAATGGATGGGGATAGGTCCCCCCCCCACCTCGCCTCATCTTTCCGATGCCTAGAATATCGTCAATGTCGATGTGGAAATGGGTAGGTACCAACGTTTCCAAGAAGATGGGGAACTACACAAAACGGTGAAGGGGGGGATTATTGGCAAATTAGGTTACCTGCCTTAAGAAGTCTCATCTTTAGTCTTTGATCGATCTACCATTCCGATTCAGATTTTTCTCATCGGAAAGCGGGTAGGTACATTTGGCTTCTGGTGTGTACACAAGCCAATTTACAATTTCGTGGGGTTGGTCGGGGGTTGGGTGTACCGTGTGTTGTTGTGTGGTGCGACTTACACACACCTCTCACACTCTCCCTACCTACCCGCTGGCCCTATCCTATTCCTTGATGCCTTCCAGGTTCTTGCTGGCCTGTACCCCGCGTTTAGGTCTCGACACGCCGGCAGCAAAAGCACAGAATTGTCACACTCAACCTTCGCTCATTGGAATTTCCACAAACGAGAGAAAGCTGGGGCAAGGTTTGCTCTTGAAAAGAGGGGCAGAAAGAGAGAAACGCACAACTGTGCCCAACTGATTGAAAGTGGAAAGCTTGATGAGCTGGCCCGGCATGGAAAAGCCCACACTCACCAGAAACTTACCAAAAGGTCAGGTTTAAGGTAGGTCTCAAGGAGGTTGGGCGCTTTTTTTTTGAAGCTTCATCAAGGCATGTCAATGAGGGAGAAATGTAATTCATCAATTAGACATTGCCAGCGAAGCTTTCTGAGGGGCAAGCATGGGGGGTAGCTTCCATCTTTGAGCAGAGCTGGAGATTACCAACCGATTTGATATTGGTCGTCGTCGTAGAAACCAGGCGTGGTGTGGGTTTGAGGGAGAAAGAAAACGGTGCTGCAATGTCATGTTGCCCCTCCATTTTTGGAATGCACGACTGCCCTATCTACCTATGCTGCGGGCCGATGGACTTTGCTGCTGGAGTTTGAGAAAAAGGTGAGGATTGAGGCTGAGCAGGTATCGTGGTATTCGCTGTCGAAGGGTCTGGTGATACTCTCGCCATCTTGGCCGCTCGAGATATGTGCCCAAGCAAGGCAACCCACGGGCGCCTCGCCGAGCCACGACACCGCGTGGTTTTTAGCATCTAGGCAGCATCTGACTGTGATAGTCTCAGTGGTATAGTAGTTCAATTTGCCTGAACAAATCAGGCTATATTTGGGAGGGATATCTGCTACAGAGCCCAAGGTGAATGACGAGTGATGTCATTGGGGACCTTGATGAAAACTAAACAATGGATAGTATCCAAATCTCCACCTCGAACATCTCCACCGCAACCACCACCAAACAGCATAAGACAAAGACTCACAGTCAGTAAATTATAGGCATCAGACTGAGGAAATAATAAGATATGCCTCATTCAGGCATCAGGCAAATTGCAAGCTTCTTGTGGCCTGGTTTGGCGTGATACTCGAAGGTAAGAGGGGGCCGAAAGGTCATGGCAAAAACATCAAAACATACAACACCGGGGATTCCCCAGTGGTCACCCACCTGCGTACTGATCCGGCGGCTATGTAACATGACTGCGAGGATGGGCAACTCCAAACAAGGTATATTGTTTACTTCAAAATGTGGAAGAAAGCGTGCCGCTAAACGGTTTGTTAGTGGACAGGCTGGCCGTCGCAACCGTTACAGAGAATACAGACACACTCCCACCAGTGTTAAAGCGGGTGGAGATGTATTCAGATGGAAATGTGCGTTCAAATCGCGCCAGCAGCTCTCGCCCGGTTTATGATTGCATGCGGCCCGACGCAATCCCGCAAAATCCCTTACTCAGCTTGCCGTGACTTGCCAGCCAGCATCAGTCACCTCTCTGTGCCACCATCCATAATTTTATGTAGCACAACGGGTCGATCGGAGCCCGCAATTTAATTGTTTGAAGGCGTGATCGGAGAAGAGGAGGAACAACTTCGGAGCTTTATGGCCACCTTATAGGAGCCTGAAATGCCACTATGCCTCAGGCTGATATAGCGCCTTGTGACGAACCCTATCCAGAACCTCGTGAAAGAGATACATAGTTGAAGGTAACTTCTATATGCACCTCTTAAAAGCAGAAGATATGTCGGGGGTTATAGAACAACTGAGGGTTGCAGGTGGAGGTGGTGCGTCGCGTGGAAAGTGGTGCACTAGCTTATCAGGCACGTGAAACACTTCACAAACTACCTAAAATAAACCGAAAGAATGTTACTTGATTAGTGCCGTTGATCCATAATTATCCCGAGCCTCGATATCCACTCCGTTGTCGATGAGGAGCCGCGCGATAGCCTCGTGGCCATACCGTGAGGCCCAAATCAGTGCCGTTGATCCATAATTATCCTGAGCCTTAATATCCGCTCCGTTATCGATGAGGAGCCGCGCGATAGCCTCGTGGCCATTCCCTGAGGCCAAAATCAGTGCCGTTGATCCATAATTATCCTGAGCCTTAATATCCGCTCCGTTGTCGATGAGGAACCGCGCGATAGCCTCGTGGCCATTCTTTAAGGCCAAAATCAGTGCCGTTGATCCATAATTATCCTGAGCCTCGATATCCACTCCGTTGTCGATGAGGAGCCGCGCGATAGCCTCGTGGCCATTCTTTAAGGCCAAAATCAGTGCCGTTGATCCAGAATTATCCTGAGCCTTAATATCCGCTCCGTTATCGATAAGGAGCCGCGCGATAGCCTCGTGGCCATACCGTGAGGCCAAAATCAGTGCCGTTGCTCCAGAATCATCCTGAGCCTTAATATCCGCTCCGTTGTCGATGAGGAACCGCGCGATAGCCTTGTGGCCATTCCCTGAGGCCAAAATCAGTGCCGTTGCTCCAGAATCATCCTGAGCCTCGATATCCGCTCCGTTATCGATGAGGAGCCGCGCGATACCCTCGCGGCCATTCTCTAGAGCCCGGTGAAGTGGCTTATATCCTCTCCCATCGACTTTGTCAGGGTCTGCCCCTCCTTGAATTAATAATTTCACAATGCTTAGCCTACCCTCCTGGGCAGCCCACGATAATGGCGTCCGGCCTTGGTAATCCCTCAAATCCTTTTTGTAGTTTAAACCTTCAGTGATATCGACGCCATCGCAGACAATCGATGACAAGCCTAAAAGTGCGGCTATGGCATTTTTATGGCCGTTTGCTAACGCAGCGAAAAGCGGATGCTGGTACCTTTCCCCAGGAACAGCGGTAGCCACTTCTCTTTTCATCTGTGTACGAATAAGGTTTCCCAAGCCTTTGTCTGCTAGAACATAAAGCGGAGTTGCATCCGAGCCATACCGCCGAGCTTTGAACTTCTCGAGGTGGTTAATCACCCTGATTCCATCCGTATTAAAGAATTGGGTCAAAAAACCGTCTTGCGGAACCACAGACGCCGCAGCATTGGCGTGGTAGAGGACCTGCTGACCGGCATACTCCAGGAACGAGCATTTCTCGGCCATAGCGTTCCGCTTGTCATCTGCGCCCTCTGGCGTGACGATGATCGCGCGTACTGTTGGATGATGCAGGTATGTAATGCAACAATGCTTAAGGATTTCGTGGCTAGGACCCTCCAAGTCGAATCCAAGTTCAGGCCACAAATCCTGAATGCCCTTTTCTTTCACCAAAAAGTCCCGCACTGATTCATGAATAAACTGCACGGTCTGTTGCTTAGATTTGGTGATCTCAGCAAGCCCCTTCGAGGAGCTCGTGACTAGTTTGACAGCATCCATGTGTGTGTCATCTGGCAACTCGGGATCGACAAGACGCCGCTCCAACAAGCCCGCCCATAATGCATGGCGGAACTCTGCTGGAGTCAAAGGCCGCTTTGCAAATAGAATCCAGAGAATGCAGAGCTGTAGCGATTCAGTTCTATTTTGATCGCGCGCCAGCATGCTCCTGAAGAGTTTGCTTAATTCGGCCGGGATTTCCAGAAGCTTCTTTCTGAGAGCGAGGGCGCCGTAACTGCTCTCATTATTTAGGATTTCCACTACCAACACGACCCACATGAAAACCCCAGCAGCTTTGTCCAGTATTTGGGATTGTAATTCTTCAAGAAGCGGGCGGTGCGCGATCCTTAGACGACTTTTGACGTATTGTGCCAAGTCTTCTTGGTGTCCTGATTCCTTCTCAAGGGTGAGCAAGATTCCCCGGCAAATATCAATGTACGGATATGGCCGACTCGAGAAACAGATTTGAAACCGAATGCCTTCATCAGTGGCATTCTCTGCTAATTCTTCGAAGAACTGGACCATGTCCCGGACTTCCTGCTCGTCACACTCATCGAGGGCGTCGATGAAGCAGGTAAAGCAGCGCTGGCCAAGGGCCATGACAGCGTTGCTGAGAAGATCCTTCAGAGCGTTCAGGTCAGGGCAGTCTTGTTGGTTCCGTGGAACAATGTCCGTGTTGTCTAGGACGGATTGAAGGTCCGAAAACTCGTGCAGGAGCTGCGACAACAGAGATCGGTACATCCCGGAGATGGACCTTTCCAAATAGTCGCCTCGTGCATTGAAGAAGAAGGATACCACGGCCACACTGGGTTTCTTGGGGCCTTTCTTCATTTCCAGGTACACGAACTTCATCATGGTTGACTTTCCGGCGCCTGCCTTGCCTCGCATCCATAAGAAGCCATGATGCTGTGATTGCTTCCTAGGGTCAAGCCAATCCTGATATTTTGAGTGCTGTAGAAGCCAACGGCAGGTTTTTGCATTTGCAGCCCGAATAGTGGTTCTGCGGGCATCGATTTGCGGAAATTCAAGGCATTTCAGCAAGCGTTGCCGCCGTTCCAAAGCAGAGTCGACTACTCACATCCCCAGTCAGCATGATACTAGAGGAGAAGAGACGGGCCAGGGCAAGGGTCTGTATTACCGGCGGTATCGAGCTGGCTCACATCGATTATGGGAGTCCGATCAAGTGTCCTGGACGAGGGCGGAAGCCCTTCTAGCAATTCCCTCGCGTATGCAGCTGCAGTTGCAGCAGAATAGTCCTGCCACTCCTTGTTCTTGTGGGAATCCGAATAGTCGCAAATTCCACGAATCGGCAAGCACTGGAGGTTATCCATCATGCCGGCTGACTCCATTTCGAAGCACAGCGCCGAAAGTCGCTGAGCAATGTCATCCCGTACTTTCCCGTCCTTCATAACCCTGTTTCCCGAAGCGATGACTCCGTAGTGGATCCTGGGTTCGTCAGAGAGGCGTGCGCCTCGTGGTTGCAGCTTTGCTGGGTCGCAGTCAATACATGTTGGAGCCTCGAGAAGGTGGTTATAGGACGCTTGGAAGAGGCGATCGGGGTGGTTCGGGCGCAAGATATTCGGGAGTCGGCTTCGCAGGATCCTTGCCATCCGACTGCTGGAATGGTGCGGCCCATGCTTCGATCGTAGAGCGGACACAGCTGAGTTCAGTAACCACGAAGGTGTCTTCGCATCAGCCGTTTCTTGGAACGAGCCGCCTGCAATCACTTTGCCCATGTCATACTGCATGACCCTCGTGCCGACGACAACATCACCTAGGTACAAGTCGGCCTGGCTAGGGGATCCGCCGCCAATGCCGACCATTAAGGTAGCGCGGATGCTTGGAAAACTCCGCTTCAGGTTTGTCGCGACGATTGCGGCGTTGTTCGTTCCATACTGTCCCGGCAAACATGTCATGACAACGTTGTGCTGGTCGATGCGTCCGAGCACGTAGATGTTGTCGTCGCCGGCTTGGTTGGGTGGCAGTGGGTGTTCCTCGTCCAGCATGGCACGCGATACCGCCAGTTCTAAGGGAAGTGCACAGATCCAGGCGATTGTGTAGTCTCCATGCACAAGTGGAGAGTACGCATCGTGGTTTGGGTAAATGCTGCCATTGGAGGATGTGTCGAAGATTCTTGGCCGTTTCGGAAGGCTCGCAGACGGTTCTTCATCTTGGTACGTTCGTTTCGGAGTCATGGCAGGGCGTTTGCATTACCGACAATCGTGGAAATAGGTCGAAACTATTCGTGGGTGGCAGATGCTGGAGCGAACGTCAGACCTGCCAGCTTGGAGCAAAGTGTGAGGTGTTCACGATGGCGCAGGCGTGCAACTGAACATTTCGAAGGAGGCAGCCGAGCAGGTGAGTGGTGCCACGTGCGGCATCAGGCTCTGCAGGTACGCTTCCTTTCTAGACGTCGAATCACCTTTTTGGTGCCTCTTAGTTTCCCGCTACGCTACACACTAGGTTTCTGACGTTCTAGAAACCTACAACTTTATCTGTCTTACACTTGGGATTCCGAGATGTTGTGTTAATCTCCGAGGTACCGGCTACACAGGCCTACCTTGGTTCGCAGCCAGGTCAAGTCCGGTTTTCCCAATTTCCTCAAGGCTGCGTCTGTGCAACGCCCAATGAGCCATCCGCTCTCTGTCCAAGGGCCCTCCAGTTCGGTTGTGGTGGCATCGTAGACTGAAATTGTCATGATTGGAGATGCCTACGAAGTGGAACAGCCTGAACTCAATCTTACCAACATGACTTCTCACAGCTCAGACGGCTGTGTGAATTTACTCAGGACTGCGTCACGCAAGTACTGTTGCATTCTCCCACCTTCAAATCTGCGAGCTGCAAATAGATTATCATGACGCTCAATTACACAAACAACTAGACACCATGGCGCGAAGGCGGCGCTACTTCAGCCTCGCCTCCAGCCGCTAGCTACCAAGGCAGTGGGTTGACGGCACCACAAGCTAAAACCCAGCTCGAGGCAAAAGAAATACTATGAATATTAGGACGAGAAACAGCAGACGCTCAGGTTAACTGGGCCCTTTTATCGGCAGATTTTTATATCGACTCTTACCGCCGTTAGCGGTAAACGTGGTGTATCGTCCTATTAAGCTAATTAAATCACATAGTAACTTAAAGATATCCCAACGATAATAGATTATCTCTGCGAACCCCGTCGTTACTAGATTCTTTAATTCCCCATTAGGTTTCCTAATCCTTCTAAAATCTTAAACTATCATGTCTGCCCCTCCTCGGCGCTCTTACCGAGGGGCCGGTGGCTGGGTCTATGGACGGGGCTAACCTCTCTCGAGGAAGCCCGGGGTCAGGGGGAGCTTCCGGGGCCCATGATGCTTGCCCCCGGCTCGCCCGGTTTGCCTAATCCTTCCATAGCAATCGATCAACAGGTACGTGTGGTTCACGACACAAACAAACGTTCATTTCACCTCACCTCGTTCCACTCATCTTGTCAACGAGCGTTCCCTCGTCTCAAAGCTCAACGCCAAACGCAGAGTGTGATGTGCCTTAGGTTTGGACGGCGCCATGGAAACATCAAACAGGACATGGTTTAAAGCACACTCCACACTACGGTCCAGCCGACAACGGCAGAGTAACTCTGTAAAACCGTTGGGTTAGCCCCACAAATTCGACATGTTCTAAAAGCGACCGAGGAATTCATGCGAGCGGGGATTTTGTTTTGATCCTAGGTTTCCCGTGCTCTATCTGGGACAGCTCAAGATGGGAACATGGCAACCATTTGTTATGCGTCACGCATTCCCGTCTGACATCTGGTTGGCAGGCTTGCGTCTGTCACAAAGAAGAAAGAAGACAAATGCTATTGCTGATACTTGATAGCAGCTTATCTTCAGATATCACTTCCTCAAGGTAAACGCCCGATTAGTTCCCGACTTTCACAGCTGGTCTTGGGTGGCTGCCAGTTGGGTTCCCAGCTGCCGCTACTAAAAAATGAATATCAAAACGCTTGCTAAGGCTTTTGGCGATGCATTCCATAGTAGACGAAAACTTCACCGCCACAACCCACAAAAACGGCCACCAAAATCAACCAAAAACAATGCGGTTTTGCGGATAAAAACATACAACACCAGGGATTCCCCAGTGGTCACCCACCTGAGTACTGGTCTGGCGGTCAGCTGTTTGACTAGGGGAGAGCGGACGGGATCCCGTATTTTCAGCTGCCTATGGTCGTATGTGAAAGAATGGAGTGGATAATGGGGTTGTATGTGCTGTTGGAAGAAGAGATGGCGAGAGTTTCCCATGCCATTGCATGGGAAACAGAGAACGTTGACGAAGAGACGGAATGACGGCGAAGAACGGGCTGCATACTCTACAAGAAACGATCTACAAAACACAGCTGTCGACATCAATGTGGCCTTTGAATCAGAGCCATCGCTGGTCCAGAATGTGGGTATCATCTTCTGGAAGAAGAGATGACGATATCTATGGCTTGATATGAGGTTGTGTCGGGCTGTAATCACAGAAGGTGCAATCGTGCAGTTCTTGCCATGTTGTTCGGAGTCAGTTGGCACCGGCTGTTGAGTGGTGCCAAACTCACTCCTCTTAGCTCTCATCCCACTTCTCACTCTCATCTCACCTCCCACTCAAGCGGCCTCGCCGAACAGCTCCTCGCTCACAAATCCTCACAACAAGCAAACCATGTCCCATCAATACCGCAAACACTTCACCCCCCTCGAATCCAACCCCTCCCTCTTCACCTCCCTAGCCCACACCCTCGGCCTCTCACCCGCCCTAGAGTTTCACGATGTCCTCTCCCTCCACGACGCCGACCTCCTCTCTCTAACCCCACGTCCAGCCCACGCCCTCATCATAGTCTTCCCCACCTCCCCCAACTACGAAGCCGAACTCACCACCAAGGACAAGGATATCACCCAGTACACAAGCAGCGGTGACAACGAGCCAATAATCTGGTACAAACAAACCATCAACAACGCCTGCGGCCTCTACGCCATCCTCCACGCCGTCAGCAATGGCCACGCTCGAGACTTCATCAGTAAAAACCCCTTATCCCATCCCATCCCATGCTTACGACATGGCAGTTAACCTAGAACCAGTTCCCAACTCACACCTCTATCAGCTCCTGACAACTTGCACACCCCTCAACCCACGAGACCGCGCCACTTTCTTAGGAAACGACACGAACCTGGAAGCAGCGTACAAAACTGTCGCTCTACAGGGTGACTCGGCCGTCCCTGAGAATCCAGAGGATGAGGTCGACTTTCATTACGTGTGTTTTGTTAGGTCGCCCAAGAACGGGCATCTATACGAGCTGGACGGAGACAGGAAGGGGCCAATTAATCTAGGAGAGTTTGAAGAAGACGATCTCCTTTCTGAACGGGGATTAAGAGTGCTAAAGGAGTTTATCGAGAAAACAGAGTGCGAAGGTGGAGTTAGCCTACTTGCGTTGGCTCCGGCGGAATAGGTAGGCCAGATGGTGGCTATGCATGATCAAAACTTCAGCCGCCATTGCTTGCACACTGAGCAGGTATAAAACAGACAACTGCATGCGTGTCATGACAAAATAAACCCATTTATAAAGGCGTAAATATCCCTCGGCATTCGGATAATACATGCCTCTTTTTGTATCTAAAAAGACCCCAGTTCCATAAAAGGGGCATATCCCTCCCATATATATCCATAAAACCCCCATAAACGGTCACAATGATCCAATTAAAACGTCTTCGACTTCCTCTTCCCCTCCCTCTCATAAGCGATAACCCCATTCGGCACATCCTCCAACGCCCTCGGCTTCTTCCACATAACCGACTTCATAGCTCCATACCACCCCAGCTCCTGCCTCTTCCACGCCTTAGGCTTCTCATGCCCATCCTCTGACCTCTGCAAAATAATTCGCGGTCTATTCCTGTTTCTCCCAGCAGCAGCAGGCAACACCTCCAACATAGCATCATCAATGTCCTCGTCCCAATCAGGCTCCATCGCCGCCGTCGCCAGAGCAGCACTCTCCGGCGGCAAGCCAATAGCTCTCTCCTCCATGTCATGATTCAAAACAAACACCACGCTCGGATCATGCGGCACTTGTGGTCTCTGCTGTTGCAAGCCCTGTCCGCCGCTGCTGCTACCACGTCCCTCCCCAGGATGATGTCTCCGCCAAGTAACAGTCCTATGCTCCTGAACTTCGACATCCACAGTCCCATCACTCATGCCGCCTTCGCTGTCAGTGCTGAGTCGTCCAGGAACTCGTCCCGGAACAACCAGGTCGGGCGCAACCTCCACCCAGACTTCGGCCTTGCGGATAGTATCCGCATATATGATCAAGACCGACATGATGGAAAGAGGAACAGCAGCGGCCCAAAATATCCAAAACCTAGAACCAGAGGGGCCAAAAATTTCACCCATGGACAGAATTCCAGAGACGATGGGTAGGGGAATGAGAATACCACCCATATAGCTGATCCGGTCCAACGCTCGTCGATTCTCCTCCGCCGAAGGCCGATATGCAAGCGCCCTTCTCAACCGCGCAGCTCTCACCGCGGTGCTGGGTATGCCAAAGCGAGTAACCGCCTTCTCGCGCACCTCGTTCTTTGGCTGCTGAAGCACAGGCGGGGTTGTCAATAACGTAGCTGGTGTCGAAGCTGCCGATCTAGGTGACCCAGGTGATCTTCGGGAAGAGGGTGAGCCAGGTGAGCTAGGCAACATGGGAGCCGAAGCCGACTTGAGCGGAACAGGTCTCTTGATGGTGGGTAGAGACAAAAGCGAGATTCGCCGCTGTGCTCGGTCGAGAAGTCTTCTCCAGCATGGACTGTTGCCCTCCTCTTCGTTGAGCTCCAGAGATTGCAAGACCTGCCACCAAAACGCCATGGTATCGTCCGTGACGGGATGAGAAGGCGACTCCAAAAACTCAAACAGCTCCAACCATCTGTCGTATGCCAAATCAAGCAACAGCTCCCTCAGAGATTTGTGATGCGTTTCGCCACTCAGTGTGCTCAGAAGAGAAGCTTCAAAGCTCCCAGCCTCGTTGGTCTCACTGTAAGGGGAGGGACTAGGTGGATCGCGAAAAGAAGCGACAGGCGTCCTCCATGGTGCCTTGCGAACCTGCCAAGAGCGTCTCCAGACTGGATTGTCCAAGAGGAGCAGGTGTCTCTGATCAGAGATGCGTAGGGCCATGCGGCAGAAAACGGCAGAGGTCTTTCCGCTGCTCGATGGGAGAGTTCTGACAGGTGGAGGGTGCACTGTGTCGGTCTCGTCCCTGTCGAGGCGGAGAGGCCTGAGTCCCTGCATCAGCTCTGGATACTCGAGAATGCTCCATCGTCTTTCGCTGCTGGAGGCCTGCTGGTTGACGAGTCCGCTTCTAGCAAAGGGTCTGTACTCGCGTCTCGAGGCAAAGGATGCGAGAAAAGCAGAGTCGCTGCCGTTTAAAAGGAGGAGCACATCGGCGTACTTGGGGGACACGCCATGGAGGACAACTATGTCATGCCAATCCCCAGCCTCAAGCTCAGTGCTCTTTTGGAGGTGTTCGGCGAGGGACTTTGGCGTGGGTAGGGGGACGAGTTGACCTCGCCTAACGACGTAGGCTGGGTGGGAGTCGAAGTCGGCCATACTGTGTCTGGTGGAAAAGTGAAGTCAATCGATTTCGCACGTGAAATTCTACAGGGCCAGTCTTCCATGCTTTCTCTGCTCCTTCCGGGGAAGTAGGTTTCCAGGGGAGGAGATTCCTAAATGGGGCTCGGGCTCGGGTTCGGGGATAGATACGGGACCTGAATTCCGCGAAATGTCAAGGCCTTCACTGTCAGGAACAACTCGGGCACAAACAATTACATCAGTTGCCAAATTGAGAACCTCAATGGCAAAGTCCAAACCCTGACGCAAAATATCCAGAACCTTACACAAACTGTCCAGAACCTCGAGCAGCGCATCGATCGCTTCGAGTAGGATATGCAGCCTGTCTGCGCGTTTTTGACGTCTATAAACGAATATCCATCCAAAGGCGTCTCGCTCCCAAACGTTCCCAAGGTGACTTCGTCGACGGCTGCAAGCGCGGGCCCTTCGAACTTCACAAAATATCTTTGCATGAGCGGGGGCTCTGGTTTATCGTTATTTCGTTTGGCGGCGCCGACACAACGTGCATAAATCTCCTTTCCCCTTTTAATAAAGTTTACAAACTTGTGGTGGAAGTTATCCGTCTTTTTTTTTATTCTGTTCTAACTACCTAGGGGGGAAGAACGAATCCAAAAACGAGTGAAATAAGAAAAAAAGATTCACAAAAGCAGGGTCCGGATGTGCAGGTTGGGCGGCTTGGGTTGTGAAGTGTTAAGACGACAGTCCAAAACTCATGACTCGCATTACAGTACCGGACAGCACAGGGCCCAGTATTGAGATGTCAGGCACATCCTCTGTTGACCTGCAATTTCCTCCATATGGGGCGTTACATCAGCTTTTCTCAAGTGGAAGGAAGGCAGTGGTAGCCCAAAGAAACAGGGTGCTGCTCTCCCTCTCCAACAGCCCAGCTGACTTCCATGAGCTGGCGCACTATGGACAGAAGAATGACAATGCAAAAGTCCAAAAGAACAGAAACAGGCCTACCGATTACCTCAAGAGGTCTCTACGATAGTTTAAATGGCCTTCTAATTACATTCAAATGCCTCCTAACTATCTTTAAAGGCCTAGAACATATATTTTAACACCTATTAAGTATCTTAGAAGCCCTCCTGATTATCTCAAGATACATACATATTAACTATCTTTAATGGCCTGGAAGATCTATTTAAGGCCTATTAATTATCCTGAAAGGCCTCAATTGTACTACTTTAGGCGTCTAATATCAGTCGCGAGGTGTTCAACATGGTCACGAGCCTTTGAATGATAGCGGAGATGTATGTAGACTATGTTTGATGATGAATGGAAGGTATCACGGTGGCACCCAGAAAGCTGTGTGCGAAGATGATGAATTGAGAGGAAGCTATTGGTGAGAAGAGCTAATCTATATATGTATGCCTGTGTCAGTGCCCTTGCCAAATTGCTTCAACCTTGGAGGCCCTTTGTAAGCATGTTACATATCATATCCCCTGTACAACCCCTGATGACAGCCCGTGTACTCTGTAGATTCAAGAAATCTCTCATTTCTCACCCCTTCTCCGCTTGTATTCCTCTTCAGTTATCCCATACCAGATAAAATTACCATCAGGAGGCCGGTGGTAATTGCCCTCCTTTATCTGTCTCATCTTCCGACGCTCCCTCTCTTCATGGTTGCCCATTATATTCCTATCATACTCTTCCCCAGCCCCATCCCTGGATCAGGCCTCAACCCAACTGCCGCTACTTCCCTTGCCTCAAGGGCACTGAGAAAGTCAACTGCGGTTTTGAGAGTAACCTTAATCACATTATCGTTGAGCTTGGTGCCAAAGGTCAGGATCTTGTCTTGTGGGATAGCCTGGAAATCAATGGGTGCGCTCAAGTCTCCCTCCATCCCCGTCCGGACCAGAAAGACTGGCAGGCTGCCAATCTCTGCTGATGGCTGGTACCGACAACGAACAGGAACAACGATCAAGAGAAGAGCCTTAAACAGATGTTGGAGAACATAGCGCTGGGTTGGATTTTCCCTGGCGATAAATTCTCTGCAGCCTCTTTCGTTGCTCGTCTCGTATTGCCTCCGGACAATGGGTTCTGTGAGATAAAGTTTCGGATAAGCCTCGATGGCAGCACAGAGGGCCTTGTTGAGTGAGATGAACTCGTCGATAGAATCTTGCGTGGGGTCGAGGTGGTCGCTCTCTGCATAGTGTGTGTGGCATGCATCTTTGAGGTAGAGAAATTTGCAAAGGAAGCACCGCCCTTCAATCTCGGTTCGATACAGTTTGAACCATCGGCGATAGATGTGATTGTGAAGAAAAGTATAGACCGGCCCCATACTTGCGGGCGCCGGCACAAAGTAGAGAGGGAACGACTTATTGTATATGTCTTCATATTGGTAGGAAACCAAACCTTTCAGGTCTGGCTGGGCGAGTCCTTCGGCTGATACGCCGAAGAGGCAGCGTTGGTAAATGTAGTGGTGATGGTCACTTTCTGCAGAGCAACGAGTGTTCAATTCTTAAAGTCTGGATCCTTCTCCTCCTTGGCAATTCGCTCCCAATACGAAAGACGAGGCTCAGTCTTGGTCCTGGGTTCGACGACTGTGGTCTGTTCAGAAGTAACCATCTTGAGGTATGTCGAGAATAAATGGTGGAGGGTCTGTTGAGGGTAAGATGAGATGGGAGATGAAGAATGAGGTTGTGACTATGGGTAGGTCTGGAGGTAAAGTTCTGGTGTAGGTGAGAAAATAAAAGAAACGAATGCATGCTCTCTAAATATTTGATGGCTTGGGTGACTGACTGAGAGCATGAAAGAGGAGCAAACTTTGTCTTGCTCCAGTCAACCGCCACAGCAACCAGGCTTTGCTAGTGTACCAAGCGCCGCACTCAAAACGAAACCATAGTTATGTAAAAAAAGATATCGCTGCAGTGGCGTTCTTTGTGTGAAAGAAGCCAAAAGAAACCGCCATCGCTAAGATGAAAAAAAGTAAGCAAAAGAATATGGGAACTGTGAGGCTCGAACTCACGACCTCAGGATAGCTCTGGTGTTGCACATCCAGATCATACATTCGTATGAGACCTGCGCTCTTCCAACTGAGCCAAGCTCCCTGTACAACTTGACATATCCTGATTGGTGGAGATTAGCCTCATGAAGTGTTTTGGTCCAACCAAAAGTCAATGACGAGCAAAGATCACCTTTCCAAGATAACTAACTCCCTCACAGCAGAACCGACCACCCAACATGTACAAGTCTCATCACACGCAGAATTGCAGCCAAGAACATTGAAAAGCAGAGGGGAATCATTTCATTCAGGTCCGGTTGCCGCAGTCAGGCAACCCCATCGTCATCATCGATCATCTAGGTGTAGTAAAGCAGATCTACTACTTTGTGCTATGGTACAGAGAGGTATATCGGAAAGAACCCAACGTGTGTCCTCGTCGGATCCGTCCAGAGGTGGTGTAGGGAGTTGTGGTTTGAAAAGGACGCAGTTGCTCATCATCAACGCCGCCCGAACCCTTGATCTAATGCAAGAAAAAACTCTAAGAGCAAAGAACTCCCCCTGGTGTCTCTTTCGCTCTCTATTAATACAACCCAGCCAAGGAAAATAGAAAAAAGCAGACTTTTACGCCGAAAAGTAAGTCTCTAGATCTATTACTTAAGCGGTAGACTCCTTGAGGAAACTAGAGGGAAACAGTGTTAGTGCCATTCTGGGCGCAAGGGTACCGTAACCGAAGAGCACATACGTGATGAGGTCATTTCTGTCCTTGTCCTTCTTGAGACCACCGAAAGCCATCTTGGTGCCGGGGATGTACTTCTTGGGGTTCTCGAGGTAGTCGAACTGAGCAAGTGTTAGTTGCGAGTCTGGATCTCGTTGTACAGTTCACGGAAAACATACGAGGGTCTGGTCATCCCAGACAACACCCTTCTGCTTGTTGGCATCGGTGTAGGCGTAGCCCTCAACGGTACCAGACTTGCGTCCGAAAAGGCCGTGGAGCGCAGGACCGATCTTGTTGCCGCCGCCAGCCTCAAGGGTGTGGCACTGAGCGCAACGGGTCTTGAAGAGGTTGGCACCCTTCTTGGAATCACCTATCCGGGAGGAAAACCGCGAGTCAGTCATTTGCTGTTCAGATCATGGTGGTGGTGGTGTTTCCGGCGTCTGCGTGATTCTCGACGTGCTCGTTCTAGTGTGCGGCGGCTCTGACTACTACGGCCCTTCTCCCCAGTGCGCAGCTCAAGATGCGCCCAGGGAAAATACCGCATAAGCAGGAGCGGTGAGGACAGGACCGTAGGCAGTAGCAACATTCAGGTACTGGCAGTATGTCGGCGAGGTCGGATGGAGGTCATATGTAGAATGTCTTCAGACGGCTGCTGGCCACGTCATGGGTGCCAATGGCTTGGTGACGAAGAGTTCAGGCGTCCCTCGCAAAGAACGAACCGAGCAGAATTCACGAGGCCGGAAACATGGCGGGCAGTGTGTAGCTGAGGGGCAGGACCTACCGGCTCCGACAGGCATTTTGATAGATTTATGGGGTTGATGTGAGGTAGGTAGGTGTGGTGGTTATTAGACAATTAAGTTGGTGAACAGGAGTCAAAGGCGCAAAAGGTAGACGAGGAAGAAAAGAGGGAGAAGAAAAACAGGATGAGCCGTTAGTAAAAAAAAAAAAAAAGTTGGCTCAACGCCTCTCTTTGCCGCTGCGTGCCGGAATTTTTTGAGCAACCGGCCACGAACATGGCTCTTTTCGTCACTCAATGACCTCCGCCAAGCCTACATCATCAGTCAAAGGAGCCACACTGGGGCTGGAGAATGTGGGGCTGACGACAGACCACAGCCAATCATGACCGCATCTTTAGTCATTCAGCGCGGGCAATGTCGGAAGTGCCCGGTATCGCAGCCTGTCGTCCGAGCTTCCTGTGGCTTCAACGCAGCCATCCTGGTCCTAGTGCGCACGATGCGCTAGCAGCCAAAAAACGGAAAAACGAACGAGCTTCCAAAACGCTAAGCCACATGGGGGAATTGGCCAACCAGAGCAGCTCCTCCAGGCAAGCACTGACGCAAGTTTTTTTGCTGCACCGTTTTCCCCTCGATGCATCGCCGATTGAGCCGCACCCAACGAGACCACGCCATTGGACTGTTTTTTGGGCTTTAAGATAGCCTCACATACACTCAATACACACCAAGTCAAAAGACCACCAAGAAACATGGCCTCAACAGCATCAATCCCCCGCTTTCTCCTCCCCCGAACGAGGCCTAATCTGGAGACGCCTCTCCCCCGCGAACACCACCTCCCCCGTCGTCCTCGTCCGCTTCTCCTCCACATCCCAATCCAAAGACGGCAAACCCCTCGTCCTCGAAAAGCCCGAACGCTTCGTCCCCCCATCACATGGCTCCCGTCTCCCCGGCTCCCGCCGTTCAACCCTCGGCGACGGCCCCCGCCACTACGGCGGTGACCTCTCCGAGTCTGAACTAAAAGCACAAGCCAAAAAGGACTACCCCATGACCCCTCCCCCCGAGGGCACCTGGGCGCATTGGTTCTTTTCCCAAAAATGGGTTCACATCACCGTCACCCTTGTTTGTCGCCCTCCAAGATTCGCCACCCCTTGCCCCAGGTTGTATCTCTAACAAATGTGAACAGGGCACCCTTACAGCCCTCAGCATATGGACCTTCACCCTAAACTACAAGCACAACACTCCCTTCGGCGACATGCTCCCTCCCATGTCCGACTTCTTCTGGCACCCCATCTCGTCCACCCGCGCCCTCGTCGAAGTCATCCGCCTCAACGAAGCTCACAACACTGCCCGCATCCAAGAAAAGAGAAGAAAACTCGTCGAGGACGTCGCCAAAAGGACAGCGTATAGGAGAGCGCACGGCTTGCCAGAGGAGTACGGCATGTTTGGACTCAAGAAGGCCACCATTGACCCAGACCAGGTGTTTGGCACAGAGGGTGGTGAGAAGAAGGAGCAGCAAGGGACAACGGTGGTGGACGATGCCTCGCCTATCGCTCCGGAACCAAAGCGATTGACGGACGAGCAGCAAAAGGAGATGGTGGGTGAGCTGAAGAAGAAGTGGCTGGGTATCTTTTGATATTCCTCCTTCTCATAGAGTCTGCCACATGAAATGTGAACGTAACATGTAAAATTATGTACAAACAACGTCCACAACGGCCGAAAGGCGTAAATAAATCTATACCCCTTTCTTTCTTGACCCTCAGAATCCTCCCTTGACAATTCCCCCCTGTCTCAAGAAGTGTCAACCCCCTCCAAAGCATCCAGCACCTCATCCGCCACCCCACCTCTAACCAGCACCTTTTGCACCAACGCCCCCATCACAACAGCCTTGGCACCACCCCTAGGCGGCTTCCAAACACCCTCCACAGCCTCGCTCTCCGTCTGCCTCGCCTCGGGCATCTTCTGGTTCGCACCCGTACTCACAACCTGCGCATGCCCATAAGCGCTATTCGCCGCGTTGGCCACCCCCGGCGGCGTCAGTCTCGAAGGCGGGTCCACCGTCCTGATAGACAATAGCTTCAGATTCCTGCCCGAGTTGTTGCTCCTCCCATCCACATCCATCCCACCCTCTCGCGACGAAGCGTCATCCCCAACCGAAACAGCCAGCACCACATCCGCCACTGCCAGCTCCTCCTTGCTCGGATCAAAAATGACATTCCCCCCCACCGCCATCACCAGCAACGTCACAGGCGGGCGTTCGGTAACTCTTTTCGTGGTCGGGTTTCGTGCGTACAGATACGGCGCCGCAGCCCAGTCGTCGTCAAAAAACGGGTCTTCATCCCCTTCTGACTTGAGTTTAGGGAGGCGGGTGGCCAGAAGGGCGAGGTGGGTTGTTAATGACAGCAATGGAAGCGGATACGAAAGCGGCGGGCTGATCAACAAAATCTACACCCCAAAGTTAGCACCACCACACCATCACTCTCTCTCTCTCTCTCTCTCTCTCTCAAACAAACAAAACTCACATCAAGATAAAGCTTCCAATGAAACCGTCTATTAATCCTCAACCGCCTCACAAACCCTCCATCAGCAAGCAGCGCCTCACAAAGCATCTGCCCCAAAAACACCGTCCCACTATCATCGTCCCTGTACCCCGGAATCTCAACCGTGAGCTCAACCCAATCACTACTCCCCTGCTCCTCCCCCTCATCTTGTTCTTCTCCTTCTTCCTGGTTTTGATTCTCCCCAAAGATAGTATCGTCATCCCACCTCCGCCTCGTCTTTTCCACTTCTGCCTTCACCCCCACGATCGCCTCTGTCCCGTCCGCGAAGCAGATCCGAGCCGAGCCGTTCGTCCCAGGCAGGATCCCCGTCTCGGCGGACAAAGGCCGGTACTGAGTCGGCGAGCGGCCGTCGGGGCGGATGGGGGGGTTGAGACTGAGGGAGGTGTGGAGGTAGGAGAGCTCGGCGGGGGAGAGGTGGACGTTTGTGGAGGAGGCCATCTTTTTCTTCTTCTTTTTCTTTTCCCTGGTGGTGGTAGGTGTCTAAATCAGGGCGCGCGATCAGGCCCCAGTTGGGATTGACTGTGGGAAAAAAAGTTACGGTAACCGCAAATCGCCCTGGGAGGAGTTGTCGTGTCGCGGCAAGGCTGTCGCAAATCAAAAGTTTCGGAGAGACAGTTGCTAGGCGGGGCACTTTTTTCCCCCCTGCTTGCTGCTCCAAAAAAAAAGTCGCTGGATTGGCGAGGCTGTTGGTGTGGGGGGTGAGGCTGGAGAAAGCTCCAAAAGCTGAATCACCCAGATTGACAGGGGAGTAGCTCTGCCTCAGCTGTGGATCTCCATCACTAACCCCACACCATGGCGTCTAGCCCCTTTCTCGTCACTCTTAACAACCAGTTTTTTTGTTTACTTTCTCATTGATGAACCTCTCAGATGTACATGTGCAATCTTTTTTTTTGCCTATTGTTACCTCTCAAGAAAACTGTTCTGTTTATCCAGCTAAAATCTCGAGAAGCCTCCCAAAACACACTAATAATACTATTATCCGCTGAATTAATTCCGCTGAAGGGTGGGTTCGAACCCTGCTGCCAAAGGTGTCCTATACACCAGCTTTTACCCATATCCTTAAACACTCCCTTCCCCTCACTGAACACCATTCGCCGTCTCCAAGAAATCCTCGGGAATCTTCCAGTCGTGCGCGCCCGCAGCCCGTCTGTACGCCTCAATCGCCTCCCCAACAGCATAGTCTTGGTGCCGTTGCCCCTTGACAACAGGAGCCAAACGTGCCGGACGTGGATCCTCACTCAACAAGGCCATCCGAATCTGCATCAACACACTCTCCATGCTGCTCACAGGACTCCATCCCGTCGAAGTCAGTAGTTCCATGCACATCGCCCCGCCCACCGTCATATGACCACCGCCTCCCTGCTGAAAGCCTAGAAATCTCGGGCGAATGGCCCGTACAAACGGCGGGTCAAACGGGAACGACTTTGGAAAGCGAATCTCAAAGACGAGTGACTTGACATCGGCTTTCTTCATGTCCCTGGCAAGCGGCGTGGAGGGCTCGAAAGAGTGAAGCTCGACGATCCACTGGAAGAGATTCTCGATTCTGTCAAAGTCAATGTACCATCCCAATTCGTGCAATGGTGTCCTGGTCTGTAAAACTTGAAGGCTTTTGAGCTCACGACTCAGTGCCTTGATCGCAGACTCATTTCCACTCAACGGGGGCGGTAGATTAGGAAGTGCCGAGAAATCGAGTGTGCCGGGGACAAAGTCAGTCATCGCCATGTCATGGGCGGGTCTGTAATGTAAAGTTAGCAAGCCGTTACGTCCACAAGGGCGTGATATTTACTGACGGTGTAAGTCCAAGCTTCGCGCGATCCCCCTGCGCCGTGATCATTTTCTTACGGCGTTGAGCGACTGGTCCATTTGTCTCTGTGTCGCTAACCAAGAGAGCTACGTCTACGGCATCTTCGTCCTCGCTAAGTTCGGGGCTGTCACGCACTCGCTTGGCCAGCAAAGTTGAGGTGGTTGCATCCGTCCCCGCTACCTGAATTGTTCTCAAAGGGATGGCAGACAGAGGGATCTTGAGGACGGCAGAATTTTCACCCTTTACCTCACGTCCCTTTTGCTGTGTGCGCATAGGCACCGCACCCTTGCCGTGGGTGCTGGGAGGTGTGGATGCTCCAACGTTGGGTTTGGTTGTAACGTTGGATTTGTTACGCGCCAGGGTATAGCTACCATGTGGAGTAACCGGAACCGGAGTTGAAGCCTGTGTTGAAATCTGAGTTGAAGCCTGAGTTGAAGCCTGAGTTGAAGCCTGAGTTGAAACCTGCGTTGAGCACAACTCAGGTCTCGGTTTCACAAACAGGTAGCGACACTGTTGCCAGTCCAACTGACTCACAACATAGTGTGGGGCGGCCGAGACAAACTCCTCGGGCACATTGATGATCTCGTTCAGGCTCATGCACTGCGTGATCTGGAGATCAGAGTTGGGCCATGTCATACCACTTTGTGCATAGTAGATACTCGTGTTGAAATCTGGACTGAAATAGACCCCGTTGCCATAGGCACGGCCGCACGCGACAACCTTGAAATCCAGGCCTGTTCGCAAGATGCTGTGCCAATTAGCAAGATTGCTCCCATGCCACGCCAGAATGGTAGGATGACCCTTGAAATCTTTTCTGCTAGCAATTTGTTGGAGTGCCCGAGAGAACTGGCGTTCTTTCTCGGGCGAGCCTTGGGCAAACCGGAACTGAACCCATGAGTCCATTCCCAAGATGCGCTGGTGCTGTCGATCTCGTCCCTTTCCTGCTGGTTGTTCTGGATTTTCGGGTGATGCTCGATATCGGCGGCGATCAACTTGATAGATGCAAGATCTGTTGGATGAGACGATCCACTGCAAAATGGAAGCTGCGGCAGGTGATATTCCGTCCATGTCCTTGAACAAACATCGCGGATGACTTGTCAACCATGCCTCCATCTGAAGAATGGAAGGGAGGTTCTCGAGAATTTGTCTCATGGCGTGGCCTTTATCGGCATCAGGCAGATCATCGAAGTCGGTGTCGTAGGGAAACACTCTCACGGGCGCGCCAGCAATGCCAACTGGCGCCTGGAGAAGCCCCCGTTGATCGACGGGAAGAGCAGTATATGAATGCCCCGGCCTAATCGAAAGTACGGCGGTGCTGCTTGGAAGGTGAACCTCCTCTACTCGTCCGTGTTGAATCATATTGTCGGTGGTAACCCAAGCAATCCACTTGTACCCAGCCAGTTGTCGGATGTCGTCCATGTTCTCACAGAGAACCAGCCTATTACCATTCAGGAACCCCCTCCACTTGCAGCCTGTCACGTTTAGTAGATTTGGTACTTTAAATCGCAGGCCAACCGGGAGGTTGCGTATCGCCCCATAGCCGACGCTGGATGGTTGTGCTGCAGAGCCGACGCCGATTACCTGGGCTGTAGAGCCGACGCCGGTTACCTGGGCTGCAGAGCTGATGCCGAACGGTTGTAGCGCATTCCGATGACCAGAAGGGTCTGAAACCGCGGCGTAGCAAAGGCTGACGAGGAGATCAACCACATACGGCTCGTTGAGGATCATGGGCTCGATGCTGGGGCCAAATCCCATTGACATGTACTGAAACAAGCAAAGAGGGTTATCGCAGACATATGGTTGGAGTGCCTCGAACTCAGCTTCGATTTTCTGATGACATCTCAGACAGTATTCGGTGCACCTGATGATGTAGCGCATAGCAAACTGCATCGCCACCAAAGGAAAGCTTCTCTCGCCTCCATGGGCATCTTTCAAGTGATCCCCCAGCAGTGGATGGCGTTCCGGCCTGGCATCAGACACGGATTCATCGGTCGGGACTGGATCGTCCGGTTGGGTTACGCAGTTCTGGTAGTGGCGATTTGCCTGGTCCCAGTCGTAGCCCGTTCTCTCTCTGGTCTTCACGATCGAAATAAAGCTCTCGTTCAAGAACTGATCCAACGAGTTGGAAATGAAAAACTTCTGAAGTGCTTCGGTGTCCGAAGCCTGAGCTGTTTGCCCTTCGTCGTCATCTTCTGGTCTCACGCCAGGATTCGTGACAGTAATAAATGCGTTCCTTGCTTCTTGCTCCGATGGCTTGTACTTTTTGCACTTGCGAATTCGAAAGCTGACCTGGATTGAGGATACTGCCTTCTCGATGACAGTCTCGAGCGGGCTGTAGCCATCAAAGCGCAGCAAAAGCACAATGTATTCGCTAGCCTCCAGGTTCCACGCCTCCAAAACCTCCTCCGACAGCCCCAGGCTCTCAACTCGCACCGAGATCGAAACGATGCCATAGATGGATGTCTGGGCGAAGCTAGAGACAAGCCCAATTTTGAAGCCGGCATTGTGTACTTGGCGCAAGTCGCGCTTCAGGCGTGAAAGCAACAGCTTATCCGTCGGGGATAGTGCAATCAGCTCCTTGGCCGTTGCATTTTTGGGTCGACCTGACCCCTCTTTTAGCCCGAAGAGTTCGTCATCGTAATCGTCGTCGGCCTCGGATTGGAAGCCAAACTCATCGTCGCTCATGTCTCCCTCGTCTTGATCCTCCGACACACCTCCCGTCAAACTCATCTGCTTGGAGATCTCTGAAGCTACCTCGTAGACTGTTAGACCTATGAGATAGTCGGCAGTTCTCTTGATCAACTTTTCGATAGGAGCTGGCGGGTCATCCTCGGTATATATCATGAATGAGTTGTTGTCAGGGTAGTCGCCGGTATCCTGCGCCAACAAATGAAGCCGTACTTTTCGGCCAAGCTCGGGGTGTTGGAGTGACAAGACGATCTCGCCATCAGAAATGCCATCTTTGAGGTCTAGAACTCCAGCGAGGCCACCGCCAGTGATCTTCTGTCGGGCGGTGCCCACGTCGGCCTTGAACCGCTTCAGTGTCATGGTGTTTCTGTTTTCTGAGGTAATGATATCGCAAGTTTCGTCGTCTGGTAATTAGTGAGGACGGTGTGCGGGCCTGGCTAATGTTTTTGGAGTGTCACGCCAGCCAGCGGGAGATGATGAAATCGGACTGGTTGGGTTGGCGGGACGAAGTGTTGTCCTTTGCTGATTTGCTGGAGAAGTGGTGGGGGAAGAGATGGTACCAGACTACTTGCTGCCTCAAGAGGTGAAAGTGAACGATGATGATACCAGGGCCAGTGGGGAGTTGCTAGGAAGGATAAAATGGCGAGCCCGCAGTGTAACTCGTGAAACGATTAGATTCACTACATCGGACGAAGGAAGAAAGAAAATTCAATGCCGCAGAGGCTGCTCCCTGTGAAAGGTCAATTCACCTTTTCAGAGTTTGGCGAGGTGAGGGGAGAAGCGTCAAGACAGTTAAGTTGGTTTGAAGGAGAGCACCGCGCTGGCTGCACTCAAGGCAGCAACCGCGGGGCAGAGTTCCAACCTCCCAGCCACTGCGAGGCTTGACAAACAACACAGCAGCAACACTCTCAGCCTTGCTTGTAGTAGGGACCCAAACAGCTGTGAATCACAACAAAATGATTCTTTTATATATTCAGTTCCATCACGATCATGATTTCTCTCTCGTCTCTTCTTTTAGTTGTCACATTGTGTGGCGTCAGCCCCCAAGGCTCAAAAGTCCACCATTGACAAGATGAAGCTTTGAGGCCTGAGACACATGGTCAATGCTCCATTGAGGCGCTGATAGGCTTGCATCACAAAAGCCATCTGAATAACTCTATCAGAACCTGGAACACATGTTCACGTCCAAGGCCAAGCCTCAGGTATAAGTCGACTTCCTTTGTAGGAGGCACACTGTGGAGTTCGAGCCGCCACCCGCCGCACAGCTGTCAACCTGTCAAAGTCTTGGCAGCACAGTGACCACATCCAACCTCATGCAAGGGTATTACTGTCATCTCATCTCACTCATCTCACTCACATCTCACCTCCCAGAGCCTCACTCACCAACACCAATCTCACAAGCCCCCTCACCAAACCAAAGTCATCATGGCCTGGGACTCCAAAACCACCACCCGCCGCCGCCAAAGCAGCGCAGCCTCCCGAACTCGTGACATCGCCATCCACGCCAGAAACCAATCCCGCCAACCCGCCCAACCCCTATCCGACCACGTCGCCGATCCTTTCCTGGCCGACTTCCTCTCCCCCACCTTCGACCCAGCGACCTACCTAAACAACACCCTCCCCCAACTCCAAACCTCCCGCTCTCCCCCCAACCAACCCCCCCCCAACTCCCTCCCCCTCTCCGACCTCTCCATCACCACCCAGTCCTCCCTCTCCCAACTGTCCGCCCACACAACCCGCCTAACCACCATCCTAACCCAACTAACCGACGAAATAATCCGCTCCGGCTCCCGCCTAGCCTACGAGGTCGAAGTCCTCCGAGGCGAGACAATCTCCCTAACCGAAACCCTCACCGAAACCCTTGACTCGCCAATTTCAAAGTTCATCCCCGGAGGAGGCATAAAATCCATCCTCCACCCCTCATCTTCAGAATCCAACCCTGCCCCCACCACCACCACCAGCAGATCCCGCGCTTTATCCTCCCTCCCCCCTCCCCCTCCTCCTCCCTTGGAAACCCCCCCCATCCCGGACCCGGAATACATCTCCCAACTCCGCACCCTCTCCCTCGTCCGCTCCCGCCTGGCAGAAACGCAGGCAACCTTTGGCTCTGCCATGTCCTTTGTTTTTCCCCCGTCGGAAACCTCTGTTTCTTCCTCTTTTTTGTCGGTATCTGCCCCTGACACGGGCGCGCTTTCTACCGAGGAGAAGGGGCAGCAAGTCCTGAAGGAACTGAGGCAAGAGATTTTGGATTTGCTAGATAATAAGGAGGATCCTATCAAGGGGGTTGAGGACGCAGCGAAAAGGGTGGAGGAGCTGAAGGATCTGTGTCAGGTTTGGAAGGGGACCGCGGAGGAGAGGGGACGACAGAAATTTGTGGAGGGGTTGGCTAGGCTTGTGGGGGAGAGGCATGAACGGCTTGTGAGGGAGGTGACTGGGCAGGGGCATAGGAGGGGGGAGAGTAATGGGGGGAGTGGGAGTAATGGGAGGTTACAACAGCAACAGGAGGAGGGGGAGAATAAAGAGGGCGATAATAAGGGAGCAGCAGCGGCAGGGCAAGGAGGTGGTGGTAATGCTGCTGCTGCTGGGGGCGGAGGGTATGGTGGGTATGGGCTTATCAGTCAGTTGCAGAAGTTGAGGGGGGGGATATAAGGAGGTCTTTGTTTTTGTTGGAAAGAGTTGTTATGATAGCTGTGCCAAGTTCTCCTTTAGCATGGCGGGCGGGTCATAAATGCTATGTTGGCAGTATCGGGCTAGGGTTGTGGTCAAGTGTATAAGAAGGCTGTCAAAAGTGGCAAATGATTCGGAACTCCATGATGAATTTAATCAGAGAAACCAAGATATGAGTTGTGGAATGATAAATAACAAAAGAGTGTCCATCAACCCAGACACTGCAAAGTGTGGAATTAGCAAGGCGTTGATACCAGTGCTACATGTCAAGTCATCTTAGATCCCCCATCCCGCAGTGCTAGAGTTTTTAACCAACATGCAATTTCAACCTTCTCAAGCCGCCACGATCTTTCCAACCGCCTTCACTGCTCAGGGTGCATTTCGCTAGTATTGCCCACAACGCAATCGGGTACACTTCCCGCTCACTGAATATGTGTCGCGTGCTCACGCTCGAGTCTCGTGGAAAGATCTTCAAGTCTATATCTACCTGACTTTATGTATATGTAGACCCCCCTCCCCCCAAAGTCGACTTACAAGAGCGAGTGAAACCTCCTGTAACATATCCGCTGCCAATTTCATACAATCCCTATTCTCAACGCTATCATCCATCGCTACCAGAGAAAAAATCCAAAAAAATCCGCAGGCACCTGCGGGTTCTTCCTGAAACAGGGACTACTTCCCCGCATAAACCCCCCATCAGATTCTCCCTCCTCATCCTCATCAGGCCCTCCCCCTGGGTACCCATCATCCCACAATTTTCTTTTCGCTTGGGCCTAGGTCTTGGAGGAGGCAGATATACAGGATTCAGCTAAATTGGCAGATCCCAAAGCACCCTCCATTTTTTCCACGCAGCATAAATCCAGCCAGGATTCTAGCTCAGTCTGTTAGCTTTCTTTCGGAAATCAATGCAAATTTCCCCCATGAGGTCCGGCCCAATCGCCGCCACCAGCTCTGCTATCCTTGACTTGAGCCTCCCGTGTTGGCTAATCTCCTCCGAGTCCCAGATGACCAGCTCGGATGCCTCGATGAACCGGTCATGTTGGTCGGACTTGAGTAGGAGACCACCCATGTCTACCTCTTCCATTTCGGCCAGTGATGGGATACCGGGCATATCGCTTGTGAGGAGGAAACCTTCCTCTTCGTCGTCTTCGTCCTCGGAGGGTTTGACGTTTAGGGCGTCGTTTTCCTGTTGGGTCCCCCCGTCCTCGTCGTTGTTGTTGGCCTCTTCGTCATCAAGAACACTGTCACCGTTCATTAACTGCTGCTGCCGCCTTCTCTCCCTCGACAAAGAAACATAATGGTGCTTGTCATACAGCGCCAACATCTCCTCGTCCAGTGGATCCCATTGCAGAGTCTCCGGATCAAGAACATATTGAGGTCGATAGTCAATCTTGTATCTCATTTTGGCGCAGGTGTGGACATAGTAGCCGGGATACCACCACCGATAGCCTGCTTCACGAGCTAAAGCAATCTCTCTCATCGCCCCGAGCTTTCCTGGGTTGAGAAAATGGATCGACTCATGGTACATGAAGTACACCGCACTGACGGCGTTAGGTAAGAGATCCAAAACACCCACGGCGACAAGCTCGCCGTCGATCCGATAGCATTGATGGTAACTGCCCAACTTGCGTTCAGTCCCGTCCGCCCCCACTATGGCGCCACGGGTCAAAGGTGAGTCGCATAAGAACCTTCTAAATCCCACGCGAGATATCTTGAGTGGTGGTTCACGATGCACGATGCGCTGGTAGTTCTCGAATACCTTGTACTTTTCGTCGGTGAATGCATCGGGCTCTAGCGTGACCGAGAACTCGTGGGATGGCGCCGGTGGGGGTCCTTTGAGATACTTGGCTTCAGACTCATGAACCTTGCTGACTAGGTCAAAATCATTTTTTTCCTTCCTCGCTTGCTCGCGTGACCGTGGGTACAGCCGCGCCGCGTCTCTCGCATAGGTATCTCCGAGGATGTGGCGGTTGAAGCGGTTGAGAGCCTGTCGTTGGTCCTTGGTAGGCTTATACTCGGCCGAGTCTAGGCGGAGGGTGTAATGCGGACAACATGAATTCTTCTGGTTTGGTCGGTAGAGCAACGTCCCCGACCGACGCCAAAACCTATCCACCAGCTTTTGATAAAAGGCGGGCTCTAAAGACCTTGAGACCGCATAATATGACCATCCTACAGAGAGTACCACTGTTAGATGCTGCCAGCTAGGATCAAATGTCGAAAATCGAAAGCATACAGGGCAAAAAAGGGTCCAATAGTAAAAGGGGTATTACGTTGTTTGTCTGGCTGACCATTTGAACTGGCACGACAATATCCACACTCGGAAGAGTTACTGTACCCTACAATATTCGGTGGTCAGCAACATCACTGGTACCTTCAAGGTATCAAAGCCTAAGAAAAGAACACCAAGAGGCAAAGGCAGGGAAGGTGTGCCAAGTATATGGGCTTGCCCTGACCGAGGTCAATGTGGGAGAGCAACCACACAGTGATCTCGACGTAATCTCGCCACGAGTGCGCTTGTATCTCTGACACAAGGAAACGAAGGAGACCGTGTATACTGCAGGCGGGTGTGTGGGATAACCCCAACAGAACAGAGAGGCTGACAAGTGACAAGAAACACAATGTTGAGACTGTTGATGGTTGAACATGACATACGACCACCCGCCTTGTACAGAATGCGGGAGGAGATCGCGTGGGCAAGGCGAGATAGCCAACGGTAGTGCCCAGTTGATGCACATGGCCCAGATGGTTGGATGAGGAGCATTGGAAGCTGAGGAAAAAGCAACTCACCGATTGGATAGATGTATGACAGTGGTGCTGCTGCAGCATCGTCAGGGGTCTGCAGGTATGGCCTGGTCCCTGCCATTCTGTTGCCTTGCCCTGTTACCGCAGTTGACACGAACAGCTGGTCAAGACAGCGTGGGGCCGGGCCGTACTACCTACTACCCACACGCCGGAGTCGGGCAGGGGCCTAGGGTCGGGTGCCTGTGGAAGAAGGTTGTGTGGTGGACGGAACTTGACGGAACGAGATGTCTCGTCAGGAAAGGCGGCAAGGTGCCAGATCCGCCGTGGTATGTCCAGTTTCCGTCGATATCGAGGGGTGGTTGATCAAGCCGGATCCAATCAGGTCTGTGGTGACGGGGTGATGGCTTAGGGCCAAGAGGGGATTGGAAGCCTCGAGCGGACGGGTCTTGGTTGAAGGTGTTCGGCAGCGGTTGAGAGACACCAAAATACCCGAGCACTGTCTCCAGGAAAAGACCCAGCTAGGTGGACTGCCAGTGTGTCGTACGGCGGCGGTGCTGAGAACCCGAACGCAGAGGGGCCGTCAAGGAGGACCCCACAGTGTGACGGTCAAATGTCGCGTTTGGGGATGGGTGGGAGCAGGAAATGATAATGGATGGAAAGGGGAGGTTGGCGGCCAAGAGTTGTCATGTGTACATCTGACTGTGATAGGCTGCCCACAACCCGGAAAGTTGTTTGGAGCTGCTGGTGAGGTGTTGTGAGGCTGGGAAAGAGAGAGGCAGAAGCAGAAGCCTGTTGGTGAACGACGGGACTGAGATGCGCGATGGTGTGACCCCCACTCCAACTGTGCGAACTGCTGCCCCGCACCAGTCAAATATGCAGTGCTCATTGCTGGCTGATCCAGGGGGTTTGACACGGGATAGGAAAGTGGGTGTAATTCGAGAAGACTCCAGATGATCGGTAGATGGATATTGTTGCTCTCTATTTTGTTCAAGACCATCGTCCAGTACGAGCAATAGAGGCTCGTGACAGCTCACGACACCAGAAAGATGGAGATGTGGGGAGCGGGCTGATCGATCTGTCGTCACCACGGATAACACAAAAGCTTGTCTCCGATATGGTCCGTGCTGCTTGCTACCTTAGTAATCAGCTCAACATCCAGGGTAACAGTGATGACTTTCTTCAACAAAGGCTGAACTACACTCTTCAAACATGTTTCACCGCCTGGAAACAATGAAATTTGCAGGATTTGACTCACCCGCTCGGCTCCCATCCACTAGTCTTCGACACTCGGCATCTCAGGTGACGTTGGCATGGAGAGTACGAAGTATATGTGGACCACAGACGGTGTTCCGTCGGCAGTGGCAGTCAAGCCACGATGAACCAGACAGAACCAAGCCTGACTCGGTGAATTCATGTCCCGGGTTTCGGTTTCTTGTATTGGAAGCGTTGCAACACAGATGGAAACCCCCACACAAGAGAGGTTCCATAGCCCGTCTTTGTTCCTCGTGAAGTACCCTCCAATTCTCTCTTCTTTCGGCACGGAAGTCTTGAGAAAAATATACCGGGGAACCAAACCCGAACACTGGGAAGCGGAACCGTGGCGTCAAACCCCCTGTCTGACCGCCCAGTGACAGCTAGGGAGTCCCGAACAGAGGTGCCATGCCAGTGTTGCCAGTCGCCAGATACCTGGAGGTAGAGTGAGGTGGTGGCATCTGTAAGCGGGAGGTGGACAAGTACCTACTACCTCTACCCCACGCGACCGGGAGCTTTTTCATTGCTACATAGGTACTCAGCCAAAACTGGCAAAATCTTAGTTGCTCTTCTTGTTGGAGCTTCCTTTCTCCCTCATTGTGCTCTACCTCTTCCCCATGGCTTTTTCATCACGCCGAGCTCCGTGATGCCCCTCGCCGCCATGAGGTGTGGGGAACCCGGAACCCTGGGGAGGCAGAAGAGAGAGATGGAGGCTTGAATGCTATGTGAACTGCCCCCATGCCACGGCAGCACACACACCACATGAGGGCCAAAGAAGTAGAGGTTGCAGAGGACCTCTCGATGGCTCGGCTTGTCCCAACCCAAAGAGACTTTTTCTGTTCTCCCCCATGGGGCCATAGCCATGTACCTGTACGAATGATGTACGCCGTAAAGCATAAAAGCCAACTCTATCCCGCTGCAAAAGCTTCCCCTCCTTCATTTTGATCTGGGGGGCACAAACGGTGTGCCCACCAGCAAGAGTCCAGAGCTACCTCCCTGATTGAGAGCCTGAGACTGCTTGTGCTTTGGCTGGCAACATTACCCTGCAGGTGCTCGCTCACCCACGTAGCAACAACCGTATTTTTATTTTATTTTCGTTCCCCCCCCCCCCCCTTTCGAGTGCCCTGACCTGCGGGTGTGGTCCAGGCCTATCGACCTGATTCCTTCAGCTGTCGTTGTTGTGTGGGCGACCGCCTTTCAAAGGGCCAGCTGGACTCCGTTGCCGGCCGCCGAGCGCGTTCGCGTAAAGTGCCAAAAGCCAAAAAGTTCTTCTCCGACGCCAACGTCGCGCAACTCCAACGCCCCCTTGTCGGCCACGAACCACAACCTCCGACTGCTCTCCCGAAGCTTTTCGCCTTCGTGGTAGAGCTTCACACTCTCTTCCGCCTCCCAGAGCGCCACCGAGCTTCTCTTGCTGCAGCAGAACACCTGTTCGTAACACAAGAGTAGCGGAGGGACCAGAACTGCCCGTGGACCAGGACCGAGAACTGCGCCGCACCTCTCTCGCTCATCAAACCTCCCACTCACTCATTCACTTGCCTTGCTCCTGCTCGCAAGGCGAGCTTTGACAGGGGACCATATTCACTTGGTGCTTGCTCTCTCCAGACGTGAATTGAGCTTCACCAGCCCATTCATTCCAGGCCATTCACCACTCGCCCCACAGGCCTCTCAACGTTCACTGAGACGGACATATTTAAGCCATCACCGTCTGTCACAAACCTTGGCCAGAACACCACCATCTCTGACTTCTGCCCACACCCAAGCAACTACTTCTTCTCCGACCATGCCTGCCAACAATCTTTAAGCAAGAGGCTGCACTCACTGCATCCCACAGCCCCATCACTGCGCTCGGAAAGACATCCACTCACCCCTATCACAACATACCCCGATCACCCACGTCATTTGCCGACTTGCGCTCGCATCGAGTACTTATCTGCACCCCTCAACAATCGAAACCCACGGTTTCACAGCAGTAGTCACAATGGCCGCCAGCGGGAGCAATCGTCCCATGGAGTCGCGTACCGGGCGTGTTAAGCAGAGTAAGTCGCTTCGGCCAAGTCGTTGGGAAATGCTTGTTTCAAGGTTCCCACTGCTTATGTGGGCTTGTGTTTTTGGGAGACCTCCAAACGGACGGGTCAAACTGACTTTCTTGCCTCACAGGGTACAACAGTAAAGGCGAGCGTCTGGTGGCTGGAGTGGTCCCTCTGTCGGCCGACAAGAGCTATGTGCTCATGATTCAGTCTACTCGGCGCAAGGGTTGGGTCCTCCCCAAGGGTGGCTGGGAGCTGGACGAGGAGTGCACAGAGGCGGCTGCCCGCGAGGCTTGGGAGGAGGCTGGGATCCTGGTGACGATCGACTATGATTTGGGCGACATCGAAGAGACCAGTCCCCGCAAGAAGAACAGCTCATCCGGCAAATCCAAGCAGAAGGAGGCGGCCCTTTACCGATTTTATGAGGCGACGGTCAACAGCGAGGAGATTGAGTGGCCCGAGAAGGAGAAGCGGGAGCGCAAGTGGTTCACGTTTGCCGAAGCCTTTGAGCAACTCAAGGACCGCCCCGAGCTGCAAACCGCCTTGCAGCGTTCCACCATGAAGAGGTAGTCGCGATGCTTGGCCATATCACAAGGACGACAAAATTGCCGACCCTTGACGTGCCCAGTCGCAAAGCAAAGCGCAAAGCGGGAACTTGGGAGATAAATGGACTGGGGCTATTTCTAGTTCAGGATCGATCAAGCCGGTGTTGCTTCTTCTGGAATCATCTGATATGGCAGATGTTTCGCCTTCTCTCTTTTGTCTTTTTCCATCTTGGTGTTCTTCCGTGTTCTTTTGTGAAAGGCTATTTGTTTCTTCTCTAGGTCTTATCATGCGAACCTAGCTCCGGCTGGTTTTGCATATGGCTCTGGGGGGGTTATGCATCTCGGAGTGGTCCTGATAGATCTGCGTGCGCGATTTGTTTTGGGGGGCCTCGGAGTCTCGTATTTCCTCATGTCAGACGAAAATTGGTGTTTTGGGTGGCCGATGTTCTCTTTCATTTCATCTTGCGAGTTTTGCTTGGTAAAAATCATTTGGACATATGGGATACAAAAACCAGGAACAATGGGTTGGCATTTTGATATTCTGGGGATGATGGTTGCATTTCTGACCCTTACATATTTTAGAGGAGACCGTGGGGAAGACGTGGTTTTACACAAAAATGACGAGACGGGGTAATACATGTATCCTCGTCTCTTTCTTTGGCGGGTATTGTCTATTTTGCATCTAGCATATCACCTAGAAATCACCTCTGGACTGTCACCAGTGCCAGACAGCACTTGACCAGTGCTCCTTCCCAAAGAGAATTTGGTATGGACCTGACCTGACGTTCCTTCCTTGGCACACAGCAATCAAGTGCAAAAGGGAAAGTGCCAGTCTACCTAACTTGTGAACTAACGTACCACTCACTCCTCAATCTTTTCCAGAGAGATGCTGCTGCCTAACGCTTCCCACATGGCTTGCCATGGACGATCTCCAGACAACCGAGTTTGACATTGGAAGCATTGAGGTTGCTACCATAAATTCCGATCTATCGATTGTTCTCACCAGCTCCTGCGTGCTCTCCTTACCCGCAATCTGGGACCACGTTCCAGACGCCATCGAGCTATATAAAGCCTCCTCTGAAGCAATTATCTGGATAGCCAAGGCAGGTGGTGATTGTCGGGTGGAATTCTCAACACTGTTGAACGGCGAACCCCTTGATGTTGCAGGCCTAGACCCTGACACTGAAGTCACAATCTCCCACTTGGCCGCCGGGTGCGGAGTAAGACCACCTACATTCCTGTCCTGTCGTCTTGTATTGGTTGCTGACATGCCTTAGATCTGGCTGGAGCTCGGTCTTGATCTTCGACTGAAACACGCGACGCATCCTGAGCTTGAACATAGCAATCCCGAGGCTGTCTACTTTCTACACCACCCAGACCTGTCCTCCAGTCTGATCGCACCGCCCGAACTACCATTTGCCAGCTTTCAAGAGTTGAAAGTAGATATCCATTACCACATCAATATGTCATACTCAACAGACGATCAAACCGAGGCCACAGAAACGACTGGGTTGCCCTTGGAGGACAGATTGGAGGAAGCCATGACACTGCTGGACATTGGGCTTCAGAAGCTGATCGGAGTCAAGAAAAGCATACCGGGGGTGAAGGTCACAAAATCCAACAATGATTTGCCTTCATTGATTGGCATTGCCCCAGCCGTATGGAACATTCCATACTTACAGGTGAGACTCTTACATCGCAATCGGTATCCCAGTGACAGCGACTAACAGCTGGCGTAGTCGATGGCAGTACACGCGCAAATGATCCCTTCTCTGGCAAGAAGTATCGTCCGGCTGAAACACTCCCAGTCACCCAGTCTTCGGAGAAAGGTTGAGGGGTTGATGCCAGGCGATATTGACCCAGAGATATGGGATGTCGATGACGAAATCGAGGACGAAATCCGCAAACGCCTTTGGCTTCGATGCCAGACGGGTATTCGGTCGGATCCGATCCAAAGAATCAGCACATCTCAGACAAACGCAGATGACAATAGGCAGGAGGAAGCTCCCCAGAGACTCCTTGGTGGACCAAAGTCTGCGGAGGAGAGATGTGGTCCTCCTGAATGCGGAGAGGCCATCATCAACCCTCTCCATTACGCTTCCACAGCGAACCGACTCGCACACTATTGCGGCATTCCAGAAGGCATTTACGACGACGATAACGACTATGATGAGGGATACGATGCTGATGACAGCCCCTCAGAGACCGATTCATTTTCACCTTACTCTTCCTCCGACATTGGAGCCCTTCATTCAGACGACTGGCAAGGCAGTTCCGAAGCTGAGTACTTCTACACAGATGGACAAGGGAATGTGGTCACCCTCCAGCAGGATAGTGATTCTACAGAACCAGAGGCCGTAGGATGGGATCGCAGCTCGAGTATTGACACCATGGACTTTGAATAATGCTCAGACGACGAACACACGACAAGGGACTGTGAAGAGGAAAGTTGAAGACGTGTTATATGCACCACGAATCATGATTCCAGGTCGGTCAAAATGACAGAACCCGGCTCTTCAAAGCCGCCACAACCTAGACACCGACCAGACCATCGCCATAGAGCTGTACCTGCCCATCAGCAGCTCACAACGACATCCCAAACCAGGATGAGCCGACCAAGCCGCGACCGCACGTTCTTGTCCAAGCGCCCAAAACGATGATGCATCGAAATATCCCCTTTCCGGACCGGAATTCTTGCCCAACCCCTGGGGCCGAACGTACGGTTCCTGGGCCTTCCACCCATGTATCCACGCCTAGGCAGAATTCGCCCACTTTCCAGCCCTTCAGACCTTTCAGCCTCCACGACGTACTGGATGGATAGCCTGGTTTATAGCATCGATTGCCAAGTCAAAATCGTCTTCTCCCTCCCTTTTGATGGAATGCGGTTTCCCAAGCGTCACGGTGCGCCCCAAATTTATTTCTTGGCGCCACCACCCTTCTCAGCCTGCTTCTTCTTTTTCTTGTCCTCCTTTGCCTTCTTCTGTTCGGGCTTCATGGTGGCGTAGTGGATGTACCAGATGAGGACGCACTGGAGGATGATAGTGACGAGAACGATGAGAAGGATGGTGAAGAGGATGGGCTGGTCGTTGAGGACGGCGACGGCTTCTGGCGTGGCGCCGATGCTGGAGAACCAATCGAATTGACCCATTTTGATTATGTGTGGTGGTTATATAAATGGTATGTGGTGGCGCGTAAATGGAATATGCTATCGGGGGATAGCGCAAAGATGACTTGATGTCTCGGACGGATGAAGAAGGTAGTGTGATTAAAGAGGCGCTGCCTGCTCGCCGGAATAGAATAATTAAATGTACAGGGTAAAAATGAACGTGTTGAAGATTATGGGTTTGAAGGTGAGAATATCTCACGATGTTTTTGGAGGAGGAGAGGAGGCAAAAAGGAAAGGATGGGCGCGTGGAGTGGGTGAGTGGGCAAGGGGGAAGATTATAGGATAAAACCTCAGACGTCACAATCAAAAAGCGGTGCAATTGATTAAAAAGGGCGACGTTCTCGGCGGATGGCCACATGGTCTTCAGTAGGCGGCAAAAGGGGGGCTTGGGGGGTCGTTTCAGGTCTGCGACAGAGCGACGAAAGTCGCACGATGGGGGGATGGGGGATTAGGTAAGCTTGGTTGGGGGGGTGGTGATTGGTTGGTGGGGGAGCATCGTGGATGGTGTTTTGGGTTGGGCCGTGCTGATGGGTGGTGGATGGGCGCACTGTTGGGAATGTGAGGAACGGGAGATCTTCTTCTGCGGGTGTTTTATGAGATCGTTTTGGAGGTTGATGAATGGGAAGGGAAGATGAGTTGCAAAGGGGGATCACATGACCCGACACGTGATGACCCCAGATCTCGGATCTGCCAAGAATTTGGACATTGTTTAAGCCTGAAAAGTTGGGAATGAACAAAGCCCCCGGCTTGTCCCGCTCGTTGCAAAAGGTGGGATGTTCGAAAACGCCCGGACCAATTTCCAATTGGAAAGAAGCTTGGACCCAAAAAAATTGTTGGACGTTCGGTTGCTCGTTCGTCTGTTCGGAGAGGTGTGTGAGTGAGCGAGCGAGCGAGCGAGCTTCTTCCCGGCCGATAATTTCAAGACTTTTTCTAAACGGTCGGCAGTTGAACCTTTTCGGGTGTAATTCAAAAGGGGGAACCTACAGACGACGCCAGAGTTACAGTAGCGACCGCCGAAGCTCTCTCCCTCCGGGCACAGCGACATCCTTTCCCACCCCGCCGTAAACCCCCCCCCGCCGCGGGACATACACATATAACGACGGAAGCTATGAGTGTGGCAGCTCGCCCAGCAGCCAGGAGGCTCGCCTCCTCGGTTGGCTTCCTCTCGACGACAGCCCCGACGACAACCACTTCCACAACCTCGTCCTCGTCCTCTCGAATACCACCACAATCCCGCCCCTTCTCCTCCACCCCCGCCACCCAAGCCCGCAAGCACCGCTTCCGCAGCATCACCGCCCACGAAATGGGCCTCATCAAAAAGAACCCCGCCGCCGTCCCAGACGAGGAAATAGAAAAGCTCCGCGCCAAGTCCCGATTCCGCCCCCTCACCTCCCGCGACCTGGGCGTGCCCGAAAAACGCGACCCCCTGGCCTCCCAGGAGAGCCTCGACGAGTTCACGGCGGAAACCTTCACAAAGTACACCCCCGCCGAAAAAGCCGAGCTCGCCAGGATGTACACCCCCGAGCAAATCGCCGCCCTCGAGGCCGGTGAAGCGACCATCAACCCGAGGGATCTCACCATTCAGGGGAGGCTGAGAACCGACATCTACCGCATGCCGTATATTGACGACTTTGCCGAGCACCAGCCCATTATCGACAAGCGCCCCCCCGCCTCCCGCAGCAGGAAGATCTCCCCCCCCGACCCGAACGCGAGGTTCATGAACACGGATGAGTTCGTTAGTGATTTGATCCAGTGGGCGGACAAGTTTCGTGTTGGGGAGCCGACGGGGACGTTGAAGAGACTGGAGGACTTTGTTCCGGAGGAGTGGAAAAAGGTCAAGGAGGGACAGTGGCCTGGGGAGGTGAGGGATGATGCTCACAAGGAGTTTAAAAAGTATCTGCAGGAGGAGATCAACAAGGCGGCCAAGCAGCAGGAGAATGGGGGGGTTGTGAGCGGCGGGCCGACGGATGCGGATGTGCTGAGTTATATCATTGAGCGGTCGGTCATGACGGACAAGAATATCCAGACTCAAAGCTCGCTCGCGCTGGCGTTGCCGGATAAGGTGCCTGGTGTGGCGGGGTTGTACAAGGCGGCGGTTGACCCGGCGGATGAGGGGTTGGACGAGACGGGTATCTACCAGGATTTGAAGAGGAGGAGCGGGATGAGCGTGCAGGAGATTCTGGCGCTGCAGTGCAAGACGTTGGTGGTGAATTATGTGAGCAACCAGACGAGGATGGGCAAGATTCAGAGCACGGTCACGATTGTGGTTGCGGGCAACGGGGACGGGTGGGTGGGGTTGGGGTATGCGAAGAGCCAGGAGCCGATGGTGGCGGCCACGAAGGCGAGGTTGGACGCCATCAGCAAGATGAGGCCGGTGAGGAGGTATGAGAATAGGACGATTTTTGGGAACGTGGAGGCCAAGGTTTCGGGGACGGTGGTGAAGTTGTTTGCTAGGCCGCCTGGTATGTTTTTTCCCTTTGATCCTCGGAGTTGCGGTGATGCTGACGAGAAGAAAAAAAACAGGGTTCGGTCTGAGAGTCCAGCACCGCATTTTCGAAATCTGCCGCGCGGCGGGTATTTATGATCTGTCGGCTCGCGTCCCCCGGTCTCGCAACCCGATGAACACGGTCAAGGCCACGTTTGAGGCGCTGTTTAACCAAAAGGACCCCGAGGAGATCGCCATGGGACGGGGGAGGAAGCTGGTGGATGTGAGAAAGGTGTATTATGGCGGTGCTACTCAGTAAATCTTGAAACAAAACTTCTCCAGTGCATATAAAAGAACTTTAGAGGGGGGGGTGGTAGTGTGTAAGAAAAGGATGGTAGACATTGTACAATTGTATAAAAACATGTTTGATTCAAGTAAAGAAAATGTAAATGGAAGGGTGGTGTGAAGCGGTTGTTGTATTGGGTATCATATCTTTTGCTTTCCTTGCTCACATCTTTCCTCCTGTGATTTGTTATGTCTATATGACTTTTCTCACTCATCATCATCATCATCATCAAAGTGATCCCCCTCCTGATGTTGTTGTTGTTGTTGTTGTTGTTGCTGATCACCCCCACCACCCCAGCCCATCTCCTGCTGCAGAACAATGCTGTAGACACTTGCTTTTAGGAGGGTGAAAACCAACGAGGTCTTGCGCTCGAGCTCGCGGAGGCCATCGAGGATTTCGACTGTGGGGTTGGAGGCTAGGGTGTCGAGGAGGGAGGCGAGCTGTGGGGTGGAGAGGGGTGTTAGATTTTGACGATGATGATGGTGAAAGGGAAACGAAAGGAGGGAAGGGACAAACTTTTTTCATGTTATCTGCCAACCGCTCATATTCCTCGAGGACTTCTTGCTCTGTTGGGGTGAGTTCTGGGGGGGAGCCGGGGTGGAGGGCGGAGGTGGGGCGGGTGATGTCCATTCTGCTTGCTTTGTAATTTCTGAGTTGGGTAGGTATGTGGTTGTGAAGGTGAAGGCAAGTGGTAAGTAGTGAGAATATTGTCGTGAGTTGATGAGATATGGCGGTCGTAATAATTGAGAATGAGAGAAGTGACGCGCGTGGGGTCAAGCTTGAGAGGTGTGAGGTGAAGTTGGTGTAATTAAGTGGGGCGAGGGGTGTGTTCAATACGGTTATTTACAGCTTTACGTGGGATGGGGCGTATATTAAGTTGTTTCAGGGGGTTTGTTGACCATGTCTTTTCACGTTGACTTCCATCAAGATGGTGTTAAAGAGACCGGTTCAGAATCATTGAGCTGAGTTCATAAATACGAAACCGCCTCTGTCAAAGAAGAGCGATACACCCCCCCAGATCCGAGGGCGATGAAAATGCGACAAACAAAACCCAAACACAAAAGAAAGCCTATCCACCATATAGTCTTCCAAATCCAACCTCCGTCGGACGATGTCATTTCTTCTTCATATCCTTCCCCTTACTCTTATCACCGCCACCCTTCTTGTTCCCACCACCACCCTTCCCCTTGGTGCCATCCTTAAGCGGATCACTCCACGTCTCATCACTTCCCCAAGCTGTCATGCTGGCCCCTTGGCTAGAGTAATACGCCGCGTCCGCAGCCGTGAAGGCGTCGTCTTCTTCTCCTCCGCTGTCGGTGTTATCGCCGAATGACATCTTTTGTACTTTTGCTTGCTGTCGGAGGCGGCGTTGTTGACGATTCGTCTTTCAAAACTAAACCGACTGTGAGCTGGTGATATAACAACATTGTAAATGGGTAAGTAAAAGTGTTTGCTTGCCTCTATCTTGCAACAAGATCATGGACAGAACAAAAACCGGGCTGCCAACCTTTTCTCTCCTTCTGATAAGAAGCCAAAATCCCACAGTGGCCTTCCCTCCTGCCAGAATATTTTGGTCAATTTGAAGCTACCTACGCCCAGCTAGCAAGACTCGCCATTCGCGCTATTAGGTCGAAAGAAAAAAAATAGTAGACGAGCGCTGACTGCGAGCTTGTGAAGCCAGGCTAATAGATCCTCTAGCGTTGCAAATATCTCACCATTTCCCCCTCACTTGTATACCATTCAACCCCTCATCAGCCACCACCAGCCGCTTGGTGATACCCTCAGTCCTCTACACAAACCGGTGATGACATACCCCCGTGGTTCTTTCCCATGGTGTCCCTCCCAGAACCCGGAGTACTCTCCGTCACCATCGCAGCCAGTCAAACAGAGTCCTTTCTTGTGTCACGAGCTTGTCCAAGGAGTGCTAACCCTCTAGATAAGCGTCGGTGATGTGTGTGTCGGCCATGGGTTTCCTCCCCTGTACTCTGAAATTGCAACAGTTGATGGCTTGCAAGAAAAGCGACGGGAATGCTCCGGAGGCTAAGAGAAAAGTTGCTGTTGAAGAGAATAGACCGCGAGGTGAGAGGACGGACAGCCCGGCATAGTCGGGAGTCTCAGCTGAAAGGGCATGCACTTGTACAACTCTAGATGGGACGCATGACCTGCCTCCCCAACGTCATTGATGTATCAGCATCACCTGACAGCCATATTACTGGCATGGCTCTTCGGGAACTAGCGATTAGTGATCCATGCCATTTTCTTTCCCATGAATCTTCCGGGCGCATTGCAAACATCCTTGGTCGCAAAGCCGTTTACGGTATTCCCTGTCTAAGGAACTTGCAGCTAAGACACACCACTCGGGCTTCAAGAGACACCAGACCGATCAAAAAACATTAACCCAAAACAGGGCAAAACTTGCGTGTATATGCGTCAGTAGAAAAGTAGCTTCAATTCGCCAAGAGAGCCTTGAACAGCCCTCGAAATACCTAACCAGATTGCTCTGCTGCCTATGAGATCGAACGGTGGGTCCAATGATTCGGCTAATGCTGATGCTTGTTTATCCCAGGTAACCAGTTCGTAGCTTCACCCTTCCATACCGGACGTCAGCTATCCCTGTGGTCTATGTCTGACCCAAGACGCGTTGAAGTGTCGTTTCGTCGCCGGCTTCACAGACTTAAGCAACCTCCTTGCCGTCGTCCGCCTTGGGGGCGTCCTTCTTGGCGGCCTCCTCCTCTTCACCCTCGAGAGGAGGCATGTCGTCGTCCGATTCCTCCTCGTCATCGCCCTCGGGCATACCAGCCCCAGCACCGAGCTTGGAGAAATCGATGCCACCGAAGTCGCCGCCAGCGCCACCTGCGAAACAATAAGTCAGCAAAATGATCATGGCCCAAGAAGTCAAAGAGCCAAGAATCCGATGGTAGAGTCGGATCAAGCCTGTCGTGTCCCGGATCCGGTTTTCCATCCGACCGCGCAATGTATTCGGCCAAGTTACGTACCCATGCCAGGCATGCCACCTATCAGACACAATGTGTTTAGCATACGCTGCAACAAGGTGTTTTGTCAGGAGTTTAGGAAGTTACTCACCCATGCCACCAAATTGCGAGAAGTCCTCCTCCTCAGCCTCGTTCTGCTCGTCCTCATCAACCCACTTGTCGAAGTCGGTCTTGAGGAAGTGCATCTTTTTAGACTCCTTGAGCAGGCGAGGCCAGTACTCCTCGGTCAGCTCCTTCTTGCGTAGCTTCATCTCAACGTCGCGAGCCGTGTGGTTGATCTTGCTCGCGGTAGGGTCGATCTCGGCGTAGAACTCGAGCTCGACATGGTAGGTCTTCTTGAGGGTGTCGGAGTGACCGGTGAATGTGAGACCGGTGGGCTTCACGTCCAGCTTGATATTGGACGCTGGCACATCGGGGACGTTGATGGTGAGGTAGATAAAGTTCTTCTCGGGGTCGGCGTTGGAGGAGCGCTGCGCCCAGAGGACTGCAGATGGCGAGACATGGTCAGCCTTGTCAATTTTTGAGAGTGTTTGGATTGCGGTGAACAGGAAGGGCAGCAGTTTGCCAAACCTCAGCTGTCGCGAACCACGACCCGGGGAGGCGGAGACCGGGGGGCGTCGTTGAGCTACCAGGCCAGTGTGTTCGGTCTACCCTTTTGAAGGATTCTGCCATGGTGAGAAACAAAACTCGGATCGGCTACTTACCCTCAGGTGTTACGGTGCTGGCCATTGTGATGTGTGCTGGAGGTAGAAAGGTGAGTAAACTGCCGATGGGTTGAAGTTCGTGGAGGAGGGGTAGCTTCTCAGGCGCTTAGCTAGAACTCACGTTAAGAAGAAAGTTCAAGGAACAAGGGAGAGAGATCGTTCGGGTGGAAAGTTTGATGGAGCGGTGGTATTGAGCAAAGATCGTGAATTCACTACGACTGCTGCAGAAAATTGTTTGGGAGGTGGACGTCGTTGGAGGGGAGACGCGGGTGTCTTGGTTTATTTGTGACGAGGCTGCACCTGCCTGCTACCGTTCCCAGCCAGCCAGGGTGTTGGTGGAATTCATGAGAAGCCCAAAGATTAAGCTGCACGGGCCATCGGCAGGGCTGAGGTCACCAATTGCGGGGGACTACGGCTACGGACACGAGCCTACGATACTACTACCAAGCGATCTAGGAAGGTTGGTGACCGTTCTAGAAGCTGTTTCGTCCTATGGTCTACACTATAAATATACTCTGGCCTGTACAGCCTTGTATCTTACCTATTCGATGTGAGTTCACAGCATCAAACCCAAAAAGGTCTTGTCAAGATAGTTACACCGCAGTGGGTGTCGAGTGAGGGGTAGCAGTTGGGGGAGGTCTCTATTAATGCAGGCTTCATGTGCCCCTTTTACAACACATGCCGAGTGTTGCACAAGAAATCCGTAAATCTAACCAATAGGAAGGAAGATAAGCTGCTCTTACTGCATAGTTTCATCCATCGGTGAAGTGACCGAAGAGCAAAGAGATGAAAACGGCACAAGCTCCAGCTTCAGGAGAAGTCCACTGCGGGGCTCGCCTTGGCGGGCCGCTGCAGCGGGGTCGGGACAGTTCCACATCCAGGTCAGGGTTATAGCGGGGACTTTCGAGACACAGGGTTATGCACCAGTCCCTTGCAAAGTGAGGCTCCAAATCGCCAACCCGAGTCCCACCTTGGCTTCGTTCCCCAATCTGGAAACGACGTCAGCGCCCACCCGCCAACCGCGACACGTACGACGACGACGACAACGACTCAACTATCACCACCCCTTTACCCCAACTTTAGCACATCCATCGCTCACCCATAACACCGGCGGGAGGGGGGCGACACTGTCCACTCAATCCACCACCAATCTCCTCCCAACCTCAGCGCAAACCACCACCAAAATGGAAACCTTCCGCTCCCTCTTCACCAAACCCGACCCTCAAGCACAGGTATGTGTTTTACCCCTTTTATTGCCCTCCTGTCCAACCGCCCTTCCCCCATTCCCCTTCCCAGTATCTAACTCCCCCCCCCCCCTCTCAGGTGCGCAAATGCAACGCCCTCCTCCGCCAAAACATCCGCCGCATCGACCGCGACATCCTCAACGCCCGCGCAATCGAAACCAAAACCAAAAACCTCATCCTCGCAGCCGACAAACGCGCCCAACGCCTCGGCCCAAACCACCAGCAAACCAAGCAAGCCCAGCGCGAAATCCGCGACTTCGCCCGCGAGCTCGTCAAGCGCCGCAAGGAGACCAACCGTCTCCACACCTTCAAAGCCCAGCTCACCTCCGTCCAAATGCAAGTCAATGAAGCATTCGCCCTCCGCAAGATAGAAGGGAGCATCAAAGCCAGCGTCGGCATCATGAAGGACGTCAACACCTTGATTCGCCTGCCCGAGCTGGCGGGGACGATGCAGGAGTTGAGTGTGGAGTTGATGAAGGCGGGGATTATAGAGGAGATGGTCGGGGATGCGCTGCCCGAGACGGAGGTGTATGAAGAAGAGGAGGAGGAGGCTGAGGAGGAGGTGGAGAAGGTGTTGGGTGAGATCTTGAAGGATAGGATGGACAAGACGGGTGCGCTGCCTAGTGCGCCGCTGCCGCAGAAGCAAAAGCAGCAGCAACAGGTGGAGGAGGATGAGGAGGAGGATACAGAGGCCATGATGGACCAGATGAGGAATCGGTTGGAGGCGTTGAGGAGTTGATCTGTGGTCACAGGGCCAAGGCGGTGGAGGAGAGGGTGACAAGGCATCAAAATGCATGGAATGTGTGCGGGTGGGGAGCTCTTGATTTATGTCTCAACATGGGAAATGGGTTAATGTCTGGCGTTGTAGGTGTTATGGTTCATTGGCAGAGATGGCTGCTTTGCGGTCTTGTCTACATACAGTTTGTTATCCGAGTACATTTCTGGATCTGCCTGTCTTTGTGAAGTAGAATAAGAGAAACGACACAGGAACCCAAGGTCGGCTGAATTACTCATATAGCCCCCAGGTTCTGTCACTCGGAGATTCATGTACCTTACGAGCGCACATTGAACATGATGAGAGCCAACCAATTCTAGTACTGTCGGAAACAACGGCCAAAGCAAGCATTTCACAACCCCTTGCATCGGAGTAAATTCGCTAATCATGATTATACAATTAAGCCAAACACTTAAAAAGGCGGCAGTATCAATCTGTGCCTGCATGTATGCACCGCAAGGAAATCTGAGCCCTACCCATCCACCCATGCCGAACCGCCCAAATAAATATCGTATCAAGTTTCCGCTAGCAAGACCCATTAACAACCCCATGACTCCTAATCCCAAAGAATGTACTGTTTAAAGAACGTCCTCCTCCATCGCAGCATCACCACCGGCAGCTGGGGCCGCGGCAGCGTTGGCGGCGGCAGGCTCAGTGGCACCGCTGTCAAAGTAGTCAGCCATCTCAGAGTCAAGCTCCTCGGCAGTCTTCTTGGCTGGGCGGTTGTTGCGGCCCTTGCGAGGAGCCTTCTTGGCGCCAGCCTTGCCAGCAGCGGGAGCACCCTTGGCGCCATTGGCACCATGCTTGACAGTGGCGGCAGACTTGGGTTGAGCCTTGGGCTGCGCAATACGCTGAGCCAGAGTCTTGGGCTGGGGAATGAGATCGGCAGAAGCAACGATCACCTCGACCTGGAGAGAGTTAGACTGTGCTGATTGTTGCATGCCATTCCAAAGTTAAAACATACCTTGACCGGGCGATTGTCAATGAGAAGACCATTGAGAGTGGAGAAAGCTTTGCTGGCTCCATCGGCGTGGTGGAAAGTGACGTGGGCGAGACCACGGCTGACACCCCCGGGGCCGTAGGAGATCTCGACCTTCTTGACCTGACCAACAGCTTGCTGGAAGTATTCCTATCGTGGGAGATTCGGTGGTTAGCGTCAAGCAAAATGTAAGTTCGAGCATCCGTAGCGACTAGTCTCAAATCCCAAAGACCAGCGTCCTTGAAGAGCCATCGTATAGCGAGAGTTCGTTTCGAAAGCGTAACCAAAAATAGCGAGCAGAGCAGTGAGCAACATCCCCCAACAAGCATCACCAGCGACTGGAAGGTGTGAAAAATCCGACATCCACTGAAACCGTTCGTCCGACCTCGTGCTCCCGTGCGCAGAGCCTCATCTTCGATAGATGACAGTGTATGACGTATCCCACCCGTACCCCTATCCGACAGACAGGAGAAAAATATGCCTAATCCAAAGAAAAGGAACCTGCCTCGCTGGCAACTCCAGCAACCAACAGACACGAGCCCCAGCCTGATGGATTCACCCAGCTATGACTTGGGGGAGGACGTGTCGTTGTGTTTTCTACAGCTCACTGCTAAGCTCGCTCAAAACGCCATCATCAATCTGGTGACCAGCCAGACGAGATTGTGCGATATTCACCCAGCTCGGCGTGCTGTCTGACATATTGCCGGTGCCCTTTGTGGTTGTCTACGCAGTCGTCCCGAACCGTGGGTGCTTGCCAGGCAGCCCAAGCTGGTTGGAAGGTGCAGTGAGACGCGGGCTTGCTCAACTTCCGGTGGTTTGACAGCAGTATCGTGCGGGGCGCACTTGCGTGTCAGGAAGGAGACTAGGCATCAAGACAGTCGCTTGCAAGCGCTGAAGGTGTCAAATGACCACCGTAAAAGGTCCACCGAGGACTGGACGTGGGTAGATATCCCGCGGGAATGAAGTGTGTCGACAAAATCCGAAGGCGTGAAGAGCCTCACTGGTAGTAACATACCTTGATCTGCGCTTCGGAAACATCCTTGGGCTACGCAAAAGTTAGCAAACGGGTCCGTACAGCAAACAAAGAGATGGGGTGTGTGACATACCAGGTTGCTGACCATGATCTTGCTCTCACCGGTCAAACCGGCACCTTTGCCGGAAGCAGGCTTGGATGCAGTCCGGGCAGGCTTGGTGGTTTTCTGGATGCCACCGGCGGGGGCAGCGGCAGGCTTGGCGCCAACAGAGCGACGCTGGGAGCGGCGACGGCCCTGGCTATTCTTGCGCTGGCTGGAGAGGATCTCATCCAGAGACTGATCGAGTTTGCCCATGATGACGGTGGGAAGTGAAAGATGTAAAAGATTGAGTGTGTTAAAGTGGTTGGTCGAGAGTGAGAACTGCCGTCGTGGTTTATGACAAGCAGTACGTTGACTGGTATGAGAGATGGCAGGCGCGAAGTGGTCGGGCGATGAAGAAGGAGGTCGCCTGATTAAAATAATCGCGAGAGTTGGCTAGGAGGTGACTGCAAGTCGCGTGTGTTTGGCGGCGACTGCAGGCAAAAAAGAGGGCAGAAATGAAGTTGGATTCCGAAGCGATTTAATGGCAAGTCGGAAAGGGAGAATGGCAACGATATTGGGTTGCAGGCCTGGCCAAGGTGAAATGAAGGATGGCGATGGGCAGGGTGCAGGCTGGGTTGTTGGCTGATGGAGAAGGAGAGAGCAGAAGGGAAACGGAGTCGCGCGCGAGAATTTGAGGGTGGCACCTGGGGGGGGGCTTGACCGACCAGCGACGCCAGGCACGCCGGACGCAGCGGGCCAGTGAGGTGGCGTGTACAGCCCCCACTACTGCACTAACTGGGACTAGTCATATCTCAGCCACAGCCTGATTACTCCTTGTACCTGTACAAACACCTTCAGCCTGTTCATCTCGTCATCTGGTCACAGCTGCCATGCCAGGCCCAAGACGATGTGGGCAACGTTCATATATAACAGGAGTGAGAACTCCAACACGGTTTCTTGTTCCTATTATATGGTATGAGAAAAGACAAGACAAAGTTGAATCCACCTCAGACCACCAGACCAATTCTCAGTCCTTCCTTCATGTATGAATTGGCTTTCGCCATAAAATCCATGGTGCTTAGCCGTGGCTCTCTATTCCTTTTCGCCCAACAAACTCAGAATCGCCACCTGACCTGCCCGTGTCCTGCTGTTCGGTATACTTTGGAACCCTTCTGTGACACTCCCCAAGCAACCCTTTCCCTGCATGCGTAGCTCTAGGTAGCTGTCCATCTCCCGTGGATAGGAAATCGAAGGCGACATGGGTGCACTCGTAGAAAACTGTCGGAAACCTCCCGTACTATTGTACAATACCAGCCATATCCTCTATCCATCTTCATTTCAGTTTGCTGGCCGGACCCTTTGCGTTTACTGGCGGCTGATCTTTGGCATTGACCTCGAAGAAATGGTAGATGATAATCAGAACCATGGCTGCCGAGCCAAGGAAGATGGCAAGGCTGTAAAGCTCGCTGTCGGTAATCATGATCGCGGTGGAGTGGACGTAGGTGGACGTCGGCCTGTCGTGTAGTTGAGGTTTGGGAACAGTATGGAGCTAAACGCGCAGTGGGCTTCTAGTCAATCAGTTTGGTTTGTACAAGAGAAATGAACCCGTGGATAGGATATGTAGCCCCATACCTGTAGCGTGCCTTGTTTGCGCAAACCTCTAATGCTGTGGAGAGTTGATAGATGGAGTTGATGTTGGTGCCAAAGTTGGCGATCTGGACAGCTTTCACGCCCCAGCCAGTCTCGAAGCCACCTGGAAGCTCGCTCCTGGTCGCCGATGTACAGGTACCCGCGGTCTCTAGCAGGGATGGGGGGAGCAGCTCGTCACGTGCGCAGGCTGCTCAGACGTCAGGGCTGTGCGCACTGGCCAAGTGGGTCATTCAAGTCCCGCCCCCATTCAAGAAACTCCAACCCACCTCGCTGGACATGCACTGAAAGATCCCCCGCCTGGAAACTTCGAAACTGGAATTTGGCCCGCTCAGCAAAAAATTGACTGGCACCGCGCAGCAGACGTATATCGCCAGACCGAGCAAACTCACACTTACGCCGTCGACTCGGCACATTTCCTACAGCCATATAAAACGTCAATCTGGCAGTTTCGAGTTAGTACATCGCCCATCATGCCTCCGAAGAAGGATCAGAAGGGCGGCGGGAAGAAGGTGGACGCCAAGAAGATTGTCGAGGACAAGACCTTTGGCATGAAGAACAAGAAGGGTTCTGCCGCTCAGAAGACGATTGCCCATCTCCAGTCGTCCATGAGATCAGCTGGTAGTGCTGAGCAGAAGAAGAAGGAGGCCGAGAAGGCTGCCCGTGAGCGTGAGAAGAAGGCCGCCGAGGACGCGAAGAGGGAGGCCGAGCTGCTCCTCAATAAGCCAGCCCAGATTCAAAAGGTTCCTTTTGGTGTCGATCCCAAGACGGTGCTGTGCATTTTCTTCAAGAAGGGCAACTGTGAAAAGGGCAAGAAGTGCAAGTTCTCGCACGACCTAGAGGTGGAACGAAAGGTGGAAAAGAAGAATCTATACACCGATACTAGAGAAGATGAGGACAAGAAGAAGCAGGAAACATCGGCCGACTGGGACGAAGAGAAGCTTCGTTCCGTCGTTTTGTCAAAGAAGGGCAACCAGCGCACCACCACCGACAAGGTGTGCAAGTTCTTCATTTCAGCCATCGAGGACGGCAAGTACGGTTGGTTCTGGGTCTGCCCGAACGGCGGTGACAAGTGCATGTACAAGCATGCCCTTCCACCTGGGTAAGTGTCTCTGGTTATGTTGACCTATTGCAAATCTGCTAACACATCCTAGATTCGTCCTTAAGACCAAGGAGCAGCGTGCGGCGGAAAAGGCTTTGCTCGACAAGTCGCCACTCAAGACGCTCACCATCGAAGAGTTCCTCGAGTCCGAAAGACACAAGCTCACCGGCACCCTCACACCTGTCACCCCCGAGACGTTCGCCAAATGGAAGAAGGAGCGCTTGGACAAGAAGGCGGCCGAGGAGGCTCTCAGGAAGGCCAAGGAAGCCACTGGTCGTGCGCTGTTCGAAAGTGGCAACTGGCGGACAATGGACGACGACGACGAGCCAGAAGAAGACGATGCTGCATGGAACTTGGAGAAGCTCCGCCAGGAGACGGAGGCGCTCAGGATCAAGAAGGAAGAGGAACGGTTGGCTCAACTCCACGGCATCCCCTTGCCGGCAACAGAGGCGACTGCGGAGGCTGGGCCATCAGAGCCTGGCACTTGAAATTAAGCAAACCAAACGATCAAATACAACGTCGCGCCGCCGTTCGAGGGCGAGTGGAGCCCAAAAAGAGAAGCTCCTTTCCCTCGGCGGCAACAGCGCCGTGCCATTCGCATGTCACTTGTATAACGTACTGGGAGAAAGTCTGGCAGGTTTTGAAGAGATTGGTAATTCAGTGGGATCAGGGGAAGATTGGCTGGCTGGGCGTTTGGGGACATCTTTATCTACCTACTTTTACACGTAGCACACAGATTGGGCATGCCTTGGGCGAGGTCAACACTGGGCGTATACAGTCTCTGTTTCCCTCCGCGTTTGACGAGGCTGGCATGATGAACACTGACCTTTTCCAGTAGTAGCGTGTAACCAGGCTGGTTATGATTTGAATGATATATTCCGCATATCGCAACAGCAACATCACGCTTTTCCCATATCAGAACATGGACTAGACCCCTATTTCGCTTCATGGCATTACAGTCCTTAAAACTTCTCCACATACGGCCTCAAATCCAACTCTTGCGTAAACGCAGACCTATGCTGCGTGTGCAAATGCCAGTAACTCTCCGCAATCTAATTTTCCCTGTGTCAGCAACGCCCCTATATATCCCCATTCACCCAAAGTCAGGACTTACAGCATCACTATTGATCTTCCCATCCTCCACGCCCCCGTTCGCCTCCCACTGTTTGGTACGAGGGATGTCAATCACCCCGTCAACGATAACATGCGCCACGTGCACCCCCTGAGGACCAAACTCTCTCGCCAAGCTTTGGGTCAACGCCCTAGCAGCAAACTTCCCTGCCGCAAAGGTAGCGAACTTGGGGGAACCCCTCACAGAAGCGGTAGCTCCGGTCACGATGAGAGAAGGGGGGTGAGGAGGGGAGGCAGAGACGGAGGAGAGCAAAAGGGGGAGGGTCTGCTGCGCAAAGTTGAAGAGGCCGACCGCGTTGGAGGAGAGGGAGGCGGAGAGGTCGGTGGGGGTGAGGGAGAGGAAGGGTTTGACTGCGAAGCCGGCGCCGACGTTGTAGATTGCCGCGGCGAGGTGGGCGTCTTTGTGGTGGTCTTTGATTGTTTGGAAGGCGGAGGCTAGGGAGGTGGCGTCGGAGGTGTCGGTCGGGATGCCGAGGGCTTGTCCGCCGAGGGAGGTGATTTCGGTGACGATGGGGTCGTAGGATTGGGGGGTGCGGGCTAGGAGGATGACGGGGTAGGATTTGGCGAAGCGGAGGGCTAGTGAGCGGCCTGTTCCTGCGCCTACGCCGGCGATGATGGTGTAGAATTTGGACATGGTGAAGGGTTTGGGGGGGGGAGTTGTTGTTGTGTAGGGGAGGTGAGTTTGGTGGGATGGGAACAGTATATGATTGGCAGAGTTGTGAGATGAGATGCTGTCGAGGTGAAGGGTAGATATCTGAAAGGATTGGTGAAATGGTTGATTATATATATGCTCAATGATGTGCTCGATTGCTTCAATGAGATGAACGATGAACCCCGCCTTGTATGTCTCTTGCTGATTAATGACGAGCTCGACGTCGGTGATTCGAAAGCCGATGAGTGAGCTCGTCTGGTAACGAATTACTGATCAACTTGTTGTTACGCTACTTTTTGTCTCCTTGTATTGTCCCGACCATCGAATGGGTGATGCAGGATCTGTGAGTCTATGTTGTATGACTTACCTGTAAAAACAAGTTGGTGTTGGTGTGAGTGCCGGGTAGCTCCTATGGGTCAGGGTAATGAATTGGTCCCGAATGCCCTTTCCTCGTTGTAGGTCACACCTAGGTCACAAGGGCAATTAAAGTTTCCAATGCAGAAAAAGATCATAGATTACACTGGATTTATGTTCTTGAGTCTCGGTACATCAAACGGATCTCGTCAATTTCAGCATGTTGTTTGCTCTCTATTTTCACTTATACGGCAACCCTAACCCGGAAGCTATGGTCTGTGCCCCCAAAATCCCTCCAATCTGCCCTTCAACCCTGTAATTAACGACTACACTCGTGTCTTGCGAATTCTGATTGCTCCCATTAATCTAACTTCTTTCGATCTCAATTTTTTTTTTCATTTCAGCGTCTTGCTCCAGTCTCATGAACTCATAAGATTTTTACAGTATTTTCTCTCCGCGCTACGTTGCACATGAATTAATCTTCATTTCACACGCTGCTCATGCCACAGGTAGCTTAACGCGACTCACAACAGCAACCGCGCAGAACACGTGGAATTAATTAAAACCCCGGCAATTTCACCAGCAACATTTTCTGGTCATGCCTTGGGATCCGGAATGGGAGGCGGAAGGAGCTGCCGGTAATTCAGCATCACGCAGTGTTTCGGCCGACCAGGGTTATGAGCATGAAAATGGCGAGGGGAGGGAGGAGGATGATGATGATGATGGAGAGGAGGAAACCAACGGCCGTCGCAATAATCACCAACCACGACAAAATGGGCGCACGGGTCATGTGGAAGATTCTCAGGACGAACAAGAAGAAGAGGAAGAGGAGTGGGACAGGGATCAAATGGACGTCGACGATGAACTACCTGAAGAACACCAACTATTGGACCTCACACCACAACAAGATTCCGACACCACCCCAAGACCAAAGCAAAGAGTCTTTGGACTAGCAGTACCGATATCCGAGCGATTTCAAGTGGTTCTTCACTCTAGTCCCAAGAAAGTGGCCTACACAGTGATAACACAGGAGGAGCTGTCCGCAGACGAACTCGTCACCTCAGATGTTCTCCCTAGTTTGAGACCTCATGGTTTTTACGGGACCGGTCAGCAAACACTCAAATCATCAAAAGTTAATGAGATTGAGCGTTCGGCCTCAAATACCTCGGAGCCGACAGACGACACAGCGCAATCTAAGAAGCAGCGCGGCAGACCAAGAGGCTGGAGGCCAGGACAAGCATACTCGACATCAACGCCAGGATCAACAACGTCTAAGAAGGTCAAGAAATCCGTTGGGCGACCATTAGGATCAGGGAAAGCTGGCAGGCCATCAGGGAAGCTCAAGCCTGACGGGGAGTCTCGAGGGAGACCAGGGCGGAAGCCAGCCCAGACCGCACGGGACCAGTACAAGAAACTCAATCCGAGATTTCCCGTCTTTATATGTGAATGGGAGGGCTGCCCAGCCCAGCTTCACAATCTGGAAACTCTTCGCAAGCATATTTTCATTGTTCACGGCCAGCCAGAGGTTTCACCGGCGCCTTCATCCTCTTCATCAGCAGTAGCAAGACCAGACGAAAAGCACAGCGATGACGGCCTGATAGTCTGCAAATGGGCGAAATGCATTTCCTCGCCAACCCCCCGATTTCAAGATGATTTTCGCACCCACGTCGAAGAAGTCCATCTTGTACCGTTTGCCTGGCACTGCGGTGACGGACCGCAGAACACCTCTGTCAGCCCCAAGCCTGAAGTCATGCTGCCGGCACTACCGAAATATTTATTCGATGAGGAAGGGCGACAAGTTACACCCTCAGTAGCGGATCAACAGCTCGAGACAGATGAGGATAAGAGGAGAAGGGTTTCAAAAATAGCGGCCCTGACTGAGAAGGCTAATGAGAACGCGCCAGACGAGCCGGAGTATGATGAGAAGCAGATGGAGCTTATTATCGCCTTTATGGAGAAGAGGAACTTGAGGCAAAGGGAGCTGAAGAAGTATGCGGAGTGGGTGACGGGGGAGGGTGTTATCTTGCCCGTGGAGGAGAAGGAGGAGAGGGATAAGTGGAGGGGGCGGATGAGATGAGTACTGGACTGTTGAGGCGGGAATTTATGCCGATTGCCATGAAAACATAGAGCGGTTATCATTCATGGCGGTTGGTTTTTCATAGCTACTAATCTTTGGCGCTGATGGGGTCCATCATCGCGTTACTGCGTGTTGGTATGGAGATATTTTGTATATGATAACACACTTAACGGACTGCATAGCATTTTGGCCTAAAAGAGCAAGAAATATCATCACGGTGACATGACTCGACCAACGGACCTGGAGTGTGAGTGTGACACGCGGCCCCGTTTTAGTGTATTTGTAAGTCAAGCTGTCCAAGTGCCGGACGGGCGGTTTTTGGTTCGGGTGCGGTGGTCGATCGGGTGGTCCGGAATGCTCCTCGCGTAGATCAGTTGGTAGCTTAAACTCTTGATATGACAGACTCTCTTCCTTGTTTTTGGGGAGGATGGTGGGGTTATTTCCTTCGTATAGGTAAGGCCAACGACAATGCTAAGCAAAAAAATATGCAGTTCAACCAAGGCACCAAAGAGTTTTTTAATTTTTTTTATTTTAAACAAATAAAAAAAAAAGGGCGGACTTGTTTCCCAGGGCAACGAGCCATTCATTCCAATCCAGTTGAGCTCTCGGAAATAAGGGGATTTAATCCGTGTTAGACTCTCTGGTCAAGGTCAACCGGCCCGTTTGGTCCAAAGTGGAAGGCGAGAGTTTGTCAGTGGTTGTCTGGTGTAAGCCAAGGTGGCATCTAGAACTTCTGGATATGCACTCTCATCCTGCGGAGGGTTTTTGTGAGATCTCAAGAAAAGGCCGATCCTTGACTTGACTTTTTCATGCTCTGATATTTTGGTATAATTTTGATACAAATATTACCTGATGTTCTGTGATATAGTTCCCGTGCCAAAGAGCAAAAAAACAAAGTTCGCCCGCTCAGTCGCCACCTGACATGGCTGGCTGTTTCTCCGGCCGCTTGGAAGCCCTGGTTGTCAGGGACTGCTTCAATGGTCCACGTAGCACAGCATGCAAATCATAAACTTTTGAGAAAAATAATAAATGTTGCCCTCTCAGCTCAACAAAAGAAAAAGAGGCTGAATACCAGGCTCAGGTCAGGCGTGGCTCCGAGGAAGAGCGCTGAGTGGTTGCAATAACACAGCCCTGCAACAGGGCACAAGCGGAGAATCCCGTGACTCTTCCCCAGGGCCGCTGTCGCTGAGCTGGGCTTGCTTGGGGCCTGGATCCCTGGAAGCCGCAGCGGGCGCCGACTGCCCCCCGACTGGCCCCGACTGGCACTCTCTCTGCATCATCTCTAGTGGACGGCCACGCCCACGATCCACACCCCAACATCATCCACATCCACTGTCCACGTTCCCCATTCTCTAAACTAAGTGCTGGTCGTCATCCGCCTTCGCCTTTTCAATCCCTCTTTTTTGCAGACCGAACATGGAACGAGCCCCATGAGAGCTGCCCCGACGACCGTACCATGCCGTCAACCAAAAGCACAAATGGCGATAGCCACTTCCAGCAAAAGATAAAGAGTTTCTTCCGCATCAACTCGTCCAGCAGCAGTCGCGATGCCACCACCCCGGACCGGGAGCGCGGCGGCGTCTCAGGCCCCCTGCGCTCCGAGAACAACAAGCCCTCCCGCAACACGAGGTTCTTCAGCGTCGGCCGCCTGCGCAGCGCGACCACCGCTAGCGAGGGACATCCGCTCGACGAGGCCATGAGCCCGACTGCTCATGCGAACCCCTACTTTGCCCACCAGGGCCAGCCCGGCCTACGACATCACAATGACGGGTCCGTACCCCCGAGTCCACCCGACACCCCGATGCTCAAGGTCGACGGCCCCAACGGCGGGCCCGTGGAGAAGATATCGGCGAGCACCAAGGAGGAGCTCGCGAGGAAATTGAGGAGGGTTGCCAGTGCCCCGAATGCACAGGGCTTGTTTTCCAAGGGCAACGGCAGCGGGGAAAGACCACAAACCGCCGAGCTTAGCAAGGAGCCGCTCGCCGAGAGTAAGGACTCGACGAGCGTGGGATTTGCCGACGCCCAGACACCACCCGGCAGCGCGGTGGAATTGGCCACGTCTGTGCCGGAAGGGGATAGCCTCGGGGCGCTGCCACCACCGAACCAGTCGCCGTTGGCGTTCCGCAGGACGTATAGCTCCAACTCGATCAAGGTCCGGAATGTGGAGGTAGGCCCCCAGAGTTTCGACAAGATCAAGTTGATTGGTAAGGGTGATGTGGGTAAGGTGTATTTGGTGAGGGAGAAGAAGAGTTCAAGGCTGTATGCCATGAAGGGTTAGTCTGTCCAACCTTGGCTGGAGGAATGTGCTGGCTGACATGTCACACAGTGTTGAGCAAGAAGGAGATGATCAAGCGCAACAAGATCAAGAGAGCGCTGGCAGAGCAGGAAATCCTCGCGACGAGCAACCACCCTTTTATCGTCACTCTCTATCACTCTTTCCAGTCCGAGGACTACCTCTATCTGTGCATGGAGTACTGCAGCGGCGGCGAGTTTTTCAGGGCGTTGCAGACGAGACCGGGCAAGTGCATATCGGAGGATGACGCCCGCTTCTATGCGGCTGAGGTTACGGCCGCGTTGGAGTACTTGCATCTGATGGGTTTCATTTACCGGGATCTGAAGCCAGAGAGTATGTCTCGATCACTGCATGCGCCGTGTGGGATGTGTGCTGATAATCCGTCACAGATATTCTGCTTCATCAGTCTGGCCATATCATGCTTTCAGATTTCGACTTGTCAAAACAGTCTGATCCCGGCGGCAAGCCGACGATGATTCTAGGGAAGAACGGCACCAGCTCGACATCGCTGCCAACCATCGATACCAAGTCGTGCATTGCCAACTTCCGAACGAACTCTTTTGTTGGCACAGAAGAGTACATCGCGCCCGAGGTGATCAAGGGCAGCGGGCACACCAGCGCCGTCGACTGGTGGACGCTGGGTATTTTGATCTACGAAATGCTGTACGGCACCACACCGTTCAAGGGAAAGAACCGCAATGCGACATTCGCCAACATCTTGCGCGAAGACATTCCCTTCCCGGACCACGCGGGCGCACCGCAAATATCAAAGTGAGTCTCCTGTCGCATCGCAGTCGCATGCACCATCGCATTTGTCAGAAGCCATTACTAATGCTATATCTCTCTCACCCCAGCCTCTGCAAGTCATTGATCCGCAAACTATTGATTAAAGACGAGAACCGTCGTCTTGGCGCCAGGGCGGGTGCATCCGACATCAAGACCCACGGCTTCTTCCGGACGACGCAGTGGGCCCTTATCAGGCACATGAAGCCGCCCATTATCCCCAACCAAGGACGTGGTATCGACACGATCAACTTCAGAAATGTCAAGGAGTCTGCCAGTGTCGACATCAGCGGGTCCAGGCCGATGGGGGCGAAGGGTGTGCCGCTGGATAGTGGGTTAGCGACACCAGGAGCCGAGACGCCAGATCCGTTTGAGGAGTTCAACAGTGTCACGCTGCACCACGATGGGGAAGATCACTATGGTCAGCACTCGCCACCAGCACACCAGCAGCACAGGAATAGCGGAGGTGGCAAGAATGGGTATGATTCGTAGGGGGATACTCAGCTGCCACAGAGGGACCATAACAGCAGCAGGTTTGGGTTGCTGGTGGGGAGTTGTGTACCTGGGGTGTGGGGGTCAGGTCTACTAGGAGGAGGAGGAGGAGGAGGGCCGAGGGAAACGAGAAGCGAGAGCTGGGGAGGTGTGTCCTCTATTGCCACGACGAGGGGAAGCGGTGCATCATCTAGCAGGATTATAACGGGACAGCAGCAGCAGCAGCGGCAAACACAAGCACATCATCAACAGTCTGGTCATCATCGGAAGGATGGGGAAGGGAGGTTGTGGAAGCAGCCGTGGTTTTGCTTCTTGTGAAACATGTAAATGAGACGAGAAGAGCAAAAGAGAATGGAAATGAGAGGGGGTTGAGGGCAAAGAAAGAGGAACTGTTCAAAACATTTTTGGTCGTTTTTTTTTTCGGTGGGGGCAAAGGGATTGGTGTTTTTGCTGTCTTTTTTTTTTTTTGAAACGCTTTGGTGTTTGTTTTGCTGTGGTTTCGTTTTTTCGCCCCCCCCCCGCGCCGACGTGCCCCTTATTTGCAACGAAGGGGAGGGAACGGGAGGGGACGAGCTGGGAAGGGTGGTGGGCGGTGGTGGTGGTGGGAGCAAGGCTTTTTTTATACACTAACTACTACATCCTACTACTACTATTAACTACTACGCTAACGCTACGTACTCTATGTTTGAGTGAAGAGATGAGATGGTGGCTGGATGATAGCGAGTTTAAGGGGGACGGGTGAATTGAGGCACATGTTATTGAAGGATTTGTTCTGATCTGTTGTATGTGACATGTCTCCGTGGGTGACTACCTAGAAAAATTGCAAGCTCTTGTCAGTCCTAGGACCCGAGGTTGCTTTCTGGTTCGCTCTTCACTCGAAGTCGTTTTATATAACTGTTCAATTTGTGCAGCGAGGCTCTCGAAAGGCAAGTGCAACTATGGCGTATGTGGGGCTATAATTACTGCCTTTCACATCGTTCCCTTCTCATCAACTTCATCAATGGTCAAAGTCAGGGTTTTTCCTATTTTTCAGTTCGTCTGCTATCTTTCTCCATACCATTGGAAGGCTTCCGCAGTGCCTCGACATCGCCTTGTATGACTGACGAAATACCCTCGAATTTCGACAGATCAGCGACTCGAACTTCAGCTGTGTAGGACAGAGCCCAATCACGTATCACAGCATAATATACAGCCCTCGGATTCCAGCACCTACATACACGCTGATAATGTCGCCTGCTTCATATTTCTATGCAGATGTCTAAGCCTTGGGTCGATCGTCGGTCGGCCCCCAATCACAACCAACACCAAGCTTCACGGCGAGTGGCTGTTTGTTCTTGGCTTTCATTGCACTGGACCATATTGACGGCCGAAGGAGTGCCTTGTAACATGCACGGTTCGTGTGGAAGGAGGTCGCGACGAGGGTCTATAAGGCATCGACACAGCTCTGATTCATCGAATGTCTTCTGTTTTCAAGCTTTCTCTCTATTGAGCTGGATGGCTCTGTTCACTCCCAGCCTGCATTGAAGCAAAATGACGAGGCCACAGACCACACATATGGACGACAACCACAACGAACACCCACTACTCGACCACGAAAGGCCACCACCAGTATCAGAAGGCGCGAGCCTCGTCAACAACGAGAAGTCAAAGACAGGTCAACCGGAAAAGCCATGGACACCAGGCTTTGGACCACGCTTCCCCTGGATAGCGAGTCTGTCCATACTATTCTCTTTTATCCTGGTCGGGCTCATGATCTCCATCACAGTTCGGGCAGATGACACGAAAGTCGACTCTTGGGCTGTGTCACCACCGGTTCTTCTTGCGATTTTCTCCACTGTCGCCAATGCCCTCATCCAAGTTGCCCTGGTAAGAGGAGCTGCCATTACGTGGTGGTATCTTGCTATGCGGCCGGCTCGTCAGAGTCTTGTTCAGGATATACACTGGCGCTGGGCAGCGGCTGGTGGCATAGTCGATGCTGTGGAGAGCATTCTTCGCCGAGGCCTGAGCAAGACGGCTGTTGCGTGCTCCTTTGCAACGATTGTGGCTATCAACGCCCCGCTCTTGCAACGCGCGGTGGGCGTAAGAACTCGAGAAGACTTTAGAGCTGGTGTGCAAATCGGTCCGGTGTATGCAGCTCCGCGGCTCCCACAAGGCTTTGGCGCTGTGGCGCTTGGAAGGTACAAGGAGCTGAGCCCAGCGAAGAACTTTAGTGAGGTGATGGGGGAGTATTTCAGCAGATCGCCAATGATGATTCAGAGTGATGGGGTCAACATCACGGGAGAATACACGACCGAGATCACTGCTGTGGGATATCGCTTTGACTGCACGGCTGAGAATACCACTAGACTCCCGAGCTACAGCGAGGTCGACGAAGGGTACCAGTATTACACGGGTCTCGGTGCCAACGTCTTTGTCAGTTCTCCGGTTTACAGTGAGAAGCCAAAAGATTTGTGGAATGCCAAATTCGTGGCCACGTTGCTGAAGAATCCCCTTCGGGAGGTGGACACGAGAAAAGACGGCCGCCAGTTCTTTTATGATGCTGTGTGGAAGCCGGAGCAGGGGTGTATAGACGCCACGCATGGCATCGAGGTTCGATCACGCAACTGGTATGTAATCCTACGTCTTGTGTACTGTACCACCAGTTGTTGCATTCTCCCCTGATGTATCTCTGTTTCTCACCGAGGTACAAAGAAGACATTTGAGCTTGTTGGCTAAATTCCGAGAACAGTGACATCTACCCAGCGGTCGTCAAGTACCCTATCACCATCTCCAACAACACCATCAAACTTCGCCCGAGCCCGTCGCCCCTTCACGACGAGCTAGTCTCGCTTGAGACCTTTGACGAGGCCATGGAAGATATGAACCGGGCCAGCTCTACGCACGGCGGACTCGCGCTGTTGTTGAACCACCGCTTCTCGGCCAACTACACCATCAGACCGGTGACGCCCATGCAGGACTATCACCGGTGGGATGCGCTGTCGGAAGGGTACTTTGCCTACGAGATGGCCGCGACGGCTGCCGACGAAGTCAACTGCAACCGCAGATTCAAGGACCCGGGACCGATTATCTATGAAGCTGTTCGCGAACTGGCGTTGCGCTCGGCTCTCCGGGCTGTGAACACGTCGGATCCTGAACACAAGCTGATGCTGGAGGGGGAGCAGACTGAGACGGTGGCGGTGTTTGTAGCTAACATGGCGTTTCTCTATGGGGCGGTGGCGGTTACGGTTTTGGCTACGGTGGCGGTTATGCCTTTGTATTATGGGTTTTGGAAGCTGGGGAGGGAGGTTTCGATGTCGCCGTTGGAGGTTGCGAAGGCTTTTCGGGCGGTGCAGTTGGAGGGGGTGGCGTCTAATGCTGAGATTGGAGGGTTGCTCAAGGGGGTGGGGGGGAGGCCGATTCGGTATGGGGTTGTTGAGGTTGAGGAGGGGGGGTGGATTTTGGGGATGGGGAAGCCGGGGAGGACGGTTCATCCTGATGAGATGGGGGAGAGGGATTCGCTTGAGGGGATGGGGAGAGTGTAAGGGGGAGGGAAGGAAGGTGATGTGTGATGACTCCGTTGGGAGGGTTTTCGGGAGACTCGTTTTAGAGATTGTGAAGTTCAGGTCAGTCAAATCAAAGTTGTCTATGCTGTTGCCCGTTCAGACGGTTACTTGATCACCTCGAGAGAAGCGTACAGTCAAACGCGTGGAGGCTAGACAATATGCTCGCAGGCATGGTATATCTAGACGAATCGCTCACAGTAAATATCTGCAAGTCTACATTCTGGGACATTTAACCCCCCTCGGGAAGTGACCATGAGCCATGCTCCAAAACATTTCTCGCCAGACGGTCATCCGAACGGTGGTGCTCCTGACCATAAAACATTCATGTAACCTTGCCCGCTCAACACACAGCCACACCTTCGTGTAAACATATCAAGTATCTAGCTACAATACCTAGCACCAAACCACCTTTTTCACCAAAAGAACTTCTCGATTCTCCAAACCACTTGGCCCGCAGCAGGTGCTCTCGCACCACCAAGATACTAGCGATCACTCTGGTACTGAACAGCCCCTGCAAGAATGGGAACACAATCCCGGGTTATACAAGAAGTCAGACTGGGCGGCACACAATGGTATCCGTTTTTATGGCTGTATGCATGTTCGTCTCACTTCGTTTCGATGATGATTTGCGGGCTGGATCGGAGGCGAGGGGGGTGAATCGAGTGATTGCTGCTGCTGTTGCTGAAGGAGGGGAGGTGATTGGGGCAGGTTCAGGGGAAATGGAGATGTAAATGGGGGTTATGGGTGGTCTGATGATGAGGTTATGTATGAATATGAGGCATGAGATGGGGAATGAGATGAATGATGGTGGGATTGATGGTGGGATTGAGGGTGAAAGGACAGTCAGTTCAGAGCTTCATGTGGGTTGTTCATGGTATACCAGCCTGCCAAATGGACAGTAATAAGGTATCATGGGGTTGTTAGTTGGAACCCAAACTTGCTCTCACTTTTATCTTGCCTTTATTTCTGTTCGCATATGTAAAACATTGCATCCAGATCACGTATCAGTGTAGGGGCATAGCGTTTCACTACGCAAGAACAATCTAGGTGGTTTGAGGAGCCAGTCCAAATATCGTGTGGATTCAAATGGTTGTAGTAAGGTACCATCCAATCCATCAAGCACACAAGCCCAATATTCTCAATCGACTTTTCGGGCATGTCGGCATACATCGGGTATCACCAACCGACCAAGATAAGCCCGCTTCCTCCCGCCCTTGCAGGTGGTTCACTTCCCCTCTTCTCTTGTGAGATTTGAGAATTTTTCACGAGAATCAACCCTCTCACAAAAAGTCTTGCTGAGGATCACAGCACTCAGCAATCTGGAATTCTATCATCTCCCTTCTTGTTCCCTTTGTAACATCGAGCAGTCATTGCTTCGACTTTGAAGATGTTCCAAATCATCCCCCGCCATGTGATAACCCGACGAGTGGTGCCCCTCACCGTGAGGGGAACAGGTGAGAATGCCCAACACTCACATGCCATTTGCTCTGCTAACCACACCATCAAGCACCACGCCTCACTCCTCTCTATCGCCAAACCCCCCTTCGTTACTACAGTGACAAGAAGGACTCTGACAAACTTAATCAAGAGCCAAAGAAACAGGCCACCGATCCCAGCACCACCACTACCACCACCAAGCAAGACGACATCCTCTCCCTCCGTCAAAAACTTCACAAAACCAACACCTGGCACGAAGCCGACCAACTCCGGAAACAGATCCGAAAACATGGGGAAGAAGTGACAGAAACACCAACCACATCAGCGACACCAGTGGCACCAGCCACATCAGCAACAACAGCAACACCAGCGATACCAGCGACACCAGCGACACCAGCAACCCCAGCACCAGCAACATCAGCAACACTAGCAAAACCAGCAACACCAACGACACCAACAACACCAACAACACCACCAACCCCCGCCCAAGCCGTCAACCCCCCAGCCCAACCCCCAATCGACCTCCTCCTAAAACAACAGCTCTCCCTCCACCTATCCCGCCTCATCCAAGAATCAACAGACCAAACCCTCCAAAAACTTGCCCCCCTCACCAACCCCACCACCACTCCAGGCATCGTCAATACCCTCAAAAGAATCGAAAGAAGAGCCTGGGCCTGGAGGATCTTCCTCCTCACTGCCGCCCTGGCCGGGACTGTAGTCCTAATCCCCGAGCACGAAAGGGAGTACTACATCTACCGCTTCAACGACGCGTGCGAAGAGGTGAAGGGGTGGTTTGACGAGGAGGTGAGAGAGGCCAGGAGGAAGAAGAGGGAGGAGCAAGAGCTGGAACAGGAGAGGGGTGTTATCGAGGCGTTGACGAGGAGCGACATCAAGGTTGAGGCCTACCCTTCGCGAGATGATCAGCGTCTGTCCATCCTGTCAAAGTTCTTGTTTGTCCTGTTTTGGTGCTTTTGCTGGTCGGGGGGTTTTACCGGGTTGGTGCTCCCGGGGAGGGTGTTCAGGGGTGGGAAGGTTGAGTAAGGTGGGAATTGGCGGCTGGAAATGAATTTATGAAATAGACGGATGGTTAGGGAGGGTAAGTCTTTGGGTACCTAGCAGGCGTTTTTTGTTACTTTTCTGTTCTTTTGCGGGATGTTTGTATAGAAACGGGCAATATGAGACACACGACTCTTCATATACAATCATGTCTGCAACCCGCGAAACACCTGTCACAGCCGACATCACACCTGATGTAGTGCCCTAGAGCAGCCTTTTATTGCCAAGCACACACCTCCCAGCAAGCACCTAGACACCCTCTGCACTTCAAAAGACACATACCACACTCCTCAGAGCACCCATCACACAACCAGATGACACCTACTTGCACTAACCAAAACACCTCCATTCCAACCAAAAAGACGTCGAAATGTATTACCCACGCCCCTATCCTATTGTTCCTCTACCCCTCTCCCAACTATATAAAAACCTACTCAATCATAGCATACTTCTCCGCATCCTTCACACTGGGCTTCACCTCCGACAGCGCCTTCTCCCAATCCTCCTTCGTAATCACCGGCTTCTTCAACTTGACCCCATTCTTTGCAGTAGCATGCTGCCCCATCTGCTGCAGCTTAAGCGTGTACGCCCTCTCCAAGCAAGCCTGCGCAGCCGCCTGCATCAGATTGCCCAAATCAGCACCAGAGAACCCCTGGCATCTGGGATCCAGCGCCACTTCCGACAAGTCAGCCTCCTGTTCAAGCTCTTGTTGTTCAGCGGCGACTTCATTATCCACATCCATGGCTTCCGCAGCAGCGGCCTTTTCCTGCTCTTTCTGCTGCTGTTGCTGGCGAGTGATGGTGTTGCGGTAGAGCGTCTTGAGAATGTCGATGCGGTCTTCCGGACCAGGCAGACCGACATAGATGCTGGTTCCCAGGCGGCCAGGACGACGGATGGCCTCGTCGATGATGTCTGGCCTGTTGGTTGCGCCAATGACGTAGATGCCGCTCCGGTCGCCCACACCGTCGAGTTCGGTGAGGAGGGTGTTGACCACGCGGGCGCTGGCGTCGGAGAGGGAGTCGTCTCTCTTTGGCACGAGGGCGTCCATCTCGTCAAAGAACAAGATGCATGGAGCAGAAGACTTGGCGCGGGAGAATAGTTGACGGACCGCCCGCTCGGATTCACCGACGTATTTGTTGAGCAGCTCTGGACCCTTGATGGAGATGAAATTCGCCTTGGATTCGTTGGCGACGGCTTTGGCGACGAGAGTCTTGCCGCAACCTGGAGGACCCCAGAGCAAGATACCAGCTGCCGGCTTGATACCAACCGCATTGAAGAGCTCTGGGTCTTTGATAGGGCCGATGATAGACATCTCAAGCTTCTTGCGGACGTCTCCCAAGGCACCGACGTTGGCCCAAGTGGTGTCGGGGATGGTGCTGAAGCCCTCACGCTTGGAGGCCGGTTGGACGCGAGAAATAGCTGTCTTGAACTGTTCGTTGGAGATTTGCGTCTCTCCCCAGGAGGCTTGCCGGTGCTCTTCGAGAAGGAGCCAGTCCTGCTGCGCTTTGGAGACCTCGCTGGCGTCCTCATCTGCTGGCCTGAGGCCGCGGGCCTTTTGGAGGAGCTGCTGAAGACTGCCGCTGAAACTCTCTGATACCGCTGCCGTGACGACGTATTGCAAATCGCTGCCCACGTAACCAGGTGTCAGCTTGGCGAGCTCCTTGAAGTTGACATCCTCGGCAAGATTCAAATCCCGTGATAACGACCGCAGAATCTGCTCTCTCGCCCTCTCGCTCGGCATGCCCATGTCCACTTCCGATCCAAACCGTCTCCGGATCGCTGGGTCGAGCGACTCTGGTCTGTTTGTAGCCGCCAAAACCACCACGTTCTTCCCCAGCGGCGTGTTCCTCTTGATCCGATCCATCCCGTTCATAATCTCGGCCACGATTCTGCCCTCCATGCCCTTGTTCGCGCTCTCTCTCTTGCCAGCAATGGCATCGATCTCGTCAAAAAAAATGAGGCATGGCGCAATGCGAATAGCCTCATCAAACACATCCCTGATATTCTTCTCCGACTCGCCCGACGTACCACCAACGATGGAAGGCGCAGAAATGGGGATAAACGCGGCGCCCGCGCTCCCAGCAACAGCGTGCGCAAGCGTGGTCTTCCCGCAGCCAGACGGCCCATGAAGCAAAACACCATTACCATACCGATACCCCATTTTCTCACAGGCCTCCCCGGCATTCAACGGGAACCAGATCTCCTGCATCAGCCTCTCCAACGTGTCGTCCACACCGGCGATATCCCGTATCGAGATTCCTGTCGGGGGCGTTCTGTCCACCTCCTTGGGCGTGCCCTTTCGTTTTTTAGGCCTTGGTTCCCCATTCGCATGCCTATCAGTCGTTTCCTTAGGCCTGTCAGTACCATCCTTAGGCGTCCCAACAGTAGCCTGAGGCCTCTCCTCCCCATCCTGACCCGCCCCGTTATCCTCCACAGACCTCCCCCCATCATCACTCTTCGCACTCCCAAACCCCCACCCCCTCGCAATCTGCCGATTCAACAGTCCCGCATCCCTCGCCTCCCTCCTCTCCCTCTCCATCCGTTCCACAACCTCATCACTATCCTCCTCGTCCTCCCCCTCCCGATCCCTCTTCATTTGCTTTTCCCTCACCTCCAGCACCCGCTCAATCGACTCCTCCAAAACCTTCTTCTTCTGCCTCGCCACACTGGAATTTGATTTCTTGATCGCGTCATAAACCGTCGAAACTGCCAACCTCCCCGGTTTTTCCCTCTGCGAATCCAACGTTTGGATTATCCCGTAGACTTCCCGATCGAGACGGAGGTTGGGGTTGAACCCGCCAGATGTTGAAGGTCGTGGTGGTCGGGACATTGTTCGTTGCAGTTGCAAATAATAATAACCCCCCCCCCTCCAAAAGAGAAAAAAAGGGAAATAGGCTTTGTGGCTTGAATGAGTTGGGGAAGAATGTGTTGTGCAAAAATCTTTTGCAAACCACCGCCGTCAAAAAGAGGGTGTTTAGTATCGTTGGTTTCTGACACAAAGAGAAAATGTATTTGACTCGGGTGGGGTGTCAAGATACCCACAACAGGATCTTGGGAGTGATTATTGTTCTTGCTGTTTCATGTGAGAACCTCTCTGGCTGCACGCTGCTGCTGGTGATGAATGAGATTAAAAAAAAAAAGTTGTGAATGAAATGAATACTCAGTTTTCGCACTGTGTGTGTGTGCACACACATGGTTTGGGTCTTGGCGGTGAGTAAATGGTGGGGGCGGTGGATAGTACCCTAACCCTGAGTTGACAGCGTTTAAAAATGGTTAATACACCATAATACACGGTTTCATAAGTCTTGAAAATATACCATAGGCCTATAAAGATAGTCGACAAACACACTGCTTCAATCTCAATCTTCTCATCTCGCGTCGCAGTCCCCATCTTTTTGTCCACAACATCCGTGGGAAAAGGCGGGGGCTCAGGTATGACCCCCACCATGTAATTGAGGCTCAAATCACCCCAAGATGAATGCTCTCATCACATCAACACCACAAAACCTCAACCTTGAAAGTTACTATTCAATATTTTCATACCTCCTGACTACCAAAGTCATAGAACCTAATCTCATATGCTGTAGTCCCGCCATGACTAAACACATGTCCGCGTGAATGACCTCCCTCTCACACCCACCCATAACATGACACCACCCACGTCCCCCAAAATGCCAACCAACCAACCCACCACCACCACCACACCCCCCTGATGATATGACAACAATATGATATGATATGAACCAGCCAAACCAGACCCCTCTCCAGAGAGGCCTCAGATAAATAATGCGTCGCCATAAAAAGCCGGAAAGAAAACCAGATTTATACAACCATGTTTTTTTTCGTCTTGGAAGCTTTTCTAAGACAAAAAAAAAAAAAAAAGAGATACAATATTACAGAAAACATACAACAACATCTTTCGCATGAATGCGTTATCAGACACACACACAAATAATCTCTCCTCCAGACAAAAACTTTACAGCTGGTGGTGGTTCTGTTCATCCATCGCCTTGATGCGCTTCTTCAAGAACTCAAACGATGAGAAAAACACGGCGTTCACAGCGCACGATCTCCCCATGCTCACACCAAGACCGCGGTACATGTTGCGCTGAAAAAAGGCAATCTTGACCGGTTCGACTTTTTGGCCCTTGGAGTACATGAGCGAGTTGCGCTGGTAGATGCTCTTGGCCGAGTCGACTGGGTCTGTGGTTGTTGATGAGCAAAAAATTAGAACCATGGTCACACGCACGACAGATCCCACCAAACACTTACATATCAGGGCCCAAGATACAATGCCACAGAGGCCGCCTGCCACCAGCACCGCCAGTGGGTTAGAGTGTGTCCCATCTCCTCCAAATGTCGTCAAGAGCTGTTTGCTGCTCTCATACGTCATAAAGTATGTTCCTGTGCCGAGGGTATCGCGCACTTTTGTAAAGTCAGTATCAAATCCCCCTGTCTCCCCTCAAGAAATCAAACTCACAGAGATGTAACCGGAAACCAGTATACAACCCCCCAATCCCCCTATGCTTGATGATATTCCCCATCGTCTTCAGCGTCCCCTTGTTCTGATAACTTGCCGCAATAGCATGGCTCTCGGGCTTTGGGCAATTCTTCTTATCCGCAATCAACACTGACACTTGGGCACTGAGCTTCGTCAACTCGAAGGGGCAGGCTATGGCTGTTATGCAAGACCCCGCCGTCATCCCAGCCGCTCCAAACGTGGCAATCGACCAAAAGTTCGGATATGACCCTTGCTGCGCTACCTGTGCCATCACATCCACCCCAAAATGTCTCTTGACCCAGTCGCTGTACGCATACTTTGACCGTTGGTAAATCGAAAAGGATATCGTCCGAACAAGCGTAATGCTGGCCATCGGTGCTGTCACTCCTCGGAAAAACCCCCTAAACTTCTCCGTCTGATATGTCCGCCGCACGCAGTCCACAAAGCCATTATACCGGTACGTTTGCATGCGCGTCTTGACGCTGTCGAGAGGAAACGTCGTCAGGGTGGAGAGCACGCTCGAGGCCGAGGCGGCCACCTCGACACGGTAACGCTTGAGGAAGCGCTGATAAAGGGCATTGCTGCTAAGGGGCGTTGGCTGGTTCGTCGTCGCGAAGCGGGGGTCCGTCCTCGCCGCTGACGTGGTTGTTGCGGAGGAGGAGGTGGTGGTGGTGGTACCACTACTGTTAGTGCCGCGGCTGGAGCTAGTAGCTTCGTTCTGGTTCACGTTGAGCTGGTGTGGTTGCTGCTGCTGCTGCTGTTGTTGTTGTTGTTGGGAAGGAGGCATGATGGGAAACGGAGGTCGGTGGTGACTGTGGGCTGCACCATCTTGTTGGAGGAGGATTCTCTGGCGGTGGTCGTTCTCGGCGGACTGGAGCTCAGTAGGCATGCTAGCTTGTCCCTGCTTTTGTTCTGTCTCTCAGGTGATTTTTTGTCCCCTCGTTCTCCTCTTTCTCTCTCTCTATCTATCCTGAGCGCCGGCCAGCTAAAAGACGGTGGCCTCGGGAGCAGCCGAGACCAGAGTCCTCAGCAGCGCGGTCGCAGAAGGGTCCATCAAGAACCCCCCGCGGGTCCGGTCGAAAAAGGGGCCGTGCCTCTGGCTCTTTGTGTCGATGGGAAGAGCTCCAAGCTGTGGTGTTGAGTAAACTGGTGGGTAATCTGTTGATTTCCGTTTGTATTCTCGCGGGATGGGAGGAAAGGTAGGTCGTCGATGAGGAGGAACGGGACCGACGTGAGGAAGGGGGGTTAGGTCGGGTGACAATTGGTGGATGGGACGGCCGTCGAGCTTAACGTTTGTGTGGTTGTGCAGCAGCAGTTCAATGCATTTGCAATTGACGAGAGTGGTGCTTTTCGAAAGGTAGATTGCGGGGTCACGACACACAAAGAAGCTTCCTATCGTCGCTGGTTGGCGTGGGCAAGCTCCAGCGACTCCCCACCATGACCAGATGATTCAAGGGCCCGGTAAGAGCGTCGGCTGTCTAGACTTTAGCGGCTAGTCCCGACCTCAGCGGGGATCTCCTTACCCGAAGCTCTGCAATTGCGGTGAAAGAATCAAAAAGCTGTGTTTGCTAAAGAGCGAAAGGCCGAAGGAGAAAAAAAAGCTAGCTACGGCCTGTTTTCCGCGTGCTTGCAGCTCTCGATGCAATGTGTTTTTTTTTCCCCCGCGGTTGGGTTGAGGTGGGAGGGGTCCTACGATGGCTTCAATCCGACTATGCTAACGTCATTGCTGCAGCATCGTCTAACCTGATTAGGCGACAGGATTCAAACACATGCAATTCGTGAGATGGGCGAGACTCCAAGAGGGGTTGGTGATGGGTGATGGGCACCAGTATATAAAATCAATCACAGGCAAATCTGTATCGCAGACAAAGAAATGCGACAGAATTGTCCCAGTGTAGCATGCCACAAGCAGATCAATCTTCCAATCTCTTGTGCTCCCGTCCCATTTTCCTCTTAAATGCGCTGATGTGAGTGACAAGATGGCCCTTTTCCACCGGGACACGGCATGCTCCCCGCTCCCACCTTCAGACAACCGCGACAGCTCATCTACTCATCATTGACATCTCAACCAAGCTTTTTGCTTGTATCTCCCTCCCCTCAGCCTGGATAAAGCCGACACCCAATCTGCGCCCGCCCATCCTTTGTAGATCCGCTATATCAGGGTATCTGCCTGTCCCAGTCCCTTTCCTTTCGCTTGTGCTCATATTGGCGCAGTTTCGACTGTCTTGAGTGTTTCGTTTCGGAAGCTCGACTCGTGTCGTGAAACTTGAACTGCCTTTTCCCACCATCACAAGCCAGCTCAGCTCAGCTTCCAGCCCACCTAGATAGATAGCAAGGCAAATGCCGTTGTCAAACCGCATCTCCCGCCCCTCGGTTCCTGCCGGCCATCGGCCCAGGCACGCCTCACATGGTGTACTGTCATCACCGTGCAGCACAAAGCTTCCCGCAGTCTTGGCGACCACCATTAACCACCACCCTCCCTTCATTGTAAACCGCAAAAATCACCTCAAACACAACCCCATACTCTCATTCAACATCCCCACCACCCCCTCCCACCCCCTCCACCTCAACCCCCGTTCCTTGACAACATCCCCCCCCCTCTCCGCCAACCTCTTCTTCACCTTCTCGCTAGCCTTCTCAACCTCCTCCCTCTCCCTCAGCAGATGCTTCCAGCTCTTCCTGTCCACCCTCGTCCTCTCCCAGTGCACCCTCACCAACGTCTTGCAAATCCTGTGCTCCAACCCCCTCGACTGAGACGCCGCGTGAAAAAACCAAACCGTCCTCCTGATCCTCTCGGGGTGGTAGCTCGCCAGGTTGGACCTATCCCGAAAGGCGAGACGGAGTTGGTCCCGGATCACGTACCGCGCCGGCTTGGAGTACTGGACTGCCTGGAGGGCTGAGCGGTAGAGGTGCCGGTACGAGGTCAGGAGTTCGGTTGTGGTGGGGGTTGTCATGACGATGAAGATCTGGTGTTGAGCTGAGTCGAATTTCGTAGTGTGAAGAAACTGAAGAAAAGGTCAAAGCGGTTGTAAGAAAGCGAGAGATCCGATGGCTTCAGAAATTCATAGCTTGTGTGCACGGACCATATGACGGACTGCCGTCTTTTTGAGATGGCTTAAGCTTAAGAGCAGCAATATTCCCAATGAAGACACCAAATAGATTCAATACAACCAATTGATACAGAGTACCATCTCTGCCTAATTCAAGTACCTATCCAAGACGTCCGCAAACACTGTAGTATATACTACGATTGTAATTATACATTCCGCTCCCCATTCCTTCCCTTCCAACCCATGTTCTACCAACACACCAAAAAAAAACAACCTCATTCAAAGTGGTGTCACTGTACTCCCGCACCTCTTCCAGAACAAATTCCCTATGTGGAGAAGCAAAGAACCGAAAGCCATACCCAGCAGCCCATCTCGATGACCAGCGTTCCCGCGCCATCTATATGCATTCAAAAAAAGAACCACACATTCCTCCTCTATTCAAAGTGCACCCTTCCCTTTCCATGTCTAATCACCCCGTTGGTCGATAGGAGCGTACTGTCCGCTAGGACTCGAGCCACCACGGCCCATAAGCCTTGACAACCAACCGCCCAAACCTCCTCTACTTTGTTGCCTGGAGGACTGGGCCTTGGGATCACCGACCGACGTTGGTGGATCGATGTTCAGTCCTGGAATCGCACTTCCCGGTCCAAATCTCGCCGGCGAGGCGCGGCCTCTGATGTCAAGGGGCGGAATGGGCGACCCGGAGCGCACGAGCGGATCGGACTCGGCGTGCAAGGCTGGCGTCGAACCAGCAGGTGTGCCCAGCGCGCGAGTGGCGTCGCCAAAGAGGGCGTCCATGTCCTCGAGGCGGACACCGCGGGTTTCTGGGTAGATAAAGTATACTAGGGATATTGTTAGACTTTGACTTTCAAAAAAATTAGCAAGGCAGCGGTCAACTTACCAACAACGAAGCTGACGGCACACCAGAATGCGTGGACAAGGTACAACCTCCAGTGAATCCAGTCTTGGAGAATGGGTGTCATCTGACCCACCAACCAGTTGCAAGCCCAGTTCGTGGCTGTTGACAGACTGGCACCCTTGGAGCGAATCTTGAGAGGGAGAATCTCCGGGGGGTAGAGCCAGGGGATAGGTCCCCATGAGTATCCGAACGCAGCGTTGTAGATCATGACCATGATGACAACCATTGTTGGCGTCGATGGCACGTCGATGTACAAAAAGTACGAAATGGCTGACAGCGAGAGGACCATCATAACAGCACCGGACAGCAGGATAGGCCTCCGGCCCCACCGGTCCACCATGTACCATGGCGGGATTGTCGACAGTAGGTATGTGATACCATTGAACCCGGCCATTAGAATAGCGTCGTGACCAACCCAACCAGCTGACTCGAACACCATCGGCGCGTAGTATGAGATAACGTTGATACCGTTGAGCTGGGCCAGGGCCTGTGCTGACATGGCGATAAAGACTCGCCTGCCATACCGCTTGAACATCTCGGAATATGTGCGCTCGCCTTCCTGCCGTTGGAGGAGAACGTCCATCTTAATGTCGCGGAATTCCTCGCGAGCGCGGGGATCGTGAATGTCACCGCCACCGTACAGGTTGGCAATGACCACGATACCTTCCTCGTCATGGTCGTGGTCCAGGAGCCATCTAAAATGGGTTAGCGCGCGGTTCACATGCGTGGTGTAAGTGGTAGCGACAAACCTGGGCGATTCGACGATAATCAGACTACCCAAACCAAGAAGACCTCCCATAATGCATTGCATCATCAGGGGCAGCCTCCATGAGGTGTTGCTCTCAATGAAGCCACAGAAATAATCCACCCACACCGAGGTCGTGTAACCAACAATATTGCCGGTAAACTCAATGCAGGCGAGCTTTCCACGGTTGTGTGGAGGTGAGATTTCAGACTGATATACCGGGACGATAGTTGAGAGCATGCCAACTCCCAAACCAGCCACAAACCTACCAACCATCATCATGACCATGTTCGTCGCGGCTGTTTGCAGCCCACCTCCAACGAAGAAGATCATTGATCCGTACAGAATCGTTTTTCTTCTCCCGATAATATCTCCAATATGCCCAACACAGAGGGACGATATTAATGCACCAATTTCCAAGATAGCAACCATTGTTGCTATTTCTGCATTGGAAGGTTGGTGGAAATACTCCTTGAAAAAGGGACCGGTGATGATCCCCGACATCACACCCTGATCATATCCGAAGAGAAACACGCCCAAAGAAACGAAAATAGAAGTAAAATAAATCAACGGCTTGCCCGTCAGGCCGTGGATGGAACTCGAGCTGCCCGTCATGATGGTGGCTAGTAGCTGTTCTGCCTTGCTAACGTGACGGTGCGCAGCAGTTGGGATGTGGATTGCCTCTTTGCTAACAGCGCCAGTGTAGCGAGAGGATGACCGGCTTCTGCTAGAAGACGGCTCTCGGTATCGGACTTTCTTTTTGTGTCTGGGATGGCGTTTGATGACACCTGCAAGGGCTTCGTCGTCGTTTAATCGCTTGCGCAAGGGATCTTCTTCGGCGAGCTGCTCGGCGATGTCGCCCGTGTCGGTCCACGAAGAGTTCCCTGAGTCGTCCTCCGACTCTGAACTCGCGGGCTCATCAATGAAATGGCCCTGTCGGGATGATCGGGAGGTGTTATTGTGCACAGGAAGGGTTCGGAGGGGAATGTTCGAGGGGAGACGGGACGGGTTGGAAGTCGGAATCTTGTCGGTTATGGGGCTGGTTCGCAGCAGCCTCCGTCTGCAGTGGGAGAGGGTCGAGTTGGAGATGTGTGTGTTTTACAGTTGCCGGCTCCGCAGAAGGCGAAGACATTCGGTCAGATGACTCTGGGAAATGCAGAAAGCTAAACAGCCAAACAACAAAAAACTAGGCACGCTGCAGTGTCGGTCCCAATGGGAGATGCGGCGGTGGTGTAAGTTGGCACCCTTTGACGCACGGGGTTAACCCCGGCTGCCCTGTGGGCGGATTCAGCGGAGCCGCCAAGCCACCATCCCGCAAACCAGGGGGTCCTAAAAACGTCCACTCATCCCCGCTGCCTTGTTCAACCATCTCCGCAACCAACTTTTGGTCCTCTTCTTACAGCACGCCAAGTCACCCCCTCCAATGTCAATCCTGCAAATCGCTGCTGATACCGGCAGCCGGCACAGAAGAGCCCTGGGCCAATCTTCATCTTATCACGTTTGACCCGTCTGCCGACTTTAGGGGTTCAAAAACCCGCGGCCATCCTGTCATCCTGTTAATGTTGTTCCACACACAAACTCCATGGACTCTCACAAGACGACTTTGAGCTCATCACGCGGCAACCTATTTTCGAAATCGACCGCCTCTGCTTAATCAGGCAACCCACCACCCTGTTCAAGTCCGACGGAAACTCGAATAGATGCTGTCCTGGAGGGATCAAATGTTTGAAACGTGAAACATGCTGTTTCCCTCACGCCGTCCCACGTTGTCTGTCGTTCCATGACTGTGGGTGAGGCGCGATTCCAGCTCACGAGCTGACATGCCTGTGAGGTTACGCAAGGCTCGCCTCAAAAAGCTCAGCACCGGCTGCAGTACGATCAACCAGGCTGAGGAATTGAACCAACGAGCGCCGATGTTTTGACATTCACACCCATCTGGGTTTCTTCGGCGTCATCCAGCTTGAAACAGACCACGCCGCAGCCAGCTTATGTTGGTGATGCAACAACAACCCATAGAGCCATTCGGTAGACACTGACTGACACAGCCATACTTGAATTCGCTTGCCGGGTGGCCGAATGCCTTATATATATCAAACAGCTTCACTGCCATGCAAAATATGCAACGTCAGGACAAAATTCTGCGAGGCTTCCACGCCCCTCCCTTGCATCCGTTGTGCCCCTGGGGCTCATCATGCAGAAGCTCCCTCCCCGCGGCCGCTATGATGTTTCTCGGGAGACAGGAGACATGGACCATCCCAGAAGGGAAGTCGAGCATGAATCGCCAGGCCGGGGACTGAATGATGCTGAGCTCAGGAATGGGGCAATTCAATAAAGGCCCCCTGCATGGCCGTTTTTGAGATCTAGTGATATTGCTAACCTTCATTACAGTATACGGACGTCGGCGTTCGTCCTACGATACACATGAAACGCTGTGTTCGCTCAAATTTCCAGATGCAACCATGCAAGCCAGATCGTGGGGGGAAAGAGAGTACTATAATGGATGGTACTCGGGCCGGATAATATTCACGGAGTGTTGTCGAGTTGCCCAACTTGTCCTCTCGACCGCGGTGTCATGATTCCAGAACAGTTTGTATTCGATGAGCCGCCGACAACAGTTGCTTGCTGTATCATATTGGAAATCAGGTATTGCCCCTACTTCTGATACGATAAAGCACAAGGCGTTGGCCAAGACCACCTATGTTGTCTTGCAAGTATTAATTTCTAGAGTTTAGAATTGTCTCTTGTCTAGAGTTATAATCGTAGTAGGAGCAATATCCAGCGCTCGGACCATTCATTTCATCTTCTCCCGCTCTTACAGCAAGCCAATCTTGCCTTGCATGGGACGAAACAGTGGGAATGCAAGTCACATCTCGAGCCGACCGAAAAACCTTGGTCTGAGGCGTTCGTCCAGTAGTGGCTTCGACAGGGGTGGGTGAGGTGTTTTGGAGAAAACACCAGTGACTGGTGCCCAGACTTTGGATCTCGGAGCAATGAGAGACGGCTCCCTTGCGTCCAGCTCATCGTGCATAATGGTGGTCTCCCTTCACCCATTATCCATACATAGCTGGCAGTGCTTTTCTGCCTCTGGCCTCGACGTGTCGGACCACACTGCTACCATCTAGGAGAATACATAACCAGAATACCGACCTCGACCTGACGCCTGCGCCGCCACAGCTTCCGTCATCCTAGTGGAGAGGCCAAGTCACCGATACCGACACAGCCAACGGCTGAGCCGAATATAGCATCGGTTGAAGGATGCTCCGTACACAGAAAACAAAAGAACAGAGCAGTAAGAGAAGTCAGGTTGCGTCGTATCTATAATCTCGGCTTCCATCAACACTCGAGCTCTCTTGATCAGCCGGTTGGCCCCGAATCTGACGGTGATTTCACAAGAGGCTGGGGTTTGGTTCCTGGAACAGGCAAGTGGACAAGGGCACCCGGCCAATCGCGTGAGCGCAACCGAGGTGTGGGTCACCCTTGCGTGCCACCGAAACGGGGCGCGCTATCCTGTGTTCTGTGTCCCTGCCGCGGACGTTGGGTGAGGTGAGTGGCTCGACAGTGGCTGCCCCAGGGCATTGAGTTTTATAATTATTGCGGCGATCCGACTGCTGCCCGCCCGCAGCTCCTCCTCGTCGCCTGTTTTTCCAGTTTCTCCCCCCCCAACCCCAATCACCACAGCAATTATATCTGCGCCACAGCATTTATCTGCTCCCGAACCATTCACTCCGAGTATCGCATGCTGCTCCCGACTACAGAATAACTCCAATCATTAGCGCATGGTTTTCAGACGAGAGGAGGACGCCGACGACGACGATCAGTTTGCGCGCAAACAGAGCTGGCAGTAAGGAACCACGAACGAGAGGCTGGGAGCTGCAGCAAAAGCCAGGGTCCCCCACCGCCAGCATCCTGCGATCCCAGGTCACGACTATCGATCACGGACGAAAAGGCGGAGAATTATTCAAAAGAGCTGAAAAGCCAACTGTGAAGGGGGGCCAACTTTGTCAATTGCGTAAAATCGCTTGGGGAAAGAAAGGACAATAACGAGGAGAGGCCACCGACAAAACCTGAAACACAACAAACACCCGAGACAATTTCTACGCGCGACGGTCAGAAATCGCACGACAACAACACACAATGGGGTCAACAAAATTTGGCAACTTCGAGGTGAGCGCGCACCTACCGGCATCGCATGCAGGGTTTTGCGCAGGGACGAAACTAACCACAAACTTGGGATCAGGACTTTTGTCGTGACACAACTCTTCCAGTCTGCAATGTAAGCCATCCCAACAGTCGATCACTACAGTGCCAATTGGTCCCCTCAGATGCTGACCAGACACAGGTTCTCTCAAAAACCCATAATCAGGATGGAGATTGGGGCGGATGCAAGTTGAGAGGCATTACGCTGCCAGGCGAGGATAGATACCTCGGTAACTTGGGTATGATGTCCCAAGGGTCTCGCGTCTTTATTTACAGATGGAATTCCTGACATTTTTTTTAGGATCGATTCTGCTTGCGGGAATTGCTATTCTTGTCACCATCTCTCTTATTCTTAAGTCGGAAAGAAAAAGGGCAGCTGTAGGACGAAGGTCAGTGCATTATCATGCGCACGTCAAACCTTTGGACAGGAGCTAACGGAACTGCAGGGAAATGCAAGTGTTTTTGGTCGGTTATCTGCTTGTGTCTATTGCGGAGATTTTCTCGATAGGAGAATTCCCCTTGAACGACCAAGTACGAGTGGTTTTCAGCGCTATCCACATTGGTGCTATCGCGGCGACAACATGGCTGCTTTTCATCAACGGTATTGTGGGTTACCAGCTGATGGACGACGGCACGATTCTCTCCCTCGCACTCACCATTGGCTCGGCACTTGCATGGCTCATTGGTGTTGGATACATCGCCCTCGACACCGGTTACCAGTGGACTACCCAATGGCAGGGCAGCCTTGAGCCTCCCAACCGCAGCATTGCGCTCTACGTCACCTACCTCCTCCTGCCCCTGGTTTGGGTTGTCTTTTTTGTCGTCCTGGAGCTCGTCCTCGTCATTAAGGTGCTCGGCGAGACGAGGCCGTTGCTGTTCCTGGGCGCGGCAGCTCTCAGCTTCGCCGTGGGTCAAATCTTCAACTTTGTTGTCAGCCCCTACATTTGCAACGGCACGTCAGGCGCCATCGATGGTTCTCTGTTTCAGACATTATTCACCTTTGTTGCGGTTACGGTGGTGTGGTTCTTTTGGTCTAGCATCACGGAGGACGACTGGCCTATTCAGCCGACGCAATACCCATAAGGTAATGTTTTTTTTGGGGGGGGCATTCATGCAAACAAAACACCAAAACCAAAACGAAATCGAGTAACGATTTGAGATACCCGCGCAGTTTTATTAATGACAGCAGCAAGCAAGCACACACACTTTTATGGGAGCAACGGAGTTTTACAGCGGTTTTTTTTTCTTTTTTTCTTTTTTGACGCTCTTTTGTCATTCATATCTTGGGTGGGGGGGGGGGGGGGGGGTGGCGGTTATTGATATTTTGGGGACGAAGATGAGGATGGAAGCGATACACAGCGAGCGAGCCGAGACGAGTGGAAGGGAGGAAGGAAAAGTGAAAGAGATTATGATACCAAGGGTTTAATATGGATTAACTACATACGGAAGTGCGAACCTGCACAAGGGAAACGGACGATCAAAGGGGAGAGTGAGTTGAAGTATAACTTTCCACCGAACGATATATCATTATAGCCACACAGAAAACGGGGGGTTTGGTAGGAATGGAACGGGAGAAAAAGAAAGAAAGAAAGTTAATGTGAATTTGATGTGCGATACAAGTGGGGATGAATGAATATGGTGGTGGGTTTGTGTTGTTGTTGTTGTTGTTGTTGTTGTTGTAATGATGTTGTTGTGTTGGGTTGGCGAAGGGGAAGCGAGTTGAATTAGAAAAAGATGTACATGTCTGTTTTTCGTGTGTTTTCGTGTGTTTGGCTGCTTGGTAGATACCCTGTTCGAGCAATCGTGGTTGTCTAGTCAGGAATGGATAGCAATGCAATGCGTACAGAGAGAGTGTGGTTTATCATATTTTGCGATTATTATGAATGGCCTTGACTACCATCAACAAACCAACCATTAGACAATTGATAGTTAGCGGTAAAAAGAAGATACCTCAGTCCCATAAACTCCAACCCCAAAAGTCCCACACCAGCTCTTCTTGGTGCTGCCTTTCGTTTCCTTCCCCTCCTCATCACCACCACACTACGAAATATCCATACTTGTATTTTCCCAACCCCAACCCCTCTCCATCCTACACTCTTTCCCCTTTGCATCCTCCTCATCAATACTCCCTCAACCCCAACTTCCCCAGCTGAATCCTAGGAAACACGCCCCCCGCAACCAACACAACCCCCAACACCACTCCCACTCTCGACACCCCCAACTGCCCCTTTACATAATCCGTCCACGCCGCGCTCCCCGTAGTCGCCAGAATCATCAACAAAACCCCATACCCAAGATACCGATGCCACTTCCAGACCTTCTTTGCCTTTTCCTCCCCTCCCCACACACTGGGCGTGACATAAATCGTGAACCCAAACAGATACTGCAGTCCCAGCAACGAGACTGTCGCAACCCCCAAATAAGCGTGCACAGAGTGGAAGTGAGGCAGTTTGTTGGCGTGTTTGTTTGTTTCGATTATTACTGTTCCTGATAGGAAGAGCAAAAAGGATAAAAGGTGAAGCCAGGCGTGGAATTTGGCCGCGCGGGTTTTGGCTAGGGGGAGGGATTTTGTTGTTGGTTGGAGGAGGAGGATTGCTTCTGTTGCGACGAGGAGGCCGGTGAGTTGGAGGATTGGGTGGGGCACTAAGAGAGGTAAAAGGGGGTGGTGGGTTAGGAGGGGGATGAGGATTGAGAGGAGGAGGAGGAGGAGGCCGGTTTGGGAGAGGATGCCGGTTCCTGTTGAGGGGAGGTTAGTCAAAGGGGGAAATGGGAGGGGAAAAGGGGGAAACAAACCGAGATAGAGGTTGCGGTACATGGGGGCGTTGGGGCGTTGGATTGCGTCGCCTGGTCGGCCTAAGAGGGGCTCGTTTTCGTTTGGTTGTTGATGGGTGTCAGGTTCTTCCTGGTGAGGGTGTATCTCGTCCGGCAAGCGCGGGAGGGAAGGGGTGGTTGTGGAGGTCATCTTGAATGAAGGGGGCTCTTATAAGAGCTGTGGAGGGTGTGAGTTGGTGATGGATGATGATATGGCTGGGTTTAGTCTCGAGCCAGCACGAACCCAAACGAAAATGGCTGCGAGTAGCTCGAGTGGGAAGTCTGGTTGCTGATATGGACGGTCTCAGACACAAGTCGGCGGGAAAAGGCGTGAAGTTGACAGACGCCACGGACGACACAACCCAGCTGAAGGAGCTGGAAAGGAAAGGGCAAGGGCAAAGTGACGCGGACAAGATCGTCGGCTTGTGTCACCCTTTATGCCGCTTCTCCCCCCCAAGCTATCGAATCATTACCAATCCGGTCACAAGTTGACGGAAGAAAACATGCATGCATCACGCCAGTTAGTGAAACTAAATCGGGAAGCCACTAGTTTCAAGCCTCTGCCGTCTCTCTTGAACTGTAAGCTCCAGGAGATATTCCACAGCTAACATGGAGTCTTGTCGTCAAGTTAAACTTTCCCCAGAGAGATCACCTCACTTGCTTCTGATGGCGCGGTCCAGGTCGGTGATGACGGCACCGAGGCGGCCGAGCTGAGAGACAAGCTGGCTGACCAATCACTTCACACCGATTTTCATGGCCCCAGTTATGCGGGGTCGCTCCCGTTCGGACCGGTATCTTATCAATTTGTGCCGCCGTGTGCCGATGTGCCCCGCGTCTTCGTTTCTCGAACCTGCATCCGAGAGGACGGCCGGCCGATTGTGCATGTTTTCTGTTAGTCACCTCCGGTTGCTTGGGGAGTCGGAGAAGGTGTCTAGGACTCTAGAAGGACCCATCGGCTCGCCTCCATCTCCACTTTCAAAGGCAGGCCTGCCATCGGAGCTGGCCGACTTCCACTCGTTCTTCTGTGCGGGCCACTGGGTTGGGGAGGAGGCGGATAGGAGACTGACGTTGGATTTAAACGAAACCGTTTCCCCGGCTCTTGTGTCATATGCTTTGATAACGATCGTTGATACGGCCGGCATCGGTTGGAACTGATAGGCTTATAAGTGTGCCCTCTGTGCCGCCTTGAAATTACATATCATCTATTTGGCCTTCTTACCTTCAATTGCACTTTGAACCTCACAGTTGCCCACCATGGCTGATGACTACGGATACGCTACCGAGGCCGTCCCGGCCACTTCGGTCTCTGCCGAATACATCGACAAGACCTTCAAGTCAACCGCCATTGGTAGGTGCAATTCTGTCTCACGGCAGGATGCCGTGCTAACCATCTTGCAGATTTGGTCTCAGCCACTCTTGGAGGTGAAGTTCTTGGCTTCTCAGACCAATGGTTTGCTGATGCTGCCAACTTGATCAACCCACTTCCCCCAGTTAGAAAACCGGGGAAGATGGTTTACACCGGTGCCTGGTATGACGGCTGGGAGACCAGAAGACACAACACTGAGCCCTTCGATTGGGTGGTGATCCGCCTGGGAGTTAGCTCTGGTACTGTCGAGGGCATTGAAGTCGACACTGCCTACTTCAACGGCAACCACGCCCCTGCCATCTCAGTCGAGGGCTGCTTCAGCCAAAACAACGAGGAGGTCCTCTCATGGAAGGGAGGCCGTGGTGGTTGGGAGACTATTCTCGGGCTTCAGGAGTGCGGCCCCAGCCAGAGATTTGGGTGGAAGTTGGAGAATCCCACCAACAAGCAATACACACACGTCCGTTTGAACATGTACCCGGACGGTGGTATCGCCAGATTCCGCCTCTTTGGTCATGCCGTTCCCGTCTTTCCAGAGGATACTAATGCCATCATCGACTTGGCTGCCGCCCAAAACGGAGGAGTTGCTGTCTCGTGCAGTGATGAGCACTTTGGAACCAAGGACAACCTGATCCTGCCTGGCAGAGGCAAGGATATGGGAGACGGCTGGGAGACAGCTCGATCTCGTGGTAAGGGTCATATTGATTGGACCATTATCAAGCTTGGAGCGCCGGCTTACATCCAGAATTTCCTTGTTGACACGGCTCACTTCCGAGGAAACTACCCTCAAAGGGTTGAGCTTGAAGCTATCGAGTGGAAGGGAGATGGTGAACTCGGGCCCGATGCTGAGGGTTGGGTGAAGGTAGCAGAGCCGATCAAGACTGGCCCAGATGCCGAACACCCAGCAGACAGCTTGGTCAAGGACAAGGTGTTTACCCACGTCAAGCTCATCATTGTGCCTGACGGAGGCGTGAAGCGTGTCAGAGTGTTTGCGAAGCGTGCCGTTTGAGCCGTCGAGGTGAAACTGACTGGGAGCGGCGTGGCGGTTGAACGTTGAACAAACTGAAGGGATAGATAGAAAAAGGAGGACAGATAGCCAGATCGAACCGATTGATGTCACCAAACGAGACCATATTAAGCCATGTGACCCAAGATCAATAGCGAGAAGAGTTGGATATTGGTTCAAAAAGATCATCAAACAAGGAGATTGAGATTAATGGTCTTCGTCTCTCTTATCCAACGCACGGGCCATCGAGGTGGGGAGGGCTGCGACTCGCTGTTGAATGATGCGGCCAAGGGCCAAAGCCCAGACTTTAAACATGCCTAACGCCTCAAGGGGGAGCGCAACTGTCGGGTCAAACGCCGTTTTCTAGCTTTCATCTCTCGATTTTTCCAAAACGTTGCACACTGGATTGGACACAGAGTTTTTGGCGCACCGCCAAACCCGAATGCGCATGCCGATTGCCCACGGATAACCCCTTTGCCTCGCCCGTGAGCAGCCGCCCCGGACACGCAACACGCACGCATGCCAGCTCAACCGTAGCACCCTGAGCCATGGATCTCGGGGATTCAGACGGCGGCTTCGATGCCGGCTTTGGTGGCCCGGAAAAGAAGCGCCCACTGCCCGCCGACCTGCCACGGTCACTAGACGACCGGAGACATGCTCCCGCCGAGTTGCTGGTGCCCGAGACGGAGATGTACGACGGATGGCAGGGTTGGTGTCCCTTCAACCTTCCCCTTTTTGCTCTCCCACGTCATACCGTGTGCTAACTCACGAGTCTTTTTGCTTTTCAGGACAATCGCAATTCCTGACCACGCCCATCACCGCGAAGCCGTTATCGTTTGGCAACCTGACGCTGGATGACCCCAACTACGAGGAGGAGTTGACAAAGGGCGGCCCGGACAGCGAGAAACGGCTTATGGAAATGCTTGCCGCCCAGGCCGCACACACAACGAGCGCCGTGTTCGAGGACGAGGATGTCGTCGCTGCCGATCCGAAGCGGTCCGAGGAGGAGAAGAAGGATGTATTGCAGAGGACGTTCATCATGGCCGCCAGCAATGGCAACCTGGAGTCTGTAAACAAGATATTGAACGGAAAGGCCAGGGAATACATTGACGTGAATGCGCCAGACGACGAGGGGACGCCGGCCCTCATATACGCGAGCTGCTTTGTTAGTGCTATTAGCCATGCGCTCTCCCGTAAATTGCCCATGCTAATTGTTTTGGTGGTAGGGACACGAGTCGGTGGTACAGGCGTTGATTGACGCGGGAGCCGATGTCGACAAGCAGGATCGCAATCAATGGAGTGCTCTTATGTGGGCCATGACAAACAGACACAAGGGAATCGCGACGATACTTTTGGACAATGGGGCGTCGCCAGATAAGAAGACCTCGACAGGGAGGACGGCGTTCGATTTCGCTGGCCAGGATAGCGACATGAACTTTTACCTCAACGACAGTGGCGGGTATGGCATCGGAACGGTCGGGCTAGACGATGACTTTTATAAACCTGGATTTTCCCAGGACAAGTTCGAGGAAGAGTTGGCCGAAAACGAAATGCGCCGACGCATGATGATGGACAGTGCTAGGGATCTGGAGGTGGACCTTGGCAACATGGGCATCGATGACCAGCCTGAGGTTTGTAGCCCCTATTTACCCCTTTTTTTTTTCTGAGCTGATGCTAACAATCTCAGACCTTTGATGAATTCGATGAAGAAGAACAGCAGGAGTTTGACTGGTCAAGATGTCTTCACGATCAAATGTTTGTTTTCCAGGAGAGCGATCTCGACACGATCCTAGACATTGTCATCACCAACATGACACCGCAACGATCTCCAACTCAGAAACCAGTACCAGCAAACATGATTTTTCTCGGGGCCAGATATGCGCATTATCACGCCAGTCCAGAGTTACTGGCGAAGCTACTGGTAACAGCTATGGACAAGATCAACTACGTGGTGGAACAACACCAATGGGACATGACCATTCTTGCGTTCTGGATGTCCAACGCCACGCTTCTTCTACATTACCTCAAAAAAGACGACGGCCTCGTCGAGGCCACAACCGAGTTCCAAGCGCAATTGGCCGAGCTGATTAACGAAATTTTTATTCTTATCGTCCGCGACGCCGAGAGACGCCTGGACAAGGTGCTCGAACCGGCGATGCTCGACCACGAAACGATACCGGGGTTCGAAAACATCACGTTTCAAAACGAATGGAAGCTCTTCAAGAGGAAAAAAGAGGTGCAAGAAGAGCCTCTCGAGAAGCGATTACGACCTCCGTCGCCAAAACAGCGAGCGAAGCCCTCGCCACGAAACGTTACTTCCCTGCTGTCGTCCACCCTTTTTGTGCTGGATCTTTATGATGTGCACTCGGTGATCACGGCGCAGATTTCTTCGCAGCTGATATACTGGCTCGGGGCGGAGCTGTTCAACCGCATCATGTCCAACAGGAAGTATCTGGCGAGGACGAAGGCGATGCAGATCAGGATGAATATTTCTGTCTTGGAGGACTGGGTGAGGAGCAACAACCGGCAGCCGGAGCATTATGAAAAAGGGGAGATGAAGTCGACGGGGGAGACGTTGTTGGAGGCGTCGAAGAGGCACCTGGCGCCGGTGATTCAGCTGCTGCAGTGGCTGCAGTGTTTTTCGAGTTTGGGGCAGGACGACCTGGAGGCGCTGGTGGAGACGCTGCAGCAGTTGCGGAGTCTGAGTCCGCAGCAGCTGTTGCATTCGGCGGCGCATTATAGGCCGGAGGTTGGGGAGGGGGGACTGCCGAAGTCGGCGCAGAAGTATTTGGCTGCTGTTCAGAAGGAGCGGGAGGCGAGGAGGAAGGTGGCTGGGGAGGGGTCGTCGCCAGGGAAGAATAAGAATGGCGGTGGTGAGGTTCCGATGTCGCCGGTGGAGGGCGGCGGGGGGATGTTTGATGAGGAGGTGGAGGAGGCGCCGGCGAATTTGCTGCTGGATCCGGCGTTGATGCTGCCGTTTGTGCTGCCTAGCGTGACGGATATGTTGGTTAGTTATGGGGCTGGGTTTGGGGGGGTGAATAGGGAGCGGGAGAGGAAGTATTTGCCTAGTATACCGCCGGAGTTTTTGGAGAGGATTGAGAATGCGACTGGGCAGAGTGGTGGGGGTGGAGGGGGGATGGGAGGGGGAGGGATAGGGGGGATGGATAGGGGGCAGAGGTTATATGGGGGGAGGGATTGGGAGGATGAGGAGTAGAGTGGGGTTAGGGGGTTAGGGGATACTCTATAAGATTCAAATGATAGATGGGTTCTCTTTGCTGGATGGGTGTTTGTGTATAAGGGAAGCTACCAGAACAAAGAAGCATAGATGGGGGGGTTGGTTGCGATGGTTTCAGGAGAGAATATTTCCAGCGTTATTGTCCATTTACTGTTGGACTTGGATGCAAGACTCAGGGGCAGGAATGCAGACTGGGCTGGGAAGCGTTGATTGATTGCTATCCTTGGACATAATGCAGTCATTCTGCTGTAATTTACACATTCTGTCTCGGTGGTTGATTGCTTTTTTTTCTTGGGAGTGTTGGTACTCTGCAAGCTGCAAGGGACGGGACCAAAACCTACCTACGGCTGCTTGGTTGGGCCATTGGGCTTGTCTTGCCTAGGTGCTTTTCTTTTCTTCTTTTCGGCACTGAACGACACCTCTATGGTCAGCGGCGTTCGCCCCTCCTCTCTCCGACTCTCTGTCTCTGGTTCTTCTTCTTCTTCTTCTTCTTCTTCCTCTTTTCTGCAGGTACAGCTCCTCCATCATTGACGGGTACTACTCTGCGAGGTAGTATAGAAATTTGACACATCATCATCATCATCACCGACCTCGGCACTCTTCTGTTTTTCACCCTGCTTTGAGTTCTTTCCAAGCTGTCTTACCTACGGACTGTTGTCTGGTGCTTCTCTCCCTCTTCTTCCTCTGGCCACAATTCGGGCTGCCATGCATGCTCTGCTGCTGCTGCTGCTGCTGCTGCTGCAGGTACGGGATCCTCATCACGCTCTCATATTGCTACGCTGAGCTAGCTTTTTAGTCTCGGCAGTCAGAAGTTTCTTCTTTCCTTCTCCGTGACAGTCTATCTTATTCTCCTCGGCAATGCTGCGTTCTTCTTTCCAGGTTTTTTCTGGTAGGTGCCCATGCATCCTGCCAGGGACGAGGAGAGCTATCAAGGGAGTACACGATTATTTGATTGGATTGAAGTGTGTGTTTGTGTGTGTGTGTGTGTGGGTGTGTGCGTGGTCAACGATGCAGGTCGGTCGGTCGGTCGGTTTGTGGCCCTACACTACAGGATGTTGTACACCGTGTCACTTCTTGCTTCTGGCGGTTATGATGAGAGTAGTAGACAGGGCAGAGAGAACGTGGGTTGCATGGGTTGGTGAACCCGGTTTGGCAACGGGGTGCTTAAACTTGGACGAACGATAGGTGGTTTTTTATTGCATGGGTACCTAGGGCAGAGAGGGTAGGTGTTGGCAATCGATGATGGGAGAGGCAAACACGGCGAGGCATTTTTGGGGTTGGGTCGTTATGCTGCGGTGAAGGGTGACTTTGATGTGTATGCAGGGCGAGTTGTCAGTTCTGAGGTGATTATGCAAACGAAGGGATTGGTGATGAGAAAGTGAGAGCAAGGGCCGTATCAAGGTGAGACTTGGACGTAAAACGGCGCTGACCTAGGTCTGTAGCCAAGGTAACCAAGGTGAGAGTAACTTGCTTCTATGCATGGTCTAGTCTAGGGTGGCCAAGGGAGAATAGAAGCAGGCCCTATGCCGGACCCATTTCCATGAATACCCTCAACCCTAGATTTGTAATGAAGCGAGGGATGTATGTTGACCGCGGAGCAGCCGAGCCGAACCGCTTCAACCCACCAATGGGTTTCCACGGCTTTTCAAATTTTCCAGCTCTCGTCGGGGGAGGGAAAAAATATATATCGGGGTCGAATCTCTTTTTTGGTGAAGCTGGCTAAATTGGTCTTGCCACGTCAAAAAGTGGTGGTGGGAAGCATGGCCGCCCAATCACTTGATTCACCAGTCACCTGAACCGGACCGTGGGATTCCGTTGGTAGGTGTCCTCTGAAAAGGACAGGATCATGGTTCTTCGGGTCACCGCTCCGGATTTGTTCTTTGATTCACTCGATCAGTGACAAGGAGGAGCGGTCACCAGATGTCACCATCATAGAATCACAGAAACAAAAAGTGGAGGAGGAAAACAAGCGGGGAAGGTCAAGGACCCCACCGTTCGTCGGAGCTGGGGCCGAGAAGCAAGTCATCAACACCAAAATCCGCAGCTGAGATGCGAGTGTTTTCGGGGTTGTTTTCTTCTTGTTTGCCGATGTGGTCCAAGACTGGCGAGTGAGACAGATCTCAGGATCGAGCTGAATGATAAGAAAATCAAGAGAGAGAAAAAGAGAGACGACAATGTCTTGGCATGAGAGCGGTGGGGGTTGCCCAAGTGGGACAGTGCAGGTATCCCGAAGTGGTGTAAGTGATAAGGACACCGGACGGTCAGCGAGATGTCCCATCGCAAACGAAGGGAGGAATGAGCAAAGTTTATACATTGTGTTGATCCCAAGAGTCATCCACTCGGGTTGATATGGTCAGACTGAAAATATTCCCAAAACCAGCCAAACAAGATGCAGACTGTCTCGGAGGTGTGCTAACAGAAACAGAAACAGACGGCGGGATTAAACAAGCCGCGGACCGTAATAGGCAGCATGCAGGGCTGTCAATGCTGCTTTATTACCTGCAGCCCAGTGGCCGTTTGGCAGGTCTTGTCTTGCGCAAACCTCGGCCGAGAATTTGACTGGTTGACATGTTGAAGCCCGCACTGAGGTGGCATCCCCTGGCTGGTCCGTCGATGCTAGCGGCGAGAATAAGAAGAAAAAAGCCTCCAAGAGGTCTGGTCTGGTTGGGTGCCATATTGGGCTCCACGATGATGCAGATGCAAGTCCCGGATCTGGTGACCCCCAGTTCCCAAGAAGAAAACAAGTGGGAAGGGACCCTTCACATAACTGGGTCATCTCCCGCTCGCTCACCCTCCAAGCCACGGCAAAAAAAAAAAAGGGCTATACTTCTGCGACTCTTGTTTCACTGCCCGGGACCTTCCTCGGCCGCAAGTGATACACACGAACAGACCTTGTGGTTCTCCGCTCTTTCGGACGCAAGCCTGGAGCAGATACCCGGAACGCCGTGACGCCCACTCACTCGGCGCTTGTTTTGATCTCAAGCGTTTGCCCTCATAGATGCTTTAAGCCGTTCCCAACTTTCCCACCGTTCATGGCTGTTCGGGGAACCTGTTTCTTCTTGCCCGGACGACTCCTGTCTTCTTTCACGAGCTTTGCCAGCCCAGCCGACACCTTGAGAGTCAACACCTTGAGAGTCAACACCGTTGGTACTACCATATAATACCAACTGCCAGTCTTGGACATTGGAACAACAAGCAAGCTGTGCCGTAGTCGCTGCAACCTTGACAACGGCAGAATGGCCCCCCAGAAAGTTGCCAGCGTGCGCCACAAATCAAGGCCATCAGCACGACTTGCTCCCTTCCGCGACGACAGCAGTCTGGTAGCGCTGCGGTACGAGCAGACAAAACAAGCAGAGCCTCCCATTCCCCTTCCACCACCGAGAAATCCTCGCCGCATAATGCATCGCCCTGCGTCGACCATCGCATCGTCCTCCCCGAGTTCGCCAATCACCATCAACCCCCCGCCTGTTCCACCGCCGCAAGAAGAGCACCCTCTGTTCCGCACCCAGCCATCACCCCGGTCCCCAGCAGACGAGTGGAAGAGAGACTCGGGTCTGGCGCCGACATCTTCTTCGGTTACGCTCCGAGAAGAAGGTGCTGAAGATCCTGGGTTTCAAAAGTTCCTCGAGGTTATCGATGACACGGCATCGGTATACTCCTCTGACGAGCAGCAGAACGGCCGAAAGGACGCGTCTCCGATCCTAGATATCTTTCCCACTCCACCTCTGCGTATCTCGATTCCTCCTCGTCGCTCCGAGTCTGAGTGTGCGCCCCAGGACAACGGAATTGTACCACCTAGCCAGACCACGGCGCCGGCATCGCCAGTGACACCAACACGTCAAACGTCTCTCACCAAGAGAATAGGCCAAACACTAGGACTCCGCTCCAAGTCGGAAGGGTCGAAACGGTTGCGAAAAAAGATGCTTGGCGACGACAAGGCTGCAGCTGCAACGGCCGAGGCTGGTCATGGAACAGCCATGCGGGGCGTGCCGGGGCCGCTAAAATCGCCTAAACTCCCCGTGCTCCCCAGTTCTCCCACTACCCCAGCAGGGGCCCCTGTCTTGCGCGGTAGCTCTAACAGGGGAAACATTCCTGCAACATTAGGATCTTCTGCAACAGCCACAACTCCCACAACCCCCACAGCTCCTACAACTCCTGCAAATACAGGAGACACCACTTTCATGCCTCTCGACACGCCCATTCCCGCCGACAGCCTGTGGGACGACCTCGGTGACCTGTCCTTCTCCAAGAGAGGCAGCATCATGTTTGGCGGCAAAAGTGACCCATTCAAGATGTTGAAGGCCGCCGGCGCAACCAGCTCGGCGGCAGCTCCCGCGACAGCGACAGGAAAAGAAACCGCGACACCGCTCTCGATGACGACGACGACGACGAAATCCCCCGACGCGGCGGCCACGACGGTATCCAGCGACCGCCCTCCCACCGACTCGGACACAATCACGACAACCCCCGAGAAGACACGCTCGTCGACGCACACCACCACCCTGTCGGTACCGAGCATTCGCGTCCTGCCGGTAGATGTAGAGAGGGAATCACAAAAGGTGAGATCGCTCTATGAATCGTCTGGCGAGGGCTGTGGCTTGAACTGGGAGGATGGGGGGCACGTGTCGTCCTCGTCGTATGGTTGCGGCGTCGGCAGCAACACCACCAGTGTTGTCGATCAGCATCATCAGCATCGGCGCCTCGAGCCCACAGTGGAAGTCCCATCCGAAGAGGAAGAGATAGCAGTTGTGTACGGTTTTCCTTGGCTTTCTTTTCTTCGCATTTTATGCTTATCTTGAGTTTATTTTTTTATTTTGTTTTTCTGGTTTTTGGCACACAAGAGTTTACTGACAGCGAGCGCCTTCTTTTTCTCGCTCACGACTACAGATCTTCTTCTACTCCTCCCTCTTCAAGTCGGGTACCATCAAGCGCAGCCGGTCAGCAACAGCAAGCTCAGCAACAGCAGCAAGCGCCAAGCG